TTTAAGGTTTCTTAAGGAAAGAGCTTCTTTTGGTTTACCTATAAAAATAAATTCCATAGCTCCTAGCAAGCACGATGATTAGTGTAACAACATTTGTGAATGAATGGATAAAATTAGGATAAAAATCGCTTAAATGGAGTCTTATCAGGTAGCCATCTTTCCCCTCTTATCCACCAGAGGGCGCATACCACATTTGAATCAAGAGCATTCCAGAATATGGAATCTTGTCTGCTTTGAATACTTGGGTGTCAGCACTCCAAAAATGTAGCTAAATGAACTAGTGAATGCATTAAAAGGCATTAGAAAATGGAGCCCTTGTCTGGTTTCATTTCACTCTATACAGAGGCTCCAACTGAGAGCAATGAAATCTCTTTTGGTAGTAGTGGATTTTGAGTTCAGGGCTGCTTGCATAAAACCTCTTTTTAAGGTGACTTTATTGTTACTGCATTTCAGTCTACAAGGTTATGAGTTTGAAAATCATGATCAAATCTTGAAAAATGTGTTCCTGTGATTTTTCACATTTTCCACTAACCTAAAAGTATATATCAGTATACACAGACTGACTTCTGACCCACAGTAGTCTGAGTAGAAATTCTGTATAATAGGCCACTTTGACAGTTTCAAAATAAATAGATTCTAAGTCCCTGGTGGCAAGGATGACAGACAACATTGACTATAATGGAAATGAAAGAAATGGACAGGGTTGCTGTCTAAACTCTTAAGTGATTTCAACCTCCTAGTTCTGGGGTTGGGGCAAGGCTTGAGTGGTAAAAAGCTCAGAAAAATCCAGCAAAGAAGACTACTTCTGAAACAATAAATAGTACTATTCTGTATCGCAGCCCTTTTTGAACAACTGGGGTATGATGGCCTTGGAATGTGCCTTCTCGTACCACATCCCGTCACCATTGATATTCTTTATTTTATTTTCTTTTATCTTTTACATTTTCTTCCAGGAAGTCAGAGCTAAATGAAAAAGGAATCAATTCCCAGAAGTTCTCAACTTCTAATAAATCTAAATGGCCCACTCCAAGAAGATGCTGTATGTGGATACAGTGCTTTTGAAACATCACAATTTTCTGTGCAAGCTCAATGTTTTGATGTCCCACAAAGTTTGAGCCTGCTGCATTGTGTGGTAAGATATGGATGATGCAGTTTCTGGTTTTTGCTCCATGGTGGCTTACATTCTGGTTGGGGGAGGTTGTGTTTCAGGACAAGTGAGGTCTGGGTGAGATACACACAAAGCCCTCAATCATCATTGAAAAAGTCATTTGAAGAGGCAGAACCTGTAGTGTCCATCCCCTGTTCCTTCCTTCAAGGATGGCTTTGGTCTTGGGATTCCTAAGCTAGTAGGGAGTGATTGTCAACTGCTTCCTGCTTTTAATGTTGAAACACTTTGAGTGCATGGTCTATAGGGATTTAAGTAGGCCATGTGAAGTTGCTTCCAGTGTCCCAGGTGTCAAGTGACAATGTTGAGGGCAACGCCTTATCCTAATAATATTTATACTGGCTTCTGTGACATATGTGCTTATTAAAAAAATGTACTTGAGTTGCCCACTGGTTACCTAAAAGAAAGGATTCAGACAATTCTCTTCTCTTCTGGTCAGGTTGCCTCTCTGTCTCTGAGAATCAGAACAGGTGGGACACTATGTCCTCTGCACACACTTTTACCTCCAGAGGCTTGTGTGGGTTTTCTTCATGGTAGCAAGTATAATCTTCAGCCTAAAGGTCTCCTTTTCTTTCCCTGAGGTAAATCAGCTGGATCTTGACCCAGAACTGTCTCACCTGTTGCCAGGGATTCTGGCTAAGTTGACTCCAGGCACATTTTGCTTTCTTAGACGTTAAAGGCAGTGCTGTAATCTTAACTTCTTTCTGAAATTATATCTTTTCATTCTTCACCACTTCTTCAAAAACTAATCAGAACCTCACAGTTTTGGGGCAATAATTACTCTAGGCGGCTAATTAATGGACACAGAGAAAGTTTATGTCTCCTCCTCCCTCTTCCTGCCATCCCGCTTCCTCTCAGTTCTGAGAATTGGATGAGTGACACATTTTTCACAAAAAACATCCCAAGACTTGTAAAAATGTCAACAAGTTTTAATTCTATGTTCTATAACTTTGACTTCCGACCCCAGGGTTCGCACTGACCGCTAGATCGCGCTGTGGGACAAGAAATCTGAGGGTCCGGAACCTCTGGGAACCCAGGACTCGAAGGGAGAAGAGGTGGGAGCTGAAGAGGGGGAGAGTGAAAAGAGGGAAATCCAGGGCTATCGCCTGAGGAATAAAAGCCACCAAACTTTATAAATATAACCAGCTGTGTTTCCGTCAGTAAATACCATCAATTCATTACCAGCTTTGACGGATTCCAAGGGGGATTAAGAACTGGATGCATCACTGAAAGGCTCAGGACGGAAGATGGTTTACATGTTTTTTATCTAAGTTTGTTCGCTTACCATACTGGGAGTCTAGAGTAAAGACACAAGGAAGCCAAACAATGCAGACGTCAAGCTGCGGGGCGCCTCTTCGGTTGCACTGGAATTGCATTAGCGCCTCTGGGGAACAAGTGTGCTGGGATTAGTTTGTGAATTTGCTTCTGCGCACTCTTCGATCAGGGTGTCCCTTCCTTCCTCTTTCTCCTCTCATCCTACACTGGAAGTTTTGCGTAAGGATCCCCTTCCCCACCCCAGAGAGGGCTTTTGCAATTGTTGGCTTGGGTTACCTACATTCCCCTGCAGCAATTATTTTTAAATCCACTGTATCTAAGTTATGAGTGAGAATGATGAAACAGGAGAAGCCTCCACGCGGGACCCCAGCACGCTGATCTGGAGCTGGAGGATACAAATGCGTGCGCCCCCTTTAGAGCAGAAGCCTCTTCCAGTCTTAGCTTCCTGTCTTAGGAAGAAGTCTGCGGTACCCTTGACTCCCTGGGAGGGTGACAGCTCAACTCCAGCGCGATCGACAGGAGAGAACTTTTCTTTTAAGAAAAGGAAGACGATCAACACTCAAAATTACGAGCTCCCCAAGAAAACACAGAGAGAAAAACCTCCGGTGGTGGTGTCCCCAGGGGTTTCTCTGGCGGGTCCAGGCCGCAGGGCCGTCCAAGAGATTTACTGGCACTGTGCAGCCCTGAAGGGTGCCAGGACCACGGCTTTGCTCCCGTCTGTCCTAATAGCTGCCACCCGCCCACGCACATCTGTGAACCAGGTCGGGCTGGGTTCCCAGTGCTGTGTGTGTTGGGTGGGGGTACGTGTGAAGGGCAGGCTCGGGAACTGAGGTCGGCTCTCCAAGGCTGGAGCTAGTGACAATGACGCTGTGAGTCTGACAGGGCTGTAGGACCCACCAGCTGCGTGGCGCACGTGGGCTTTTGCCTGACGCGCTCACACCAGGATTGGGAGGGTTCGAAGGCGAGAAGCCTGCACATTGTGTGGACTCTTTGTGCAGTTGAACTTCGAGTGGGCTGTGCGTGCTCCTCGAGAATGTGCAGTGGCGGCGATTCCCATTTTTCTCCATTCTCTCCCTCCAATCTTCTCTCTCTCTCTCGCTTCCGCTGGCTCTAGCTGGAGGAAGCCTGTTCCTGGGGCGAAGTGCAGGAGGAGTTGGAAAGGGGACCCTGAAAGTTTTTTATCGATTAAAGGCTGTCATGCCTAGTGAGGGAAGGTCAAGTTTGTAGACGTCAATACAAACAGAGAAGAGAGATTTATTTTGGACCTTCACTTCTACTATCACTGGTGGTCGACTTCAGAGATGCGTTTCTCATACCCGCTACTCTTAACCCCTCACAGGTCACTTTTGGCCTTCAAGAGAGCAAATGTCTCAGGGCCTGTGCTGAGATCAGAATCTGTCTTGTAGGGCCTTTCTCATACCGTGGTGTGGCTGCTCGAAGCTTCCTCCCGTGCGCCTTGTACAAGTTGGCAACCTTGAGTGCCAGACTCCCTGCTCAGGGCCAACGGGTGGGGAGCTGTAAAAAGAGGCGACTGTGCTGGCAGAAGGTCAGGTCCCGTTGGCACGTTGGTGTTTGTGTGTGTCTATCTTTGGGATTTCAACTACTCCTCTTTGTCCCTTTCACCCCGAGGAATTCTTCAGAGCAGAACTCAGTCCGAAGCCTCCGCCCAGGGCCACAAGATCTTACTCCGAGCGAGCAAGGAATTTCTATGGTGGATGGAACTTGCTTCCGAGTGGCTTCCGAAGATGACCCCTAAGTTTCTTAGCTTTCCTTTCCCTCCCTCTTGGCTCAAATTAAGTTTCCCAGTCCACCCTGAAGCACTGAGGGAGTGAGACAGGACTGGGAAAGCCATCCCATCTCTGAGCCCCGCGCCGGCGTCTGTCCGGGTTTCCAATCGCGGTTTGGAGATTGAAAAAGACAGAAGGCTCGCCGCGTGCACAGACAGTTAGTTAATGGAAACCCTGTAAATCGGTTTTAAGTGCACCCAGGACAGAGGAGGAGGAAGATGGAGGTGGAATAGTGAGGGGTGGGGATGGGACGGGGAGCGGGTGAATGGGTTACACAACCCGCCTTCAGAAAACGAGAGCTGCCTTCCCCCTCCCCATTGATCTTAATTTAGAAAAATAAATTTACTAAACAAAATCGCACGGGTAGGGAAACCCAAGCTCCCCAGCCCGTCCCAAGCAGAGGAATACGCAGCTTCCCTTGGCAGCGAACCCAGCTGCGGCTGTCCCCCTCTCCTCTTCCCTCCCTCCTCCCCGCCCCCGACGGGGCACTGCTACTACGGCGATTGCCACCTCACGCCGAAGGAATGCTCGAAGTATGCACACGTTCCCAAAAGTAGACCTCCTTCACCGCCGGAGGAGCATACATCACCCCGTGGCAACCTTCCACCTTCTCAGGCGTTTCGTAACCGAGTAAACTGAGAGCTGGGAACAGCCCTCTATTAAGTAGCCCGCTGCGCGGACTCTCTTCCCACTCGGCGAAGGCGAGCCGCTCCAGACGCACCCGCGCTCCGGCAGCTGCAGTCCCTGGCAGTCTCCACTCGCCGCGCGACTCCCGCGGCTCCACCCGCGATCCTCCTCCTCCTGCTCCCGGACCTTCCCGCCGCTGTCCACACTCCCGCGGCTGCCAGGTGCTCCTGGAGCGCACAGCGCCAGACCCCCGGGAGCTAGGGGTCCCGCCGATCGGTCGCGAAGCCACTGTCGCCAACGCTACTTCTGTCCCCGCCGCCTCAGGTCAGTCTGGCTTCTATCCGCTTCCCTCTACCCAAAGATAACATTGGGGAAACTTCCTCCTGGCCCGCACCTTGACAGGCGCCACGAAGAATCCCGGGCAAGAGCCGGTGAGGTTTGTAAGTGGACATGTGCTAGAGATTTGCGGTGATACACAGGGATTTTTGTGATTTATTTGGGGATTTGAGCGAGAAGGAAGTGTGGATTTTTCTTAAAGCTGATGCAGGGCGGCCGTTCGCGCGCACAGCATCCTGGTGGATGTTTCCGTTTCTAGAAGAATTTTATCTACATATGCCGTTGCTTTCAATGAAATGAGCGCCCAGGACGGCCATCGGTCCCCTAGGTCGCGGCTTCAGTCTCACTGGCGTGTGCCGGCGTGCAGTGGGAGCTCTGGGGAAGTATTTAGTGACGCACGGTGCGGAATTCCGTGGAGGGCCAGCTGAGTGCTAGGCAGCTCATTGAGGCTGCGCGGGTGTGTGTGGCATCTGGAGCCGGAGTCCTGGTGGAATGTACCAGCTCCTTCCTCTGCTGCTTTTCAAAGCTCTGAAGATGGTGGGTTAGGCCAGTTCTAGAGGACTCATTCTGGGCCGACTTTTCACGGCTTCTGGAGAAAGTCCCCGTTCTGACCCCTCTCCTGAGTGCGTCGGTTGAGGCCCTGCTTAGAGTCTGTTGCACTTCTGAGGTGGTCTCTCCTCAAATCTTAGAGAGTGGCGAAATCAGAGACCGTGGGGTGTCCGGTTCATTTACCGAACGAGGAGATGAACTGGACCCCATCGGGTATCCTCAGCGACCTTCTCCAGTGATCAGTTCGGGCCTTGTTGGAATTCCACCTCCCAAATAGAGTCGTGCAGCCTTCTAAAGAATCCTGGGGAGAAATGGGGGAAGAAAGGATATGTACACTAAGTTCGTCCTTGGCTAACTAAGGTCAAGGTCGCAGTAGGTACACGAGGTAGGTGCCTGGAGGGAGAGCGAGCGAGCGAGCGAGCGAGCGAGAATGAATTTCTTTCCTTTTCCTTTTTTTTTTTTATTTTTAACGTGAGTAGTTAAGAAATTGTTCTCTACCAGTGGGGTGGGGTTGGGAAGGGATGGGTTGGCCCCAGGGGAACAGTACATATAGCGCCCCCCACCCCAATTGACTAATTTTCATTCATGAGGCTCAAGTGAGGGAATCCTTGTTGCCACGTAGGGGAGGCAGCTTGCAGACATTTATGTCTGAGAACGCTCAGTGAAGTGTTGCTAAGCATTCAGATAAATGTTTTGACTAAAAAGAAGGGAGAAAACATTCTTCTTAAAAACATATATGGATGGAATGCCTGCCTGGCTGAAATGTCTCTGCTTTCCAACACCCCAACGTGTTGGAGATGATTCATTCTTGATGCTGAGTCAGGCAGGCGATAGGTGGCGCTCTAGACCCAGATTAAAAAGGCACTTCCACACCTCAGGTTTTTGTTCAGCTGTTAAAAAAAAAAAAAAAATCTGCACATAGCCTTTCTTGGATTGATTGTCTGCCTTTAACTTTTCGCGAGCACGACTGCCAACCGAATTGGAAATTAGAAAAACAAAGTTAAGGCCAGATGACGGGAACAATGGGCCAGCCTTACCTCTTGCTTTTTACTAATGTAGGAGAGGGTTAGAAATGTTAAACAGTTGTTAATTAGGAAGAAAGAAATTGCTAAAAACTGGGATCCCCAGAGCAGCCCCTAAATTTTAATCTTGGCTTCATAAAAAGAGCCCTCAGCAATTTGGCACGCCTGCTCATCAGACATTTAAAATGCAGTTTACACTCAGGAGGCATTGTGCCAAAAACTGGAAAGACATGGTTAGAGATTGTCAGTTTCTTTTCTCAAGGCGGCCTCAACCTTTGGCTTGTTTTTGGATTCCTAAACACCAGTCTCCTTACCCCCCTCCATTTTTCATGAGGCCTATCCTGTTGTGTACTCCAGAGTCAATTCTCTTTTTATGGTCTGCCCCTGGCGACTTCCCAATTCAGTTCATTGCTGGTAGCTTTGTTTCTAGGTTGGACCTTTGAATATTTTAGGAGATTCCATTCTGCTGATTAAACACCTACTGTGTGTTGGGAAACTACAAAAGATGAATAAGACTCTTTGTCTTTAAGGAATTAATCTAGCTACAGAGTCAGGAATTGCAACACAGTTTCCTTTGTAGCCTATATAACTCTAATCTTCCCGGATAAAGGAATAGTTAAGTGCAAAGATTAGTTATTACTAAGATTTATTTTATTATATCAATTGAAATTTTGCCTCTTCTATTGCCTTGTCCCCTTTTATCATGTGTCTTAGAGTTGTTTTTCCTCTAGTCTTTGGTAAAGGGTTTATTAGATGAGAAAACAACATAGCAGGAAGGTCAGGTTTTAGCTGGGCTTTACATATTCCTGTATAATCCATTTCAAGCCTTAAAGGCCTGACTATTTGTAGGTAGACCAAAATGAAGAAAAAAAGAGAATAAAAGAGATTTACTATACTTTTCCAAATTACTCCGGGACCACTAAAGTACAGTTACCTAAAGAGTTCAGCAGCTAGGAAAAAGCAGCCAAGTAAAATCCCCAGATGGAAGAGACATTTAGTTGAGTCAGGGATAAAATGACCTCTGAATTAGCCATCACCCTGGCAGGATGAAGTCATGTGGGGGCTGCTAAGGCCTTCCCCGGATGCTATGCAGGACCCGCCTCCAAGAAAACAGGACCCTCTTTAGAGAACTTAGTGCCCTGGTTAAACTTATGTAGATGAACTTGACTGGATGGTTCCACAATAGGTCCATTATGTGTTGGGCTGCTCCCTGTAACTATTAAGACAGATCTGGCCGGGTTCTGGACCGAGGCCAGGCTCCAGTTCTAACCTGGTTCCAGGCCTGCTGAGACTCGGTTCTGATGCGGGGGGCACTGCTTCCTCTTGCAGATCCCTTCATGAGGCCGTGAGCTCGGAGGCCCAGCATGCTGATCAGGCTTTCCCCAGCGCTCGCCGTCCTGGGCGCAGCCCTACTCCTGTCTTCCATTGAGGCAGAAGGTAAGACTCTTCCTTCCACCCCTCAGAGACCCTGTAGAATTCCAGAAAGGAAAGAACACTTCTGTCCTGTCTCTGTTGCTTGCTGTTTCCTCTGCCTTCTCGGGTGGTTTCTCTCCTCCAGAGAAACGACCCCTTCTTCTGAGGTTCGTCCATTTCCCAGCTCTCGGCGTTCTTTTGTATTCTGCTTAATCCATTCTGTACAGTGCTGTGTGGTTTCCTTGTGCTTGTCCTTGAGGTGTGCTGTCCACACTGCCATCTACCCTAACGCCTTTGGAGAGGACCGGTCGCCCAGGAGAGGGCGACGGCTGCATCCAGCTCGACCAATGGGACACCTCCGGGTGGCACCCAGGACCTGGAAGCTCCGACTTCGTTAGCTTGGCTGGTAACCGACTGGGTCAGGTCTGCGACCTCGGTGACAACATGAAATAAAAGACTCCCACAGTGGCAGCTCTGTGCGTCTGCGTGTTTTGTGGGGAGCCCCGTTGGCTAGGCGAACATTGAAGGCAAAGGAGCCAGTAGTCAAACGGCCCTGGGAATGGGTTGCAAGCAGAGATGGGACCCGTAGGTATTCACAGGACCCAGGGTCTCTGCAGATCCCTGTTTGGTTCCAAGAGCTCCAAGGCGCGTGCCCAGGACAACCCAGCCCAGACCGGCTGGCGGTGGGCCAAGGTTTCCAGCCCGGGAAGCGAGCGCGCGCCAGACGAGCCGGGCGCCACCTCCCGCGACCTCCCTTGCGCGCTCCAGCTTTCTAGGAGACCTGTCTCAGACTGGCCTTCGCGCCCCAGTGCAGAAGGGTCAAGGACTCAGAGATGGGGCTCCAAAACCGCTCCGTGTGGCTCACCCCTCGAGAAAATGCAGGGCTTTTGTTAAGTCTTTCAACCTAATTTTATTTTATTTTTTTGTTGTGTACACTTGATGCCTTAATTTCTCCCCATTCACACAACAAGCTATTTCTAAATAGTAACCCCATTGGCACGTTCCTCAGTTATCATTGGAGACATGATAACGTAGTCATATTATTCTGCAAGATAAAGTGAGGTAATGTTATGAAAAACATCATTTTTTTTTCATCTAAAAATGCTTCTGATAAAAGTTAAGGGAAAAAGTTCTGCAGGCGACAATTATGAAAGTTCTGGGTGGGTTGTGCTTTTTTAAGGGGGTGGGAAAGTAGAGCTGTTTCATGATCATCTTCACACTGAAGTTTTCAAAAACTCTGTTTCCTAATCACAGGTTCAAAAAGAGAAGGTTAGGAACAGTAGAGTTTCCGAATGTATGGCATGTTTACAACAGCAACAGAAACTTGCTGCCTCTTCTTACTTGATCAGTATTTTGTGAATGCAGAGGCTGTTCTGAGTGGCTTCTGTGAAGTGCCATTCTTTCAATGAGATGGCGTTCAGTAGTCCTTTCTGTGTCGTTGTTAGGAAAGAATTTTATTTGAGGAACTTCTGGAAGCAGTAACTAAAGATATTTTTAGATAATTCACTGAAGTGGCTCGTTTATTGCTCATTAAGAAAATAGTTATTTGAAAAGATTTGAGAATTCTTAGGAAAAGAATTAGGCTGGAAATGATGTAGGTGGAAAAAAAATGACTGCTGAATTGGATAAGACTCTCAGCAAAGTGCAGTTGAAAAGAACATTTTCCTATCTACACTTCTGATGATTTCCATATTTCTTATGTTTTATCTTTTAAATTTGTATTGATTTCTGTATGGTATAGGTCTTTCTTTTGCTTTCTTAAGCCGAGTCTCCTCTTGTCTCTCACCCTATTAGATCAGTATTCATTTTTCTGGCCTTGGTTTCTAGTTTGGCACTGTCAAATAGCCACAAATGCAAGCCACATACAGTAACTTAAAATTTTCTTATAATTGCATTAAAAAAGTAACAGGAACAGGGGAAGTGATTTTTTATATTATATTTTATTTAACCTAGTATTATTGTTTCAGTGTGTAATCAATATAAGAATTATTAGTGAAATATTTTGCATTTTTGTCCTGAGTTTCTGAAATTGGGTATGCATTTTATACTTGCAACACATTTTATTTTGGACTGGCTACATTTCAAGTGGATAGCCACATGTGTTTGGTTGCTCCCTTCTTGGACAACACAGCTCTGTTGTTAACTACCAACTAAGTGGCCCCAAGAGCCTGTGAAGGTCTAACAAAATTTGGGGTCAAAGTCTTTCTTGAGACAATGAGTTGGACTCAAAGTTTGTCTGAAATCTTTCTATTGGGGCCATTTCAAAATTTCAACTTGCACCTCTGTTTGACAGAGCACCATTTTGATCTTAGTCCTAAAGTAACTATAGTTATCTTTCTTTCTTTTCCATGACTCATACTGTACCCTTATATTTGTACTGTTTCTCCCCACTTTCTGTTTAAATTTTATATGTTGAAAACTCAATGCCATTGATATTGATGGAAAGGCTTTGATATTCACTTTTTACTTTTTTCTTTTTCATAGTGATACTGTCTTTGTCCTTTTAATTTCTTCTGTCTACTTGTATGAGAAATTATATTTTTATACTGTTGTATCATGTCCTATAGAAATAAAGGAGAACAATTTTTTTGCCTTTAGTAGTTATAATTTTTAACAGAGGATAGACTTTACTTTAGCAAACTTTTAACTTGACCAGTGCTCCATACGACCTAGAATATGTGAGTTACAGTTCGTTCATTTATCATGTGTTAGCTATTTTTTTTTGAAAACAGCATTTTGCTTAAGAATGACCATATTCCCTGAGAGTTAGTTGCCTTTCTAATAATCTGGAATTTGAGATGAACAAAAATGTTGTGATGCAGGTTATTTTCTAAGTCTTATGCATAGTTTCTCATATGATAAACATTTGGATATTATCAGTTCATTATTGAATTGAGACCATAAGCTTTACTTGTCTTATGTTTTGGTTAAGAGGTTACTTGGTATATATTTTTTATGATGCTATGTCTAACATAGCATTGTTCGAAGAGAACAAACTAGAAGAGAACTTAGAGATCATCTATTCTAATTCTCTTATTTTCTGAATAAGAAAATGAGTTCTGGATAGATTGAATAACTTGATCAACTAATGTAGTTAGGAACAAAATGTAGACAAGATCCATGACTTCTAGGACTGGTTAAGAGCTGGTTTTATCACATTATGCTTCCCTTTTACTCAACAACCAGCCAACTCAGGAAATCTAATGAAAGAATGCATCTTGTGATGTGTACAAAGTAATCTATTATTCCTCTAGCATGCTAAATTTTCAACCTTTTTGGGGTATTTTGTTAATTCAAATGAAATGGGTTTTGATAGCATGGCAAGTATCATTGAATATATAGTAATTTTGCATGGAAAATAAATGAATGCCTATGTAATATAGTAAACTTATTATAGTCTACACATTTCTGAAGGTTTCTGCCATCAAATATTATCCTTTCCCATGTTATCTTAAACACCAGACTAAGGCTCTTACTTGTTCATCAAGATGGCAGCATAATATGTGTTCTCAGCTTTTCTTTATCTGTAAAGCATTGTATATACCTGTCCAAAACTTATTAGTCTTCTTCCACTCATCCAGCTTTCCATCCATCCATTTATCCATTCATCTCTGCCATAGTTAGTCAATTCTGAGATACAAACCTCTGTTGGATGCTTTAATGAAGAAGCATCATTTTTATTGCATATTAAAGTAGGCACTTTAGTTTTAAAATTGCTTGAACAAATGCATGAAGTTAATATACCAGTTCTAGCTATATCTGAATTAGAGATGTCTACATACAATATATTTGTTACTGACCAGGCATTATTTGTTCTTCTAATGATGTATTTTCATAAAGTAGAAAAATATGTGTGCATATTAATAAACAGCAACATAAAAATATTGGGTTCTAAAGTCAGTTTTTGACTGAAACATTTGTTCTTTTGACGTTTAGTATAGTACAGTAGAAAACTGTGCTTTAGAATCAGACCATGGGATAAAAACATTGTTACCTGTGTTAACCTCTATTGCATTTCATCTGTAAAATGGATAATAAGGTTCATCATTGGGTTGTTATGAGGAAGAAGAGACAACATATAAAGTGACTAGCTCTCTGTTTATTACATAGAAGTCACTTAGCAAATGTAGTCTAGTATTATCAGTCCTAAAATGCCCTAAATTCTGCCAATTCATGTAATAAAATCTCATTAGAATGAGACTTTTATAACAGGGCTTTGAAAGCCAAAAGCATTACTCATAAATGTGAAAATGAGCTAAAATTATAATTGAACTAAAGTTATGAAGACTTAAATTTTTATTCTTATCAATATTCAAGTTTCATGAGATTGTTATTTGTAATTTTAGTTATATTTCTCTTGGTTCAGAGTATCATTCTATGAAACTATGGCTATTTGCAATTATAAACCATAGATAGCTTGTTTGTATTTAAGGTATTCTGGCATTAACGCTGTTTTTGGTAATACCTAGACTCTGGCAATACAGTGATAGCTGTGAATTGTTTTAATGTAAAAGAAGATTTTCAAAATTAATAAAAATATATTTTACATTGACTTAAGTTGACATGGGTCACACACTCATGCCTATTTTATTATTATTTTCTCATGGAACAAATAAAAACTGTTTAAATGGAATGATAATCCTGAAAAGTTGTACATATGATAAAATCAGCAAGAAGACAAATGGAATGGACTGTTTTGCACATGCTGGCTGGCCATTTTTCCCTACTTTTGAATCCCAAGTACCACATCTGAGTTTCTATGAATACCTTGAAATCCTCTGAAATGTTAAAGACTTTTCCCCACAGTCAATTTTTTCAGTTTATCTGGAATCCTGGTCATTTGGATATCAACAAGGTGGGCTGCTGCTGGCCTTCAGCAGTTTTAACCTAATGTCTGCTGCTTCAGGTCAATTTCCTTCCAAGGTTGGTGGTACTGTTTTTCCATGTACTGATTTTTTTTTTAAAGCCTGCTCAGGCCAGTTGCGTCTGCCTTTGCATTAAATTTGTCCTGAGCCATTGCTATAGGAACAATATTTTATAATGATATTCTTAATACCTGTTGTCCTATTAACATCTGTTGCATGCTTATTATACTAAAGCATGACTTCAGCTAAACCTGGAAATATGACTACAGACCGAAGAATGCATGTAGCTTGATCCCTTAATCTCACTGCCTGTGTATGGATAGTAAGAAAGTAACATTTATTTCTGTATTAGTATATCCAAGAAAAAAAAATAAAGTCACCTCCTACTGTTGGAAGCAGTAGTTCATTAAAGCAAATGTTTGCTTTATTTGTTTTATTTGCATTAAAACATGCTATTAATATTATATAAATTTCTAACCCCAGTTTGAATTCTTACTCACATCTTAGAGTTACTATTGCATTTCAATTGACCTCTATAGGAATCTAAGAAAAGATTGATTTGTACTCTCTCAAAATACACGCAAAATTCTAACCCACAAGGAATATTTTCAGATTAAAATATTTTAAGAAAAATATAGCTGAAAATAATCTCACTTTATTGATTTGCTTCAAAGGTAATAATTTTAATGCACTGACCATGCACTGACAGTGAGTCAGTACAATGCTGCATGATGAGGCATGAACATTGCAGAAGAATATCATTATAAAATATTTTGGAAACGTCTTTGTGTAATGACTATTGTACATGGAAGCTTTGTTCATTGTGGGAAACTAAAAACAAGTCAGCATTTCATTGACCTATGCATGACGCTGTATGGTTTTGTATGTGAACTATTCCTCTCCGTATTTCTCAGTTTTTCCTGTCATTGATTTCTCCAAGTTTTACGCACAGTCATGTCTTCCCATTGCTGATTCTTCTCCCTTCTTTTCTTTAAGTTCTGTAAATAAATGTCCACAAAATATTATTGATGTTGTCTTTTCATAATTAACCATTGTTTTGTAAAGGACCATACTGGCATTTTTATTTTAAAATGCCATTTCTAGTATGGAATATACCTGCTGCAAAGAAAATATCAGTGTCATTGTTGGTTTACACCTTGGAAACATATAGCAAGTTGGTGTAAACAGGCAGAATATTAGTTTTGTAAACAACTGTAGATCACTGTTTATATACTTATAGATTATTAACATCCCGTATTATTATTTTTGAATATTCATCTACATGATTGTGAATATGCATTTAAGTGTATATTTTCTTGTAAGACCTAGCTGTTTTCCATGATTTCCCCTTTCCATTAAAATACATTTTTATTTTTGCCACAGATTGAGATTTATCACACAACAATTACAAGGCAACAATACAGAGAATGAAGCAAAAATATTATCAATTCCTTTACTCATCATGGAAAAAAGTATTATGTCAATGTTCTAAATTAACTCCTATGGTTGTATACAGGTTGTGAGTTGGCATGCTTGTTCAAAATGCACTCAGCATGTATTGGAATTCCTTTAATTGTGATGTGAATTGTTTGCATATGTGGTTATTATATGTGATTTCATTGTACTTGTATGTACTTGTATCCAAATATGTTTCTATTAAGCTTGATTTTGCTGGCCATTCTTGAATGACCTAGCAACTCAAGACTCAAAAGTGTTTTGTGCTGTCTTCTGTAATATGTATACTCTCTGATGTTTTGTCATATCTTGTCAGCTTTTAAATTTATTCTTATCCAACAAGATATCTTTTATATTTGTTGGAAACAAATTTATGCAAAGACAACTTTAGTAAGCTTTGCTCAACATAATTCATCAATTATATTGACAATTCTACGACATTGGAAAATGTAATTAATAGCAACTCTCTTTTTTACAGTTGATCCACCTTCAGACTTGAATTTTAAAATAATAGATGAAAATACTGTTCACATGTCATGGGCAAGACCAGTTGATCCAATTGTGGGTTATCGAATAACAGTGGATCCTACAACAGGTAAGTTATAGGATGTTCAGTTTTAGGACAGAGACATCAAAGATGCTATAATCCAGCCTCCTCGCTTTCTCCCATTTCCTCACGAGAAAGCCAAGATTTAGCAAGCTTGAAGGATTTGGTTTACATCACCAGATATTTGGTGCAATCAGGTCTGCACATTTCCAGTGCAGTATCCACTGTTATATTTTTATGGTATAGAACTTTATTTACATGGTTAGCTATGCCAAGCCTTCTGTGGTTAAAAATAGACTGTAAATTTTTTGCCTAATCAGAATATTGTTGGTAATCTTTGATTTTATAAAGTAGAATTCTCTCTTCTTGACATTCTTCCTGAATTACGTAATATTTTCAAACATTTAAAGTACCAAATGCTGAAATGAGCTGTTAGGCCTTACCCAGTGTCCCACACATTTTAGTATTCAGGGACATTTTTCTGGGATAATGGCACATGACAATGATATGACATAAATTTACTTTGATGAGGTAGATCCTGTAGATTATAAACTGAACCCTTAGAAGACAAAACAAAAGAGACAAAGCAAAATGAAACAAAACAAATCAAAGCTTGTTCCCAAGCATTGTCTTTACTGTTAATGATGGTGCCCAAGTATGGAGAACCTAACGCTTTTGATAACTTTTAGTTCTAAAATGGTTTGGATAAATAACCATTTCTCCTGGCCAACTAGTTAAAAGTTTTCATTGGCTGACAATAGAGATAGATGATATCAATATAGCTTATTCTATAATTGTGTTTACTTATCTTTGGCTTTTACAAATACCAATAACTCTCTCTCTCTCTCTCTCTCTTTCTCTCTTTCTCCCCCATCCCTCTCTCCATCCCTCCCTTTCCCTCTCTGCTTTCCAATAATGTGTAATTTAAAATTAAATTATTTTTGCTATATTTTTTACTTACAAAAATTGTTATTTACTATTAGTCTTCAAAAGCAATGAAGTTGTTTTGATATTTTGGTATACCTTTAATCTAGAAGAATCTGGATCCTTCAAAAAGTATTGACTATGATTTTAACAAGTAAAGACAATGCCAGTATATACTTGACTTTGTGGAATTCAAAGATTTAGTTTTGGAAGAGAGTTTGAAAATAATGTTTGGATGTCCAAAAAATGCATACATTAAAGTGGTCAGATTTTGGGTGCATTTGAGAATTGAAATATATTGAGTTGTGTGATAATTGAGAAATATTTTGTTGCATTCACATTTTTCCTTTCTATATTTCCAGATGGGCCCACTAAGGAATTTACCCTTGCAGCTAGTACCACTGAAACTTTATTATCAGACCTTATACCTGAAATAGAGTATGTGGTGACAATAACTTCGTATGACGAAGTAGAAGAAAGTGTACCAGTTATAGGCCAATTAACAAGTAAGCACATATATAAACTTAAGTACTTTTTTTTGTTTTACAGATTTTTCCATCTTCATATGTAATCTCTTATTGTACAGAGTCGATTTATATCAACACTAACATTCTTTTGTGATCCTAGTTATTGGTGGATATGAATAATTCATTCCTGACTTATATCCCTGGTCTCTGAAATAGCAGAAATATTCTGATTGGAAATTATTTAAAGCATTAAACTTTTCCAGGCAATAATGTGAAGTCATTTTTTTTCTGGAATTTCTCTAAAATCCCATGTGAAATAATTTATTTTCAAGGAAATTCTTATTTGGCCAGCTAGCATGACTTTATATTTGAATGACAATATTGAAGAACAATATATTTATTCTCCTTTTATTTGTTTGGGTATACTTCCTTTTGTAATAATGAGGTTTTGACTTAGTTCAAACAGGTGGTCCAACAAAGCCTGGGGAGAAAAAACCTGGAAAAACAGAGATACAAAGTGAGTGTTTCCTTATATTTTTGCTTGAATTTGTAGAAGTCATAAATGTAGCATTGAATAGATTCTTCAATTATACACAAAACTGATCTTATTTCTGTATTAATTTCTATAAGATTTATCTAGAAATGTAAGAGATGTGTAACCAAGTAGTTGTAACACTGAAGTTCTGATTTTCTAGCCGATTTTTCATTATAAACCAAGCTTAGCTGTATATTGTGATCATGTCTAGGATATTTACATCTTCTTAGTTAATGGCACTTTTTCCAATCCCTTTCAGAGTCTCTATAAGATATCTTTAAGAAATTGGTGCATTTGTAATCAGATGAAAGCTGTTTTATTTAGTCTAGATTTTGTGGTTCTTAGCCTTGTTTTGTTTTGTATTGCTTTGCCTGACTTGATGGACTATTAGGGGTTTCTTGGACTTCTGATTTTTACCACTTTGTAAAAGTTGAATTTATGACCCAGAATGACAATAAAAGATTATAAACACAAAATCCTCTTTATCTGGAAAATTTCCATACAAATTTAGATGTCTAAACAAATGCTAAATAATCTGACATGAAGTTTGTAATATGCAGTTGTAATGCTAATATTTTCCCAAACCATCAATATTTATTCTAATCAAAGCATGATGCTAAATATAGACTTTTTATTAGACTTAAGCTGGTCTATTAAATACTGTGTAAAAATCATTTAAGTAGGCGACCTGTATTTGGTTTGCAAGATTTTCCAGGACCCTTTCCTCCTCTTCTTAGCCAAATACTTCTTTTATTATCTACCAGCTGACCGCAAGGACAAAAATATCAGAAAATTCATTCAGTGCTCTCTAACAAACACAGATTTTCATGAAAACCAACCTGCCTCCTCAACTGTAGAGAAAGGGAAAAATGACATATTCATAACTGATCTTTGGTTATAAAAGCTGATAATTGTATTTTAGTACTTTAAGGATACCATATGGATATTTTTTGTGGTACTGGAGTTTGAACTTACGGTCTTGCACTTGCTAGACAGGAGCTCTACCACTTGAGCCACACCTTCTATCCTTTCTTGTCCTGGTTATTTTTCAAAAAAGGTCTTGTGTTTATGCTGACCTGGATCACAATCCTCCATGTATGCTTCCAGCATAAATAGATTTTATTGATTGAAAAGAGATCTCATCAACTTTTTGTCTAGGCTGGCCTTGAACTGTGATCCTCCTGATCTCTGCCTGCTGAGTAGCTAGGATTACAGTTGTGAACCATTGTGCCAGCCAACACATGAATTTTTGACTTTTGAATTAAAATGATTATTTCCCTTCTTTGTTTAGTGAAGTAGATTTTAGTTGTCAAACATTAGCACATTGATGGTAAGGGTAATGTATTTTAGCTTCTTTGCATCATTTTATGATTATTTTTACTTCTGTTAGACTCCATGGATCCTGTAGATTAACCCAATTGGAAACTTAAGGCCCTGAAAAATGTGTCAGAATACTTAAAAATTTCCTCTTTTCTTCAACTCAACTGCATTTGCTTTAACAACAAGCAATGGTTTTATATTTATTAGTTGATAAATACCAAGGAATAAAAACTTTGCCTACATTTCTTTTGTATGTCTCCCAGATTTTTTTTGATGTCTTTAAAACATCAAATAGTACTTTATTGAGTATAATTTTACAAATAGTAAAGTGCACAAATCTTAAGTGTGTTCAGCTCTACATGATTTGGAAAACACATGCCTGTGTATCATAATCCAGATCAAGATACTAAGCATATCCATCACCCTTCTGTACCTCTCGAATCAGTTACCCATCCTTGCTTCTGGCAGTCACTGTTCTATGTCCACCACCACAGATCATTTGTGTTTACTCTTGAACTTCACATAAATGGAGTATCCTTATAGTATTCCTCTCTCATTTTGCAGTTTTTCTTTCTCAGTTTCAGTTACCTGCAGTTAGTAGTGGTCTGAAAATATTAAATGGAAAATAGTAGAAAAAGTTCATAATTTTAAATTGTTGCCATTCTGAATAGCATGATGAAATCTCATGCCATCATGCTCAGGAAGTGATTCCATCATATTCAAGCGGACATGGTAACCACTAGTCATTTAGTAGTCATCTCCAGTTTTGAATTGATAGTCACAGTGCTGGCATTTTAGGTAATCTGTGTGTAGGATCTTAGTGTTGCAGTGCCCAGTGCCTGTGCCATTCACTTCACTTCATCTCATCTTGTTGGCATTTTATTATGTCACATCATCACCAGAAGGGCAAGCACTGGACAATAAAATATTTTCAGAGAGTGAGAGAAATCACATTCCCATAACTTTTATTAGAGCATATTGTTATTATTCTGTATTATCTATCACTAGTTATTGTTAATCTCTTGTGCCTTATAATCAGAGGTGTGTAAGTATAGGATATGGACATTGGGATTGGTTCCAGGACTCCTTCTCTGATACCAAACTCCCACGGATGCTCAATTTCCTTACTTCAAATGGTGTAGTATTTGCATGTAAATTTAAATAAATTTTTACTTGTAAAAAAGAGTGGGGATATGGCTTATAAAAATAGGTAGATTGATAACACAGATATTTGGACTATATTGTCATAGAGAACATGTCACATGTCTTCTTATCTCTTCTTGCATAATACCTTTTTTGCTATTAGAATATAATTGTAAAAAAGGTTTCATTATATTTCCATACAAGCGTGTAATGTAACTTGATCATATCCACCTCCTCTATTGCTCTTTCTTATCCCCCTCTTTTTTGGGGGACACAATTCAAGTGGTAGAGCACTTGCCTGGCAATGTAAAGACATGTAGTTCTAGAAATGCCTTGATGAAGGCACTGAAAATGTTTTTATGTGTGCTAATAATATTTTAAATTCTCTTGTGCATGTGAATGAAGAACAATGGGTAAATACATCCAAATGAGTAGAGCAATTCAAGAAGGTAACATTTTGGCAGTATTAGCTTGTGTGTCTTAATGATGGACTGATTTAATAACGCATCACTTAAAAATATACCCAATGTATTTCAGAATGCTCTGTCGGTGCCTGGACTGACTTGGTTTTCCTCGTGGATGGCTCCTGGAGTGTGGGAAGAAATAATTTCAAGTACATTTTAGACTTCATTGCTGCTCTTGTGTCTGCTTTTGACATTGGGGAGGAGAAAACAAGGGTTGGAGTTGTTCAGTACAGTTCTGATACCAGGACTGAATTTAACTTAAATCAGTACTATCAAAGAGATGAGCTTCTTGCTGCAATTAAAAAAATCCCATACAAAGGTGGCAACACGATGACAGGTATGTTTTACAGGTTTATTACTGTTTAAAGCAAGTGAAATATCTGTTTTAGAAAGAAATTAAGCTTTGCTCAATTATCACATATTAAGTACCTTTGGAATTAATCACATCCATTTCACATCCATTTCGATTAGTAAAATTGAGTGGTGTAGAGTGAATGAACTTGTTTCCTTTTCTCTTTAGGGGATGCCATTGATTACTTGGTCAAAAACACTTTCACAGAGCCCGCTGGAGCAAGGGTTGGCTTTCCTAAAGTAGCAGTTACTGTTACGGATGGCAAGTCTCAAGATGAGGTGGAGATTCCAGCACGAGAGCTTCGGAATATTGGAGTCGAAGTTTTCTCTTTGGGTAGGTTAGGGTTGATTACTTATTTTCATTTAAATCTACACTTAAATACACTTAGTGCTTAGGAAGATGAAGGATTGATTCCTCAGGGAAGGTCGCAATTAGAAGTGTTTATTGCATTTTATAGTGTAGTATTAAGCCAAATTGCCTTTGAGTTAAAACTTTTGCTTATCTTTTTCCCTCATATAAGTCGCTTACATATGCATTAAGTGAGGTAACATTTGCATTTTTTGCCAGCTCTCTACTTTTCAAAGAATACTGGGCCAATGATTCTAATAAAGATCCTTCTTGTAGTATCATTAGCAGATTTTATGTGTTTTCTATATTACGTAATACTTGAAGAATTCACAGGACTCCAGCCCATTCAGGACTCTGGAAGAAAAAAGTATTGTCTTTACAGATGGCAGAGACAAATGATGACATGGTTGAAATGACAGCTCAGTTTGTTTTGCTAACCATTTGCTTTCTTCTTTGACTCGTCACTTTATGTGAAATTATAAAATTCCTTTGTCATCTGAATAGTTACATATTTGTTACGAAGCAAAGCAATCCTGACTTTTGACTTAGGAAGGATTTGAAAAATGACTCAGTTGTTTTCTTTTTTAAAATTGTATTGTGCTGAGTGGGGGTACATTGTGGCCTTTACAAAGGTTCTTATAATATATCAGGTATATCATACTTGAATTCACCCCCTCCACCATTCTCCTTTGTCCTTCCCCCCCCATTTGAGAAATAACTTAAATAGGTATCTTTTTTCCATTTACATTCACGTGTACACAGTATTCACACAATATTCACCCTCTTTACACCCTTTTCCCACCTTCTCCTCCCTCCCACTGGTATCAACTCCCCCTAGACAGGACCTGTTCTTCCCTCCTGTTCTCCAATTTTGCAAAAGAAAGGAAAAAGAAATGACAGTTTTTCTCTTTAAAGATAGATACGTAGGGAATTTCTTTGTGGCACTACCATGTATATATGTATTATTGCCAGATTTGGTTCATTTCCTCTATTTTTCTTCTTCTACTTAAGTCCCTTTTTTATGGTTTCAATCAGTTTAAAAGTTCTATATTCATTCCTGTATAGTGAGTACATCAACCATATTCACCTTAACTTCCTTCTTTTACCCTTCCCCTCTTGTGTGTGACCACCCTTGGTGTGTCCTGTTTTTCATAATATTGCTACATTTGTATTTGGTCTATATTCTGCATATGAGGGAAAACATGTAGCTTTTGGTCTTCTAAATCTGGCTAACTTCACTTAAGATGATGTTCTCCGGTTCCATCCATTTACCTGCAAATGACAACATTTCATTCTTCTTTGTGGCTACTAAAATTTCATTATATATAAATACCACATTTTCTTAATCCATTCATCAGTAGTGCGGCATCTTGGCTGCATCCATAACTTAACTATTGTGAATAGTGCTGCAGTAAACATGGGTGTGCAGGTGCCTTTGTTGTAACCTGACTTAGCATTCCTTTGAGTATATCCGTAAGAGTGGAATCGCTGAATCACATGGCAGTTTTATATTTAGTTTATTGAAGAGCCTCCATACTGTTTTCCATGGTGGTTGTACTAACCCACCAGCATTGTATGAGAGGTCCTTTTTTCCTGCGTCCTCGCCAACATTTGTTGTTTGTGTTCTTTTTTTTTTAGGAACTAAGGCTCAGGGCCTACACCTTGAGCCACTCCACCAGCCTATCCCTTTTTTGCTGATGGGTGTTTTTGAAATAGGATCTCATGAACTATTTGCCTGGGCTGGCTTTGAACCATAACCCTGATCTCTGTCTCTTGAATTGCTAAATTACAAGCATGAGCCACCAGTGCCCTGCATTGTTTGTGTTCTTGATGATAGTCATTTGAAAGACTGAGAAAGCAAACCACTTCTTTAAGTCAGCACTTTTCTCATTTCAATATATCCTTGACTTTTTGTTTTTTGAAGGCATTAAAGCTGCAGATGCAAAAGAATTAAAACAAATTGCATCCACACCTTCACTGAACCATGTCTTCAACGTGGCCAACTTTGATGCCATTGTGGATATTCAGAATGAGATAATTTCCCAGGTGTGCTCAGGTGTCGATGAACAACTTGGTGAATTGGTTAGTGGAGAAGAAGGTGAGTGTATTGTTTGTCAAGTGCTCTCCATGTGCTAGTATTTTCCATTAATTGATAATACTTATAGCTTTACAGGGAAACTTTAAACATATCCTCTCATCATTATCCAATTATATACTCCATTTATATTTTAGATCTGAACTTGTTAATACCATTTGCATTCTTACCCCCATTTATTGGAAGACTCAATAAAATATATCATTATAAAGTTCTTAAAAATTTGGGGGGACAAGTGTTGATTTTCTCTTTTCCTTAAGACCCTTTTGTGCATGTTTTCTTCCCATAAGTAAGGTTCTTCTGGTACTTGCTTTAACTATTTTACAGTCTAATTTAAACATTGGAAGGCTGGAGAGATATTTATTTTAGCATTCTACATCTTAAATAAAAATAACATTGTCTGTTAACTAGCCAAGGACAAGGATTTTCCATTATCATATTCCGCTTAATGTTTTCAAAGCCTTTGAGTGCTTCAGAGATCAATCTGGTCCTCCCACATCTGGAAAGTTTTCCCATTCCTATCAGTTGATTGCTTCTAACTACACAGAAGAAAGAAGAGCCATTTCAAAACGGCATTTTGCAAGCATCCCTTTGAACATTAAAAAATCACAATTCAAAGCCTTTATATTTTTCTATTATTGTTTTTCTCTCAGTATGAGAATTGACAAATGATTAAAGATAAGTTCTAAATTGTTACATTTTCAACCTAAAACCCTTTAATCTCTAAACCCCAAGTATTTTGGCAATGTTCATTGGCTCTAATTCTGTCTCAGAACTTCTTATTACTTCATCAATTCCGAATATTTTTCTGTCCTTTACTGCCTCATCCCTAATGTTTTTCATCTGCATTATTGTGAAATACATCTCTTTTCATTCCCACTTTCCTCAGTTACTTCTCTTTACTCTTTTAAACCATGCTAATCTTTCATCGAGGTGCATTTGTGTATACGCAGTGACAGGCCAAGCTGTTGTTCTGCCACTGTGTGGGAACCCTTCTGTATTTGGGTCAGGGGCCACATGACAGGTGCTCACACCCTTCCTCAAGGTCTTTCCTCTTCTACTGGCATTGGTCTGAAAATTTCCATTTCCCATAAGACTCAAATCTAAAGACCTAATTAATAGTCTTATATCTCATTGTTTTAATTGCTGTCCATTTCTTTCTTTTTAGTTGTTGAGCCTCCTTCAAATTTGGTTGCCACAGAAGTCTCATCAAAATATGTTAAGCTAAGTTGGGATCCATCTCCTAGCCCAGTGACTGGCTATAAAGTCCTCCTCACACCAATGGCAACAGGAAGCCGACAGCATGCTTTAAGTGTGGGGCCTCAGACGACCATGCTCAATGTTCGTGACCTCTCAGCAGACATGGAATACCAGATCAGTGTTTATGCCATGAAGGGGCTGACATCCAGTGAACCCATTTCAATAATGGAGAAGACTCAACCAATGAAAGTTCAAGTGGGTAAGTTGTACCACTGGGTTAGGAATATATGAAGGTCCATTTGGCAGTATGCCCTACTGATTCAGACTTTATTTTAAACAGAATATTTACAATAGTTTTCTTTGAGAGAAGTATGTTTACTAAGAAACCAAGATATCTATATTTTAATGATTGATTAATATTTGCTGACGTTTAATGGACTTTCTTTGTCTTTACAGAATGCTCACGTGGTGTGGATATAAAAGCTGACATTGTGTTTCTGGTTGATGGTTCCTATAGCATTGGGATTGCAAACTTTGTTAAAGTTAGAGCCTTTTTGGAAGTTCTTGCAAAAAGCTTTGAGATTTCACCAAACAGGGTACAGATAAGCCTTGTTCAATATAGCAGGGATCCTCATACTGAGTTCACTTTGAAAGAATTTAACAAAGTTGAAGATATAATTAAAGCAATAAACACTTTCCCCTACAGAGGAGGATCTACGAACACTGGCAAAGCAATGACTTACGTTAGAGAGAAAATATTTGTGCCTAACAAGGGTTCAAGAAGCAATGTACCAAAGGTCATGATTCTTATCACTGATGGCAAATCATCGGATGCTTTTAGAGATCCTGCCATAAAACTAAGGAATTCAGATGTTGAAATCTTTGCAGTTGGTGTGAAAGATGCTGTTCGCTCAGAATTGGAAGCCATTGCCTCTCCTCCTGCTGAGACCCATGTGTTCACTGTGGAAGATTTTGATGCTTTTCAGAGGATATCTTTTGAACTTACACAATCGATTTGTCTTAGAATTGAGCAAGAATTGGCAGCTATAAAGAAGAAAGGTGAGTAGACTTTGTAAAGTAAAAGTTACCTCTTCATTCTAAAATTCTAAAATTATTGATAATATACTTCTTCAGTTCTTTTTATGTACAGGATAAAGTAACTTTCCTATGCTATTGAAAATTATTGAGTTTAGTTTATTTAACACAAAATGTGACTTTCTCCTGAGTATGCATCCTTTCTTTGTTGGTGAAAAAATTGTTTTCCCCTAAGAGTCATGAGATGTTTTTGCTCCTAAATCCTTTCATAGCCAATTAAATAGCCACCAACTGTCTACCGTGTGTTGGATATTGACCTAGAGCCTTTGGACAAAAGGTGACCAAATATTAGTCCTGAATCTTTGAATTCTTTTTGTGCATTCTCTTTCATGGATTCCAAGCACCATTCTTCACATCTGGAGCTCCCTATTCTCTTTTATTTGTCTAATTTCTCTTTTCCAGTGTTTAATGAAAAGTGCCATCCCTTTAGTTAAACATTTCCTAACTTCTAGCACCCCTGTCACTTTCACTCGACATTCACATGCACTACTTTTTCTGTTAATAACTGCACTCTCTTATCTCTCCTTTTTGGTTGTCTGTCCTCTAAGGACAGACAATGTGCACTAAGCATTGCCTTTTCCTGTGATTTAGTTCAACAAATATTTTTTGTTAGGAAAACTTCATACTTTACTTTGAAATATCAACCTACCTAACCATTAAAGTTTAATATTCAAGTACCAGGGATGAATGGGAAAAATGTGGTAGTTCATCTTAAATCCGCTATTATTTAAACATTCTACTTGCAGGGAGGGCTATTCTACTACTTCTCTGTCTTAAGAAGCTCCAAACTCAGATTCAATTTTAATAGGATATGTAAATAACATAACTCAGTATTATGCAAGGTCAAGGCAAATGACAAGGACCGTGGAAGGCTGAGAGGCTTTCTCTCCATGGTTATATTGGAAGAGTATGCAGTACTCAGTACATCGGTCTCAATGACCACTTTGTAAAATGAATATAAGCAATTTCAGAAACATGTAGTCATGACGTCCATTTTTGTTTTCTAGATGTAAAAAATTTAAACTATGTCTTTTTTTTCTCTTAAATAGCTTATGTGCCTCCAAAAGATCTTAGTTTTTCTGAAGTGACTTCTTATAGTTTCAAAACCAACTGGTCACCTGCTGGAGAAAATGTTTTTTCATATCACATCTCATACAAGGAAGCTACTGGGGATGATGAGGTTACAGTGGTGGAGCCAGCTTCAAGCACCAGTGTCATTCTCAACAACCTGAAGCCAGAGACCCAGTACTTGGTCAATGTGACTGCAGAGTATGAAGATGGCTTCAGCATTCCCCTAGCTGGAGAGGAGACCACGGATGAAAGTATGATAGGATGCTACTACAGTTTTTCAAAAATTAGTGTTACAAAGTTTCACTTTGTAATAACCATCTGCTGTATAGTCTAGAATTCTGAATATCTTTTTAAGATCTTGCATCTTTAAAATATGGCTCTTCATAAATTCTTTTAAAAAGAGAAAAAACTTTTGAGTAAAAAGATTTATTTTAGTGAATTTGAGGTTAAGAGACAGAGGATTGCTAATAAGTGTAGAATTAACTTTTGAAACACTTATCGATCTTTTTCTGTCCCACATTTCAGCAATGTCATGTTTTTAACTCTTCTGCTATTGCTTTGCTTTGCAGATATAGGTTGCCACAGTTTCAGTTTTTTAAATAAATTATAGTAAAACATACATGACATAAAATTGATCATTTTAGCCACTGTAAGTGTACATTTTAGTGGCATTAAGTATATTTACCTAGTCGTGTCACCATTACCACCATCCATCTCTAGAATGTGTAAAACTGGAACTCTGAGGCTGTTAAATAGTGAATCCCCATTCTATGTCTGCCTCACTCCTGGAAGCAGACATTCCACTTTTTACTTCTGTGAATTTGATTACTTTACACCTCTCATCTGAGTAGAAACATTGTATTTGTTGTTTTGAGTCTTAAGACACAAAATATAATGTCCTCAATATTCATTCATGTTGCAGCATGTATCAGAATCTCCTTTCTTTTAAAAGGAGATACATACATATTCCATAGTATGTGTATATCACATTTTACTTATTCATCCATTGATAGATATTCAGGTTGCTTCCACCATTTGGCTATTATGAATAATCCTGATATGGGAATGGATGTACTTAGTTTTTTACTAATGTTTTTGAAGCATTTGTTTAAATGTGTCCTCTTTACTGCATAGAGTTGAATACCTTTTGACATAATGCACTACATTTGACATTTTTAACCTGCTTAGGAGATGAAGGCAAGGCATTTACTCTTTTACTGGGGTTTGAACTCAGGGCCTTGTACTTGCCAGGTAGGTGCTTTACCACTTGAGCCATGTCCTCAGCTACTCTTAACATAAAGAAAGTGAATATTGAAAAGAAAAAGAAAATGAAAATTATAAGAGAGGTCTATTCTCTTTTTTTGACTGGAAATAGGAAGGAAAGAGCCCAAAAGAGCAACATGAAGGATTTAATGCTTTTACATGAAAGCATTTGCTGAAAGAGTCAGCACACACTGTCATACTTTATTGATAAAGCTAGAGAATCTCTTTTCCTCTGAAACATTTTTTGCAGAAGATTGATATTTTTCTTTTGTTCATGGTTGACATATATATCTGCCTGAAGGCCAGCAAGTAATCTCAGTGATCTAAGGGCATCGTCTTCTAACTTTTGTGATCCTATATCCTAGAAGCTCCTGCTTAGATATTTCTAATTTTCAGTTGATTTCTTGTAATGCATGCAGCTGCTGGATGAACCTGACCCTTTGTCTTCAGTACTTTAAGCTAAAGATGGGAAGTGTGTCTCAAGAAGAAACTTGAGTTTCAAGGTTTTTTTTTTGGCAGCACTGGGGTTTGAACTCAGGGCCTCATGCCTATGAGGCAAGCACTCTTTCTACTTGAGCCACTCCACCAGACCATGAAGGGTTTTTGAAACTGAATGCAAAACACCTTAATTAGCTATTGAATTCCATAAGCCATTTTTTCAATATTTTCTGCAAAAATAGGGAAAATAATTATGTTAATGGCTGTTTCAGATCTCTTAGGAATTTTAATGTGCCAGAGGTCTGAACTGAGGTGTTATCTCAGCCCTCTCCTCAAACAGGAGAGGCCAAGTAATAGTTTTGGATGGGAAGAGGTAAAAGGTACAGATGATCTAGAGTGAAGAATTGAAAATTAACTGTACTACTAGACATTTTAGGGAACCAAAACTTGGGAATAAACACGTCTATCTTTAACTTTTTTTCCTTTCTTTTTTTATTATCATATTGTACTGAAGGTACATTGTAACATTTACAAAGTTCTTACAACATATCATAGTTGAATTCATCCCCTCCATCATTTTCCTTTATTTCTTGCACCCATCTTCCAACTCTTGATCAGTTGTGTTGTCGGTACTTAGTTTTTAATATGCTGAGCAACTTTACCCTGTTTACAATTGTATTGGTGCCATTTGTTTCAGGCCATGAAGCACTGTTTTCCCCTTTCTACTATTCACAGGATTCCTTTTATCACAGCAGTTTTCATAAAAACAAATTGTAGAAATAAACACATTAAAATCCCTACCTGTCCCTGCCGAAAATGAGTTCAAGTAGAGGCCACTGTATTCATATTCATTTTAGTTTTTAGTGATTGGACTTCTACAATATAATTTGGGGGTGTATTTCTAATTCTACTGCTTATAGTGAAGTCTTAGACTTACACTTTTTAGTCAATAAGGAAGTTTCTGATTCAATACCTTCATTAAACTGATAATTTTTGAGCTCCAGCTCTCTGTCAGATGCTATGCTAAGTGTTTCCATGGATTAGCTCATTCAACCAAATCAGTAATTCAGTTTGTAGTCATGTGTTACCTATCTATTAAGCTTCAGAGCCAGGATTCAAACCCATCAGTCAACCTGCCTTGTTTGTTCTGACTAATTTAAACTTTTTCCTTGCTATACTTAATGAATCTTGGGTGTCAGTTTGCCAACTATTATTTCCTTTTTTTCTTGAGAGATTAAATTTATTTTCTTCTCTTTGGAGTAGTCTATTGATGTGTTGAATTTTTGAGCATACTCTAATTGTTTGTAGTGTTTAAATAAAGATGTTGTACTATAGTTTCAACTCAGAATATTCAGTTTGTGTCATGTGTTACCTATCTATTAAGCTTCAGAGCCAGGATTCCAAAACCCATCAGTCAACCTGCCTTGTTTGTTCTGACTTTCTCTTTTTCCTTGCTCTTAATGAATCTTGGGTTGTCAGTTTGCCAACTATTATTTCCTTTTTTTCTTGAGAGATTAAATTTATTTTCTTCTCTTTGGAGTAGTCTATTGATGTGTTGAATTTTTGAGCATACTCTAATTGTTTGTAGTGTTTAAATAAAGATGTTGTACTATAGTTTCAACTCAGTCTACTAAGAACACAATAACCTTGAGTTCACCTTTCCTGAATGTGTTGTCCATATGGACGGTTTGGCCTCTTGAATAAGTAGGTGATTTAAACATGTTTACTAAACACACAGCCAAATAATATTCTCATTTGGGCTTAATGAAAATTTCATTGATGACTGTGAGTCTATGTGTATTATCCACATTGCAATTTAACTTCATGATTTAGGTTTAGCTAAATTAACATTCATTAAGTACCAGTCATGTGCTTGCTCCCTTGCACATAGGATCCAATTTTCCTCCAAGTCAAATGACTATACAGATAAAAAGTTAGTCGTGGGACTATTTCAGAATTTATTTTAACCTATGTCTAAAAGAATGCTATAATCAGGATGTTTGCCAAAAAACTGTTCAAGAATTTAGTTGGAGAAATGCTGCAATTTGGTATTTAAAGGCTATATTTTGTATTTTTCACATAAAATCAACTAACTTTTTCCACATACGTGTTTTTTATTTTCAGTTAAAGGAGCACCTCGAAACCTAAAAGTGACAGATGAGACTACAGATAGTTTTAAAATTACCTGGAATCAAGCTCCAGGGAGAGTTTTAAGATATCGGATTAAATATAGACCAGTTACTGGTGGAGAAAGCAAGGAAGTTACCACCCCAGCCAATCAAAGGAGGAGAACGCTGGAGAACTTGATACCAGACACAAAATATGAAGTATCTGTAATTCCTGAATATTTCTCTGGACCTGGCTCTCCATTGACTGGAAATGCAGCTACTGAAGAAGGTAGAGGAAGTACGCTGATCATAGGGTAACAACTGCAGTCTTAGGCTAGAGGGGAAAGTGCACACACTCTCTCTTGATAACAAAAGTCACGACACAATTTGTCTCAATTTCCTGAGTATCTTACACTATAGTCCTTTTGAATTAAATCTGTTCAAATTTTTTACTTATTAATGATATCACTTAATGTGTCAATAGAATTTAGATGCTATGTTATGGTTTGGATATCTGTAAAAATATTATTAAATTTTTTAATATAGATTGAGAGATTACTAGGGATTGCAAATCAAACCACTTGGCACCAGTAAAACAGATTATATTTTATTTCTTCAGGAAGGTTTTAAACACTAATTTGTTTTTGTTTAAATCAAGTGGTTAGTCTTGCAGGATCAATCCCGATAATTGTTGCAAATTATTCAAAGTGTTTGATATGTTATTTCATGAAATAAAATAAGGTATTAATAATTTAATTTTATTCTCCATCTTTAAAGGTTTTTTTTTAGAAGTAATGAAAATGCTAAGTACATATTAACAATAATGAGCAGTTATGGATCATCTATTTGTATCAGTTTCTGCACAAAGGCTTTTTCCTTATCTCATTTAATATTTGCATATTCTACAAAATTTTTGTTATTATTGTCATGCCAGTTTCACAAGGAAAACTGAAGCAAAGGAAATTAAATAATAGCTCTAAGTCACATACCTAATAAGTTGTGAATCTAAGTTAGTGGATTTATTGCCCAACTTCAGACATTCTCAAGGACTATTCATTGCAGTGTGGTCCATACCATCTCCCTCCCTCCCATCTACCACTTCCCCTTCTTTCCTCTGCAACTAGCTCATTACTCTTTCCTGCTGGAGCCCTTATCGTCTCACCTGCCTTCTTCCTCCTCTCTCTTCCCTTGGGAAGCTACTATTTCACTTTGTCTTTTTCTTGCTGGGAGTCTAAGATTCTTTGTGCTGGGCACCATAAGTCAATCAAACACATCTTCATCATTCTGTTCTTTGGAGTAAAACTGGCTGAGTGTGATGTGAAAAAGAGGGTTGGGTGTCTTGAGACCCTTCAGAGATGACATTGCCAATCTACCAGGGAAGTCACAAAATACCAGATGTTACAGTTGCAAAGGGATAGGTGGCCCCTTGGAGTTATACCCAAAGATTGGTCTCACTTAGCCTGTTTCTTCTCTTATTTTTTTCCTTGGGTTGGCATCATTTTAAATCATTTATCATTTTTATCCTATCAGCATAATTTCTTGACTATTACCTTTACATGTCCATAGCATTACATGGATAAATTGTTTTTATTGAGGACTTAACAGAGGTGATAAAAATCTACATTGCAATACTAATCAGCATAAGTATATTTTATGTGTTTTATTCTACTTTTAGGGGAAGTATTTTACATGAAACATTTTAACATGAAAAAGTGTACAAGAAAGATTTTAACTTGGGTAAACACAGAAAAATAATTGGATGCCTTTTGCTTTGTTTCTGCTAACATCTAGAGCCTGATTTAGAAATGCTTAAATTTTGTTGTCTAGGCGTGTGTATCTAGGATATAACTTTGATACAATGCACACACATATGCAAAGTAAGTGTTTTTCAAGTCATTTTATTAAATAATGGGTTTTGATGTTATTGTTGTTTTTAATGAAGTTAGAGGGAATCCAAGAGACTTAAGAGTCTCTGACGCCACAACATCAACTCTCAAATTATCTTGGAGTGGGGCACCAGGAACAGTGAAACAGTATCTCGTCACCTACACCCCAGCAACAGGAGGTGAAACTCAAGAGGTCACTGTGAGGGGAGACACTACGAACACCGTGTTGAGCAGATTGAAGGAAGGGACACGGTATGCCTTATCTGTGACAGCCTTGTATGCATCTGGTGCTGGAGATGCCCTTTTTGGAGAAGGAACAACACTTGAAGGTAATTACTACTACATTTTAGGGAAATCCCTCAGCTGTCTGTGATTCTACATTTAGGAAGCCTATTCTTTTATAGGGAATATCTTGGAAGTAACTCAACAGTGTTTCTTTTGGTTGTGTCCTTCAACCTTCAGATACTCACCTGCATTTCTTTTAAAGATACATTCATGTTCAGTCACAATATTTTCTCTTTTATTGTTGTGCTGGGGGTACATTTTGGCATTTATAAAAGTTTTTACAATATATCAAACACATCCTACTTGATTTCACTCCCTCCATCATTCTCCTTTATCCTCCCTCCCCCATTCCTGGAATAGTTTCAACAGGTCTCATTTTTCCATTTACACACTTGTGCACACAGTACTTATACCATATTCACTCTCTTAAAATCTTTCCCCACATCCTTCTTCCTTCCACTGGTACCACCCTCTCCTAGACAGGACTTGTTCTGCCCTCCATTCTCTGATTTTGTAAAAAAAAAAAAATGACATTTTTGTTTGTTTAAGATAGCTATTCAGGGAGTTTCCCTGTGACACTTCCATGTATATATGTTTTATAACCTGAATTGGTTCATCTCCTTTATTTTTCTTCTTTCTACCTTAGTCCCCTTTGTATGGTGATTTCAACAGGTTTAAAAATTCTGTATTCATTCTTATATAGGAAGTATAGCAACCATATTCACCATCTTAGCTTCTTTCTTTTACCCTCTCTTTCTGGTACGGGACCTCCCTTTAGTAGTCAGTCACAATTTTTTTTTGATTCTAAAGATTAAGTTATCTTTGTCAAGAATGATATATTAAAATCTCACATAACAAAACATACTTTTTAATTCATAGCAAACGTATTCTCTTGATCTGTGATTTTTTTTTTTCCAAACCAGATGAATAGTTAAGTTGTTTATAAGTTTATAGCTCTGCTCAAATGGTATAGAAAACATACCGACTTATATGTATGTGTGTTTGTATGCACACACATGTATATGTATGTTTGACGACATTTTTTCTAAGGGAGATACACAGGAAGCAAAATTAATTTTTAAAACTACAGTTTTCCATTTCCTGAGAAGGAATAAAGTTAAATGGTTTTCAAGTTGCTTAAAAATATAGTTAGTTTGAAACTAAATTGCAGTAATAAAAAAATTTATTTTCCACTTACACTAGCACTCTCTACTACAGTGAAGATTACAAAAAATGTTGCTGGTCTGATTTTATTAACATATTTATCCCATTGCATTGTGTGTGGTAAACTTGACAAATATGTGAAAGCATAGTTGTGACTAAATTAAAACAATAGATGATATTTTGCCCCTGGTTATTCCATTCCATTTTATTATACTAACCTAGCCAAATCCACATACCATATACAGGAGTAGGATATGATGGTAAATGCAGGGAATGGAAAGCCCAGAAGCAGAGCCAGCCAGGCAACTGCTGTTGAGGGCTCTGGTTTTCTAATCTGTTTTTCTCTTGGGAGAGAAGGTGGTTAGAGCAAACCTTAAAGGAATGTTTCTTCTATCCAGAGGCATGGAGTCAACCTGCAAGAGCTTGCTGTAGGTTGAAAACTTCATAAAATACCTCAAGAGCATTGTGGCTTTCATCCCAAGAGCAAAATATCGTTCTTCTTTTTTTTAAAGTATTTGGTATGGTCTACAACCATCCCTAACTTGAATTTGTTTCCTAGTACTTTTTTTTGTTGTTGTTTTTTTGAAACGCAGAAAATTTCCCTGTCTCTGTAAGAGAGATTTATGACCACTGGCACTGGGGAAGTTCCTGGTTGGCTGTAGTATTGTATGCAATAGAATCACAAAGGCAGAGATTATTACTATTTCAGATCCAAGCTTCAGAGGAATCTGAGCACAAACCATTAGGTTTGATTTACATTGTTTTTTCTTCCTGTTGTTATTAAACTAGATAGGCTTAATGTGATTAGTAAAGCATTGCTATGTGTGTAAATGCGCTTTAAGTCTTGATAGAAATGTTAGTAGTCATGTTAACACTTAGAGAGAGGAAATCTTGCATTTATAAACCTCTAAATGAGTAATGCTCATTTATATTCAGGGTTTTGTCACAAATGAATGAAAATATGAGTATGGGAATAGTATAGTCTTTTAAAAAATCTTTGAGTGTTGTGTTTTGGCTATGGAAAGTATGACTTTTCAGTATTTCCTTTGTTTCAGTTGCTGTAGCAACCTTACCAGTGTTACATGAATGGCTTCCCACAGATCAAACCAAGCTAACTCACTGACATTTTGTTACAATGAAGGTTTTAGCACATCACAGGAATTCTGCATTTTGTTGAATAACATGGGATTTCTTCAAGATGGGCTAAACAAGTCCTCTGTGTTTTCCTAGATTTACTGCTGTCTCATAATTTGAAAAATCGTACATTCTGGGTATAACAATTCTGATATTGCTAAGGAACCTTAGTACAATTGCTGAACAGTAATTCATAGTTCCTTTTCTGTGAGTTAATTGCTCATCAGAAAAGAATCTAACTAAAATGGGAGAGGTAATAGCTATGGAAGACATTTCTTGTTGCTTGTGCAGACTCTGAAGTTGAACTGTAATTTAATTAAAAGGCTTTTAAGAATTACATGTTACTTAAAGTAACTGAGTTAACTTATCAACAGTGAACTCTGTCCTTTGGAATGGTGGTGCTAATTCATTGGTTGTAAATCAAGTGGATTTCCACATGAATGTTATCCAGAAGTAGGTCTTCTGTATTCTGTGGTGGAAAGTTGGATGACTTTGGAGCTAAGCTTTAACGGAAAAGACAAATTGATTTAGAAGAGTGTTTACATTACATTTTCAATTTAACTTCTATTTTTGAAAGTGGTATGTGAAACTTAGTGAAAGCTGGCTGGAACAATCTATAAGATGAAATGCAGTTTCATTTCATGATGATTAATTTTTCAGTTAGCATCACTGGCTAATTTGTATTGTAATTATATTTGAATTGGATGATAATTTGCTTTTTAGAAAGTAAATGGAAAAGGGCTAAGGAAACATTTAAGTAAGAAGCTGAGCATTAGTTCTTTGGCCTAGAATGTGGAAAAAAAGTGTATAAATCAACCCCTTGTGGATGTTCAGATGTACCTGCCTGAATTACTTCCCTCAACAACAGCACAGATGAAATGCAAGCAGGCATGGAGAAATGCCTTTTGAATATATGTATGTGAATATGTTTTATAACCAGGACAGAAATTCTGAGTATCAAAAATTCAAAACCTGATAGCATTTTATACCTTTAAATCTATGACAGAAATGCATTGTTACTATTGGACTTACACTGGTACTATATTTGGAAGAATACAGTATATAGGAAACTAAATAATTTCTCCCTGTAATTATTGATGTCTGGAGTTCCTTATATTGAGGACAAAAGAGACATTGTAATATAAACAAGCAAATGCCTGGCTAGATAACACTTTGAACCTCATCCCATGAAAATGTGACCAACTGTTCAATAACAAGTATGAACTGAAAGCCATGGTTGACTTTTGAAGACAGGATAGAGAGAAGAGAGAGGGGTGAGCAGCCTTGTGTTTTATGGGATGGACAGGATGTGAGGAGAAGTTTAAATGAACTTCTCAGTCAACTGAGGATCAGCCTTGAGATCATTTGCTACCACCAGGGTGATTTGTGGTACATGGCACTATAATCGTACAGTAAAGGAGCCATGGAGCTTCACCATGGGCAACATTTTGACTCGTTTTTCTTTCACCACACCTGCCTTTATTTTTAAGGAGTCCCATTTCTCAGTGAAAGCAAGTGTTAAGTTTCCTTCTGATACTGACCAAACACACCTTCCAATTAAATAGGCCTCAAAGAGCTGCAGGAAAAGAAGAGGAACAACACAACAACAAAAAAGATGGAGATAAGAATATAGACTAGTAGAAGAATTAGAATCTTTAAGAGCAGACTTAAAGATTTTTAGAAAACATCAGTACTTAGGCACAGCCACAGATATTCTGATTTAACTGATTGGGCAGGGGTAAGCTTTTGGCTCTACAGCCAATTTCATGTGTCTGATCAGGTCCAGTTCAGCTGCTGCTGAGGGCTAAGCCCTAGGATGTGACATGGCCTGCTGGTGGCCAGCTCAGCTGGCTGCACACCTAGTGCCAATACCAACCTGGCCACTTTCCATCCTGCATTTTACCATGTGTACCACAGGGTGATATACAGCTGCTTCACTTTTTGGTAATCTAATGTCTGGCTAAACCAAGATCACATTTTTAAAAACTTCAAGGGTTATAGATCTGATAAAGATTGCATGTCATAAGTGTTATCATTTCCTCAAAATTTTTGCATTGCAAAATGTCTTGTAATACAACAGATAAGAACACTCAGCTCTTTTGGAGAAGAAATTTATCAATATGTCTAATAGTGTAAACTTAGCATTTAGGAACATCCTTAACAAACTGACTGACATGCAAGAGATCCATTTGTCTTTCTAATATTGGCTTCTGAACTGATGTATCTTTCCCCTTTCTTTGGAGTCTGTTTCTTTGTCACTAGCATGGAATGTAGTAGTGAGAGTGCCTACAAATAATGTCTTTACATACCACAGACAGAAACTATGACTTTTTGAGGATTTTTCCCCACGGTGATTGAGAACGTTCTCAATGTTCACTCAAATTAGTGTTGTCATGCCACTAATGAGGACTCAAATATTTTTTAGTTGATAATTTCATTTGCATCTTAACAAATGCTTTTGCAGATTGTTTTCAGGACAATGATAAACCTGGCAGAGATTTTTATTGTCATTATCCTAGTATTTTGTTCTAGCTTTATAGGTTTTGGAGTGCTAAAATAGTTGGTGAAAATCCATGGAGAGACATGTCTGGTGACCTGGGATCCTTTTGTTTTAAGCTCAGAAGTGTCTTTGTGAATGTATTTTTGCTTCAACCATAATTCTCTTCCTGTTATTTTTCTCACAGTAAAACCATTAACTTGTATTTGTGAGGTTGATGTCTGTTGTCATGGAAATAAACAGTGTCACAAATTCACTTCTGTAGAAAATAGGGAGAAAATCAGACTGAGAACCACAGATTTTAGAAAACACAGAAGCTGAAATTATTCCTTGCAAGTTACCCTGGTGTTAATTTGGAAGATAATTCCCACATCCTAACTAACTTTGTCTTGCATAGTTTTGGAATGTCATTCATTCAGTATTTAGCTCATTTAAATTCAAGGTCATTTTCAAGAAAGGTCATTCCATAGTAGTTCTTCTTGACTGCAACTTAAGAAATTTAGGAGAAAAGGCCTATATGGAAAAATTGTATTTACCAAGCAAAGGAAAAACATACTGCATCTTTAAAACTTAGAGACTTCTTGTTGGAAGCCATCTATTAAAATGGCTAAGAAGCAAACAAAAAACCTCAATAATCAAACCAAAGGAAAAAAAAAAAAAAAACCAAAAACAACCTGAAATTGCACTTTTCTATTTTTTTGCAAGTAAAGAAAACAAAATAGTGTTCAGCAAAAGAAAACTTTCAAATGAGAATTAGCCTTCAAGTATTTGGGGAAAAAGTTAATGTGTTCTTGAAAATAAGTATTCTTGGTTGCAATAAAATATGTAATTTCCTTCCAGAGATGAGATGTCTTGTCAGCAGTTAAAGTTATTTATAATGGAGTTAGAATTTTCCATTTGGACCTGTGGTCTGGTAGGCTGTCCAGCTCCTGCTTTATTTATTTTCCCCCAATTCAACCACATATGATAGGTTTTTGCATACTGATGTTTCTTTTTCATTAATTGTTATCTTTATTTTTGTGCTGAAATTTAACTGTTTAATTATGAGTAGTTTTAAGATATCTTTAGTCTGAATGAAGTAAAATAACAGCCTTTAAAATTTTTGTAATGGGAGGAGGCTGAAAGGAGGAGATGAAGGTGAAAGAATGTGGTAGATGGGCTTCATATACAAATAAGAAATACAATGATGAAACCTCTTGCGATTGCTTTAAGCGGGGTGGGGAGGGATGGCGTGGAGGAGATGGAGAGGGTGACCTAACCAATGTGCAATGTAAGGCTATTCAGAACTGTCAAAACAAATCCCCCCCTCATACAATGAATATATGCTAATAAAATGGAGGAAAATTTCTTATAAGAGCATTGCACATCATTTACATGAGTATTCAACAATTATTGGCAACATGTATGCTGAGGAAGTGGATAGCTTTATGTTATGTCACACCATAGCATAAAACCTAGTAAAGATAGCCAATATAAAGTGATGTGTATATTTAGATTACACTTCAAATATGGAAAGTGAGGGTTTTATTGGAAGACATCTGTGCCTTCTATTAAGTTGAGGTTTCCATAGTTTCCATTTGGGTTAGATTTTTTTTCTTGAATAAGCCAAAATTTAGTAGCAGACGTTTTTGATCAGCTAGAACAAGTGGTATGTTTTATTTTGATGACTAATCACTTTTAAGTTTTCCAGAATTGGTGGTTTTTAGTTTTATTTGGGTTAAGCTATATTGAAAATTTGCACTTCTACTTTTTAAACTATATAAGCATGTATTCCCTCAAATTTGGATGTCAATCTTGATCTGGAGAACTTTACAATCTGTCTGGTCCTATAGGGGCAAGGTTGATAGGAATGATATGAATCTGAAGTTTTATCCCACCAATCTGTTCTATTAATGGAACTGGACAAAAGAAGACCAGAAAGAAGAATGGACAATTTTAAACAAGTTGAGATTGGGTCTACCAAGTTCTATATCCACCAGGATGAATAAATATTTAAATATCTAGTAGACATTTAAAAGTGATTCTCCTTTAATTTTTATTCTAGAACTTGGCTCACCTCAAGACTTAGTTATTAAGGATATCACTGACACGTCAGTTGGCGCTTATTGGATATCTGCTCCAGGAATGGTTCGTGGATACAGGGTCTCATGGAAATCGCTTTATGATGATGTTGAGGCTGGGGAGAAAAATCTTCCTGGAGATGCAATTTACACTGTAATAGAAAATCTGCAGCCAGAGACCAAATACAAAATTTCCGTTTTTGCAACTTACAGCAGTGGAGAAGGAGAACCGTTGACTGGAGATGCCACGACTGAATGTAGGTAACATCACAGGTGTGTCTGAGTGTGTGTAAGGGCTACCTGCTACACTCACGTGTAGTTTAAGCATGGGAAGTTCTTTCTTCATATGATAAAATAAAAGTGAATAATTATAATCATTAAAGAATATGGGTTCAATTTCAGATTAGGTTAATGTAAAAATATGTCAAATTTTGAAATATTGAATCCCTTTCAACTGTCAATGTTTGTCTTTTTTTTTTTTCTTTTCTTTTCTGGTGGAATGATCAATTACATAGGTGCTCAGTTGTAAAAGGTCAGCTCCTATGGAGACAAAGAGAATTCAGGCACATTTACAGTTGGTGATCTTGCTTAAGTTACTTCCCTTCGAGTTCCCTAATCTGTAGGATCTAGACAACAGATCTGTGATAGTTGTCGTGGGCATTAAATGAAATAACAATGTACACAGCACTGAGTATAGTGCTTAGCCGCTTACTTTATTTCTATCATATTTGCTAAACTTAAAAATCAAAAGTCCACTTAATTTTCTGGTGGCCCAGATTTACCTCTATTTCACCGCTGTTCTTTTTTTTTTTTTTTTTTATTCATATGTGCATACAAGGCTTGGGTCATTTCTCCCCCCTGCCACCACCCCCTCCCTTACCACCCACTGCGCCCCCTCCCTCACCCCAAAACCCCTCAATACACAGCAGAAACTACTTTGCCCTTATTTCTAATTTTGTTGTAGAGAGAGTATAAGCAATAATAGGAAGGAACAAGGGGTTTTACTGGTTGAGATAAGGATAGCTATACAGGGCGTTAACTCACATTAATTTCCTGTGCGTGTGTGTTACCTTCTAGGTTAATTCTTTTTGATCTAACCTTTTCTCTAGTTCCTGGTCCCCTTTTCCTATTGGCCTCAGTTGCTTTTAAGGTATCTGCTTTAGTTTCTCTGCGTTAACAGCAACAAATGCTAGCTAATTTTTTAGGTGTCTTACCTATCTTCAACCCTCCCTTGTGTGCTCTCGCTTTTATCATGTGATCAAAGTCCAGTCCCCTTGTTGTGCTTGCCCTTGATCTAATGTCCACATATGAGGGAGAACATATGATTTTTGGTCTTTTGGGCCAGGCTAACCTCACTCAGAATGATGTTCTCCAATTCCATCCATTTACCAGCAAATGATAACATTTCGTTCTTCTTCATGGCTGCATAGAATTCCATTGTGTATAGATACCACATTTTCTTAATCCATTCGTCAGTGGTGGGGCATCTTGGCTGTTTCCATAACTTGGCTATCGTGAATAGTGCCGCAATAAACATGGGTGTGAGGGGGCCTCTGGAGTAACCTGTGTCACAGTCTTTTGGGTATATTCCCAAGAGTGGTATTGCTGGATCAAATGGTAGATCGATGTTTAGCTTTTTAAGTAGCCTCCAAATTTTTTTCCAGAGTGGTTGTACTAGTTTACATTCCCACCAACAGTGTAAGAGGGTTCCTTTTTCCCCAAATCCTCACCAACACCTGTTGTTGGTGGTGTTGCTAATGATGGCTATTCTAACAGGGGTGAGTTCACCGCTATTATTCTTATGAATAATTGTGAGTGATTTATTATACTTCACATGGCCGGTGGATCATGATTTCTTTGTGGTGCTAGGGATTGAACTCAGGGCCTTGTGCTTGCTAGAAAGATGCTTTACCTCTTGAGCCATGCCCCTAGCCCTTTTTGGTCTATTTATTTTTCAGATAGGGTCTTGCTTGAGTTTTTCACCGGAGACCGGCCTCAGACTGTGATCCTCCTCATCTCTATTCCTGAGGAGATGGGATTATAGACGTGTGCCACCATGCCTGGCGCAAGATTTCTTAATTCTGTTTCCTAAAAAGTTATTTGTTTGAATGATGATGATATGTCAATGGAGGTTCAGTAAATTTAACAAGTGTATCACTTTGGTGGGGGATGTGAATAATGGAGGATGGTCTGCATGTGGGGGGGTAGGGAAGGGTATATGGGAAATCTCTGTACTCACTGCTTAATTTTGTGAACCCAAAATCCTTCTAAAAAGTAAAGTCTATTAAAAACAAACCAGAACAAACCCTAAGCAAAAAGACATTTGTTGTACATGGGCATTTCTAAGCTTCTGTAGGAAAAACTTTATTCTTTTTGTTTTGGGAGGATCTTAGGAAAAGGGGAAAGAAGTGGAACATTTTCTTCTATTAGACAGAAGTAGAAGAATTTGGTGATTTTTCTGGCAAAGAAAGAGAGAGAGGGAAGTGCCAGGAGGATTTTCAGTTAAGTACCATGTCCTTATTTCAAATTGTCCTTTAACTACAATCTTTTGGTCTGAGTCGTCTGAGGAACTCATTTTCTTTTTATCACTGGCAAGCTCAGTTGGATATGTCTAAGTTTAAATTTGTCTAAATTAACTAGCTTTCAAAAAAAATCAAACTCCTTACAGGAAATTTAAATATGTGAAAAGGCATATTTGTCAGATATTCGCGATTGGTTTCCATGGTAGTAAATAAAATCTTGTGTCTGGAATATATTGGCTGCTGCAGTTTAGAAACCTGGCAGAAATTCATCCTCTATTCTGGTGGAAATTCATTTGTTGTAAGAGAGGCCATATTGCAAACTTAGGCAAGATATGATACATTTGCCTACATTTGTTTACTGAAAAAAAGATAAAATTCATATGGCTGAAAATTATAGAAGTGTATGTGTTTAGATGATTTTTTCAGAACACCTCCATTGTGCTTTTCCCAAAACTGTCTGAGCCTTCAAATAATTACTTAGGGTCCAAAATTTCCACAAGGGATGCATTTTAGCTAAAAGCAGGTAGGTATATAAGCATAAACTAAATAAACTTTCTTGTCTTCAAAGATAAGGATCTAAGAACTTTTTAGTATTTCTTGGTTAATTGATTGTTTTAAAAGTTAGTGAATAGAAAAACTCTTTTGAACTTCTTTTTAGAGAGTATATAAAAGCTCAAATGCTAAGAGAAGACATAAACCTTTCTTTTTCTATTACTGAGATTTTTTTTTTTTGGTAGTACTGGAGTTTGAACTCAAGGCTTTGTGCTTGCAAGGCACGCCTCAGTCCTCTACCACTGTTCTGTTGTGTTTTACTTTGCTCTCATGGTGGAAAATAAAGCTGTGTAGAAAGTACGTGCAGACTTGTGGGTGAGATCTGGTGTTTAGGTGGTGCACGAATCCTGAGGTGTAGATTACTTGGCAGGACCACCAGGTAATGCTTGTATAGTTTCATAGGTGCTTCTAAGGGACCTTTAAGAAATGCCTTTAGCATCACTTTCTCCTGAACCTCAGGGGCATGGTACATAGACTGTTGATAGGATGGAAGCCATGAATTGATACTAGAAAGCAAGCAGAGGGGAAGTTGCCTAATGTCTCTCCTCATACTTCTGGTTTAACAGTTGGCACAGGGGTGTTTGAAGTATCATGTATGCATTGCTAAAAGACAGAAAGAAATTAAAGTGTGTGAGGATGTTACAGAATTTTATAACGTGTGGCATCCCTATGAATGACTTGAAAAGTCTTGCTTTTTTTTGTTATGAGAAGCCAATAAGGGTTTTTTTTTTAATCTAAAGTCTAGTTTGCCATTGAAAGTAAGATTAGATGTGAAGTACTTTATTTAAATTCTGTTACTATAAAGAGTTAATGAGAAGTTAATAAAAAGTAGTTAATGAAAAGTCAGGAATATTATTGAGATGCATGGAATATGTCAAAGTATGAGGTACAGCATTTGGCTGCTATTAACATGTTTAAATTTGGAAAGATTTTGAAGTTTGGAATTCCATTTTTTTGGAAACAGATACTCATAAGATTTAAATTTCCATTTTTCTCAATTATGAGCTGTGGGAAATTGGTTTGTGAATTTTGGATAACATAGAGATGTCTTGTTTCACTGAGTAAAAATTTAAGAGATGGAAATACGAGGTCATAAAACATATTTTAACACAATACCTTGTAGAAAAAGTGTTAGATTAATTTGTGAACATTGTAACGGTAAAAATCTAAGCAGATTATATTTTTCTATTTCTATTTTTCTTTCCCATACTGTTTTTAAAATTTTAGGTAACGGCTTTACATTTTTTTGAAAATTTATATATTTTCTTTTAATAGTTAACTCACTATGGAAGAGTAATAAAGAATAAGGATTAACTTGAATAGTTTTTTTGTTGTTTATTTTTTGAAACTAGTTCTTGCTATGTAGCTTAGGCTGGCTTCCATCTCGACATTGTCTTGCCTCAGCTTCACAAATGCTGGATTACAAGCATGAACCGTTATTCCCAGCTTTATCTGAACAAGTTTTAAAGTTTTCAGAAAGTAATGGATTTGGTTTAGACTTCTCTTAGTTTCTTTAAACTCTAAAGTGAAATAAAAGATTTTGATTAATGTACTCTTGGCTAAAAATATACTTTTACATCTCTTGGAAACTTAATGCACAACATATAATTAGTTTCTCTACCTATTTTATCATTATTATCTTTTGCCTTTATATGTGTTATATCTCTTTAAAAATATGCCTACTTTCAAGATTTTCTTTTTGTCACTGATTTTAAGCAATCTGATTATGATGTCTCTTCTTAGCATGCCTCTCTTCATGTTTCTTGTGCTTGGGGTTCACTGAATTTCTTGGATCTATGAGTTTATAGTTTTTATAGGATTTGAAAAAAATCATTCCATCATTTAAAAAAAATTTTCACTTATTACACTGCTATTTTCTTCAGGTGTTCCAATCACACATATATATTAACCTGTTTGAAGTTATCACAGTTCACTGATGCTGTTACCACTTCAATCCTCTCTCTTTCCTTATGCTTCATTTTCCACTATCATGTCATCAAGCTCGCTAGTCATTTTTCTCTGCAATTCCACTATATGTAAACACTATCCTATACATTTTTCTTCTTAACATGGTATTTTTTATCTCTGGAAGTTTCATTAGATCTTTTTATATATTTTTTTCTATATCTCTACTTAATATGCTTAATCTTTCTTGGAATATAATTATACCTTTTAATGTACCTTTTGACAAATTATGCCACTTCTTTTTTTTTCCTTCTTTTTTGTGGTAATGGGGTTTGAACTTAGGCTTCATGCTTGCTAGACAGGTGCTTTACCCCTTAAAACATTCCATTAGCCGTTTTTGCTCTGGTTATTCTGGAGATAGGGTCTCACTTTCCATCCAGGATGGCCTGGATGGTCATCCTCCTATTTTTATTCCTCCCTATATTGCTGGGAGGTATGTGCCATCAAGCCCAGTTTTTCTCCATTGATATGGTCTAGCAAACTTTTTTGCCTGGGCTGTCCTCAAACCATGGTCCTCCCCTTCTCAGCCTCTTACGTAGGTAGGATAATAGGCATGAGCCACCAGCACCTGGCTTATTTTTGTCATTTTACTTCTGTTTCTATTGATTGATTTTCTTTCTTCTTCTCATATGTTGTCTTAGTTAGCTTGGGATGCCATAACAAAATACCATTGATGGAGTTAATTTTTTTCACAGTTCTGGAGTCTGAAAAGTCCAAGATCAAGGTTCTGGTAGGATTTGGTTTCTAATGAGGGCTCTCTTCCTGGTTTGCAGTCAGCTAGCTTCTCACTGTGTCATCACATGGCTTTTTTTCAGTCTGGAATTAGGGAGATAAGAGAGAGAGAGCTCTCTGGTGTCTCCTACCTCTCATAAAAATACTAATCCCATTGGATTGGCATGTAATGTTTACAACTTCCTTTAACTCTACCTCCTCAAAGGTCTCGTCTCCAAATACCAACCCATTGACATTGAAAGTTTCAACACAGGAGTTTTCAGGATGGTGGTGGTGGTGGGGACAAAATAATTCTGTCCATAACATAGCTTTAGATTTTCCTTCTTGTCATGTTTTACAATTTTTATTAGAAGCCAGACACTGTGAGTTTTATCTTGTTAGGTGCTGAATATTTTTATATTCTTACAAATAATCTTCAGCTTTTTTTTTTTTTGGAGTACAGTTAAATTTTATTTGTAAATAGTTTAATCTTTCCAAAGCTTAGTTTGAAGCTCTGTTTTAGTTTAGGACTAATTTTTCTCTATTATCGAGGCAATAACTCCTGAGTTACTCTATTATGTCTACAGAGATACAGATTTTTCTTTTCTGACTGGGAGAAGAACATTTTTGGTCCCACATGAACTCCAGGAATTGTTTCCCCTATTTCTTTTGTGTGGTTCTTTCCCTGGATTTAGGTAATTTCCTCGCACGTGCCCAATTAGTACTGGGTAGAAGGCTCAATGGGGACTTTTGCATACATTTGGAGCATTTTCTTTGAGATGTGCTGTTTTGGCTAGTCTCCTGGTCTGTGAATTCTAGTTGTCTTGGACTCCCCTCATTTTCAGTTAGGGGAGACCATGAGGCTCCATTTGGAGTCCATCTTCCTATACTGGTGCCTAAAACTTCTCTTCAAATAATAAGCTGGGTCAGTCCTAGAGCTGACTCTCATCTGCTCCTTAACTCTCAGGGATCAACTGTCTACTGCTGACTGATGTCCCACTGTCTGTAGACTAGTGGGTTTTCAAAAGCTTTTTTCCAGGTGTTTTAGTTGTTTCATGTGATTCTTGTTGATTTGAGCATGAAAATTTCTCTTAAAATCAGGAACGATTCTTTGATATTTTTGTTTCCTTCAGCTTAATCTCTTCCTATAAAAATGCTTATGATTTTAAAAATAATTAGATAATTGAACTGAATTAAATGATGCTGCTTCTAAACTTATGATGTATAAGAAAGGAATGTTGGCTGCTTGTGGATGTTTGGTGAGCTGTGTCTGATGAATTATTAATAATTGTGAAACATTAGTAAATGGCAATTTAACAGATAATATTACTTATACATTACACAAATACTACTAACATATATTGCTTCTAAAATATTCATTATATACACCAATTCATCTTTAGATCCCTTGAAATGTTTTTATGTGTTAGTTTCCTATTTTTTATGTTTCTGGTCTTACATGTACATGGTAACGACAAGAACAATGTTAGCCACACCTCTGGCTAGTCAATTGTAGATTGCAACTTTTTTCGAAAAGGCCTAAGTAAATTTCTAACTCTAGCATTCTTGATTTTTAGTGTTTTCTGTGGCATTGTTATTAGAGAAATTCTTTACAGATGAAAACATAATAAAACATTTAAAAACTCATCTCTGGAATTGGATGTTTGCTTTACTAAAGTCTCTAGAATGCAAATAGGAAATCCCTGCAATATGAACTTTCATTCTTTAGTATTAGCTGGATAAAGGGAAAGTACCTTTCGAGCTCTTGCTGGGATTAGACTCACACGCCATAGGGAATTTATGAGAGATTGCAATGCTAAGCAAGAGAACAGTGTGCACATTTAAGAAACAACAGAATTTCTTTTCATATAAATGAGATGGGCATTCATGTTTTCTTTCAACATGGTGCATATTTTAATTTCCCTTTTATCTCACAGTATCCCAAGATTCCAAAACCTTAAAAGTGGATGAAGAAACAGAACATACGATGAGAGTTACATGGAAACCAGCACCAGGAAGAGTTGTCAACTATCGTGTTATATATCGCCCCCAGGGGGGAGGGAGACAAATGGTTGCTAAAGTGCCACCCGCAGTCACCTCAACAGTGTTAAAGCGACTTCAACCCCAAACTACATATGACATCACGGTTCTCCCAATGTATAAGACAGGAGAAGGAAAAGTTAGGCAAGGATCGGGGACAACAGGTACAAATAATAACAATATAATAATATTTGGAAGGGAACATATGAAATGCTTTAAAAACACTTTAATATATATACTTCATTTGTAAATGCTGAAAATTGAATCTTGGGCTGGGTTGTAGCTCAGTGGTGGAGTGCTTACCTACCACAAGAATATATATATATATATGGAGAGAGAGAGAGAGAGTTCCTTGTAAAATAATTCTATCCAGTAATATATTAATGCTTAGTCTAAATTGTGAGAATTATTTACACTTTTATACTTCTTGGTAGCCCAGCTAACTATGTTATCAGGGTTTTTATTGGACTTGATATCTTATGCTACAAAGATTTAACCCTTCATAGAAATATGCATTTTTGTAGGGGCTTATAGAAAATTTCTGAAGTCTAGTTCTATTGATAACATTAATTTTTTTGTTTACATAGCTTCTCGATTTAAGTCACCCAGAAACCTCAAAACATCTGACCCAACTATGTCAAGTTTCCGAGTGACTTGGGAGCCTGCCCCTGGAGAAGTGAAGGGCTACAAAGTCACATTCCACCCCACGGGGGATGACAGAAGACTAGGAGAGTTAGTTGTTGGACCATATGACAACACAGTTGTTTTGGAGGAACTTAGGTAGGAATTAACTACATTTATGTTAAAAGATTGAATCAATTTGTGTTAAAAGTTTCATAACTTCTGAAAATCAGTAGACATATACAAATCATCACTTATATGTCTGTTAGCTAGCACAGTGTTTAACATCAACAGAAGTTTTTTAGGCTTTGTGATGCTGGATTTGAGTTAGAATTCAGGGGCTAGTGACAGAATTTAACTTGAGTAAACTGTAATGTTTTAATCCTTTTTGTTATTAGTGATCAGAAAAGGCTATTTTCTTTTGAAAAGTTAGCACCTTGCTTTTTAAACTTCCATATTACAGTTTCACTATAATTCCAGTCACGGGGAAATGTGGGGGTCATGTGCCTTCTCAAAGGGCTCAAGTGACTCATGTTGAGATGACAACTGTGAGTCTCTTCCTTCATTGTGACACATTGGAGCCAGGGACAGGACTCTGTGCTTGGTGCCAGCTGGCAAAGCAGACTTGGACTGGTTAAAGATCCAGTTTTAGATTATGCAGTGAAAAACAAAGAAGTCTGACTTTGAACAGCACCCTACATTCATTACAGAAGAAAGAATGGACTACTGTGCATTGGCTTTTGGAAAGTTTGTTAAAGGTTCATTCAATAATACTAAAATCTACATAAATGCTTGCTATTTACTTTTACCAGTGTAAAGAGGATGAAATTTATTGGCAAATTACTATTCACCAGGCATTGTGCTAGGTGCCTTATGTTACATTGCAAAGAATAACATTTCAATCCCTTTCTTAAAGCCCACTGCTTAGAAGCAGAAAGAGCAAAGCTCTAGATCCTCCTCTGACACAGTGTGTGTCATGGTAGGACTCTGCCTTGATAGAAAAGCAAGCCAGAAATGGTTCTGTGAATCCCTAGAGTTCTCCAGAATGCTCGGTAGCCGGTTTCCCTTGATACCCCACAGTGTAAACATAAACTTAATGTGATAGAATTCACTTTTCTTCTCTTACAATGCTGAACATTGTTAAGTTCCTCTGAGTGAAAGTTTGTTCAAGATAGATGTCTTTTACAAAGCAAAAAATTGAGCCAATGACCCATACAGACTATATACATTACCATTTCAGGGCAGGTACCACCTATAAAGTAAATGTTTTTGGAATGTTTGATGGAGGAGAAAGTTCACCACTTGTTGGACAAGAAATGACAACCCTTTCTGACACAACTGTAATGCCAATTTTATCCTCTGGTAAGAAATTAAGCTACATTCCCCTAGGAAAACTTAGGATTATAAAACTACTTCAAATGTGAACTATTAGGTTATTATACAAGAGAAGTAACTATATAAAAATTTTTCACTAAAATTTATTTAAATAATTTACATACTTCTTTTCCTTTTTCTGTTTATAAAAACTGCTTCAGGACATCCAGTCAAGCATACTGTTCACAATATATTTTTTTGGGCTTCTCTTCAGCATTGTGTTAGTTACATAGTATTGCATTTTTTAAAAGATGAGTTTTTACTAGGTGTTGATAACAATTCCTACACTTTTCTAATACTTTTTTCTTGTTAAAATAATTATATATCTTTACTTCAATAATTTCTTTGGGCCAGGAAGCAGAGTTTACCTTACATAAAAAGGTGGACAACCAGGACTTGGAAGCAAAATGGTAACATAAACCATTTAGGTTTTTTGTCCCTGCCATGATTATAGCCTGGCTGTGAATGAAGCTAGTCGTTAACAGTCTTAGAGGTGAAAGTGGTAGATAAAGTTTATTTATAATTTTTTTTATCATTTACTAAAAAACAGTAGATTTGAGCAGAGCAGGAGTAGCCTTACAAAGGCTTAGGTTCTCAGAATAATATTTGGGGGACTTCAGTCTTGAAGTATATAATAAATGAATGACATTTTTGTACTTGATATTATCATGATCACTAATTATTCTTCAATTTTTAAAAATATATAAACAGCAGATGCTAATGTTTGCAAGAAATTGGATAAAAGTTCTTAGAAAAGTATGCATTTAAAAAGTTGGATATGGATAACAAAAATGAAAGTGTCAAATCTTGCTGTTTTTCACGTTTTATTGTTTCTGTTATGATGATATTAACTGACTTATATTTTTATTTTGTAGCTTGTGCACTGAGGATGTTGGAACTCTTTTCTCTTTCCAAAGACCCTATCAGTGTCTGTGCTTGTTTTCCCTACAGCTCTCAGTTTGTGTATTTGTTTGTATACTTTTCTAGTCTTCCTTCTTTCTTGATTTTTTTAAATGTGCGAGCTTCGCCATCTGAATTTATTATGTGATTTTTATACATAGTAGATGGTAAAGTTAAATAATTAATAACTAGATAATACATTAGTATTTCAGGTTTAAAAATATATCAGGAAGGTCTAATTTTAATTGATGTGTCTAATTCTTTATAATATACATAATAGTTACCTGAGAGCTTAGTTGTTTTAAAAGATATTTTTTGGCTCACTAAAACCATTTCTAGTGTACACATTTAATCATCCATTCCATTCATGTCTGCTAATGACTTAAATATTGCAGAAGACTACAACATCTTATCTTTAGATCATAATAATTTTATTAAAATTATTAATAGCTTACTGTTAGCTCGCTGTGCATTGTCACTTACTGTTTCATCTCTTGCCTATGTGAGCCTTTCAAATTGACAGCAATGGTCTGATTCTAGTCTCCAGACTCTATGTGGCCAGGAAATGTAGTCAAAAATGAAGGAAAGATTTGTCACTGAAATAGTCATCTTTGGAGGAATTGATTGTTGTGATTGCTATTTGAATTTAATAAATCAAAATCTTGTACTCTAAATCATTAGATGAACTGCAGGATTGAAACACTCCCTGGGTGGGGGGGTGGCAGAGGCAGGCTAGGAGAAACCCTGCCAACCATTTCTTCCTTTCTGACTTGTTCCATGGTTGCTGTCAGGGATGGAGTGTCTCACCAGAGCTGAAGCAGACATTGTGTTGCTGGTGGACGGATCATGGAGCATCGGCCGAGCAAATTTTAGAACCGTGAGAAGTTTCATTTCTCGTATTGTGGAAGTCTTTGAGATTGGTCCCAAAAGAGTGCAAATTGGTAGGTTCTGACAATACTGGAGACATTCAGCATTTTCATTATGCTCTTTCATGTGCTCTGATATCAGTGGTGTTATTTTAGCCCTTGCTCAGTACAGTGGAGACCCCAGAACAGAGTGGCACCTAAATGCTCACAAAGACAAGAAGAGCTTGCTGCAAGCAGTGGCAAACTTGCCCTACAAAGGGGGCAATACCCTCACAGGTGAGTCAGGATGCCCCGATGCCCTTTCTGCTCGCGTCTTGGTCAAGCGCATGGTGAAGTGATGTGACTCACTGTCTTCTAAACCTTCCATTAGGCATGGCTTTGAACTTCATTCGCCAGCAGAGCTTCAAGACCCAAGCTGGCATGAGACCTCGTGCTCGGAAAATTGGTGTTCTTATTACCGATGGAAAATCACAGGATGATGTGGAGGCTCCGTCCCAGAAACTCAAAGATGAAGGAGTTGAGCTGTTTGCTATTGGTAATGGAGTCGCAAATGTGGTGATATATTTTTGTAGCTAAAAATATTATCGGAAGCATGAGAAAACAAACATAGTCTCTATCATATAATTTATCATAATGGTGTACCAGGAAGTTAATTCATTTTCTTCTTTTCTCTTTGTAGTGAGACCCAACTACACTTTTTTTTTAAAGAAAGTAACAAATTAAGAGGAAAACTGCACTACTTATAAGGTTCAAGAAAATTCCCATTTGGTTTTCCACAGAACCATGCTTACTTTTGAGATCCATTGCATTAGTTTCCAGAGAAAACACTGAAAATACACTTTTTGATGGGACGTGGGTTCTAGAAACATTTAGAATAAGGCAATTCAGAATACCTTTCAGATGATATCATTCTTTATTTCTGTTTTATAATTATAGATATATAATCATTCAATGCATGAGTAAAATAATATATATGTTCTAGTTTATAGTTTTCTCAAATCAGTCAACAATTTAAAAAAAGCCCTGAAATATTTGCTTCATTTCATTAATTTCTTTTGGAAAGGTGCTTTTAATTTGTATGTATAATTTTTCCAGGTATTAAAAATGCCGATGAAGTTGAGTTAAAGATGATCGCAACTGATCCTGATGATACCCATGCATACAATGTGGCAGATTTCGAGTCACTCTCCAAGATTGTGGATGACCTCACCATTAACTTGTGCAACAGTGTCAAAGGTCCTGGTAAGTTTAGCCCAGAATTTCGCATCCTTAGTACTATTGATATTTTAGTCAAGATAATTCTCTTTTGGATGGAGAGGAGGGGCTGTTTTGTGCAATGTGATATACTTAGCAGTATCAATAGCCTCTGTCTGTTGGATGCTGGTAGCATTCCTAACTTGTGACACCCAAATATATCTTTATAATTAATAGTATATAAATTATATGTAAACATAGTGAACACCCAAATCAGAGTTTGGAAAATTAATGATAAAAATCATGGTCCTTACTTTATGAGAACCTTATTTTATTTTGGTTTTGGAAAAGTTGGAATGAGTTTAACAAATGTGATAGAAATAGTTCACATGCCTTGGGTATTGAGAGTATGTGTTTTTGAATGCTTTTTCTTGAGTTTCGGTCTCCAAACTTTTGCTGATTTTGTCTTTATTGTTGCCAAATATGTTTTATGTTGCTGCTGGTGGAAAAACCATTTCCAATTGATAATCACTGCTTTAGTTCTTGATTTTGTTTTTTTTTTATGATTTGGTTTTTGGGATAACACCAAACTAGAAATTGTTCCTAGCTTATTTGAGGATATATTTAGTTTATATGTGCACCTGCCCATATACACAAATGAATACATAAATGGGACAGGGAAAGAGAGATACTTCTTTTTCTTGTGTTCACTTTAAATACTATGTTGGTATTCGATGGTTGTTAACAGACTGTTCTCTAAAGTTTGGTTCTTCTTTCTAGTTTCCTAAGATGAGTAGGATTGGAAGAGGGGTCTTCTATTTGATTTTCTGTGCCTCAACAATAGATGATCAGAATTGACACTTATACTTGTAATCCCTTCATATGAAGAGAAGTTAGAATCTTAGAGTTTAGACTTTAAGAAGCTACATAATCTTTCTTTACCATTGAAGAAACTAAGAGTTAGAGAAGTTAAGCCATATAGAGTCAAATAGTTAAAGATATTTTACGGGTTTTTGAAAAAAAGTAACTATGGACAAGGCATTAGGATTTGGAAATGAATTATAGAACTGGACTTGTGGCAACCAAGGATAGGGCAGAATGATTAATATTTGTATAAATTATAGAACAAAACATAGTAAACACCAAAACTGAAGGTTTTTGGAAAAATAATGATAAAATTTACAGTGATTACTATGCAAGAAAATTTCTCTTATGTGCATGTAGATTATGGTAAAACTGTCCTTAATTGATTCATTATGGTTTTGGAAAAGTTGGCATTGGGTTCAATAAGTAATGTGGTGGAAATGGTTCACATGCTTTGGGAACCGAGGATATATTTCTTTGAATGTTCTTTCTTGAGTTTCTTTCTCCAAACTTTTGCAGATTTTCTCTTTTGGATCTTGAACAACAGCCTGACCTTTTCCCTGGAGAAATAGACCATATCTGCAGCCAGAATTTGTAGGCTCTTGGCTTTGGATTAACTGAGAGAGTTGTAGTTTTATTCATTTGGATGGAACTTTGAGTGGGGATGAAAACATCTTTTATCTGTTTTCCCTTATTTGTTATCAACTATGTAATAGTTACATTCATTCTCATTTCCCAGACAGTAAAATAGCTTGATAATTTTGTAAGTTTGTCTATGACCCAAGTACAATAAAGGTTAGGATACTAAGAATGGAAATGGTTTCCCAGTTGTGACTTACAAAAAAAGTAGAAGGATTTTGTTTGAAAATAATTTGCTGTGCTTGTGGACTCATTGGTTCATTTCTTTCTTTTTAAATTATCATTTGAGACATCTTCTTTTTGGTAATATTGAGCTTAACATTTTTATTTTCATTGCTATTTATTCTAGATATTACTATGCAATAGTAATTTCACCCATATCTTCCTGTAGGGAGCATAATCATAGGTAGTAGGATGTTCCCCAAATTTAAAATACTTGTTTGTCTTCACTCTTTCTTGAGTAAAAAGTAATTAATTTTTCTTATTGGAATTAGCGAACTAAACATGTAATAAGAAACCAATTTTGTAGGCACTAAACATAAATAGGAAACCAATTTCAGGCTGGGTGTGGCATTGCATGCTTATAATCCCAGCTCCTCAAGAGGCAGAGATCAGAAGTTTCATTGTTTGAGGCCAACCTGGGCAAAAAGTTAGCATGACACCATTTCAATCAGTAAGCCTGGTGTGGTGGTGCATGCCTGTCATCCCAGCTATATGGGAGGCTTAAGTAGGAGGATCATGATCTAGGCTAGTCATGGGCAAAAATGTGAGAACCTATTTGAAGGATAGCCATGGCAAAAAGGGCTGTGGGTATGGCTCAAGAGGTACAATACCTACTTAGCATACACAAGTCCCTGAGTTCAAATCTCAGTACTTCCAAAAATAAACAAACAAAAAACCCAGAGAATTTTATCTTCCAGAACATAACTTAGCTAAGGAGATTAAAGTATGAATATATATACATATACATATATATATATATATATATATGATATATATAATAAAATATAATGAGGACTGTGAACTTGGGTGGCATCTCAGTAGTGATAGAGACAACAGAGAAGCTGAATTGTCAGGACCATGTCCTTATTTACTGATTGTGCATGTGAGTGTAGAGAGAGGAGATAGTTTCCAAGGATGGTCCAGAGGTTTAACTGTTGGTGTCTTAAAGAAGAGGATCAGGTTTAAGGATGGTTGACGAGGCTACAGAATGCTTTGACTACTTATTCAGAGGAGTCTAATGGCAGTGGGTCTCTATACTGATACATTATTTACTTACTATGTGAAGTGTGTAAAAACTGCAAATATGGAGATCAATACTGTTTCAATTTAATTTTAAACTTCATCACCTTGGTACTATAATAAAAAAAAGTATTTGCACTGTATTTCCACATGTAGGTGACTTGGAAGCACCTTCTAACTTAGTTATTTCTGAGAGAACTCATCGGTCTTTCAGAGTGAGCTGGACCCCTCCTTCTGACAGTGTGGATAGATATAAGGTGGAATACTATCCCGTTTCTGGAGGAAAACGCCAAGAAGTGAGTAGACAATCCCTAAGTCATCCTTCCTCATGCTGATAGTGAGTCTTCTTTGTTAGGGCTTTTGAGAAAAGTGTTGGGTGAGAGGCAGGAACTGGTGTTCTCTGTTCCTTGTGAGGCAGGCACTTCCATTTGGACTTAATTAAAGGGAAAGAACTTTGCTTAAGTTCTTACAATTTCTAAGAATCATACAATATCAATTTAAAAAAATTACAGTTAGTTTAACTGATTTATTAATGAGTTTGTACTAGAATCATAGAGTTGGCAAGGAAAATTTAAAGATGGTCTAATTTTACTCACTCATTTTATTTTAAAAATAAAAGGACAACAGCTGAGAGAATAAATTGTTTTAATTATCTAGGATCTCACTGTAACCTAGTAGTTTCCAAAAACAAAAGACAATAGCCTCATTGGAGTATAATTTCTAAACTCAATGAAGGCAACTGCCTTGTAAGTGTAGTAGAAAGAAGGGAATTGAGTGTAACACATACCATTATTTTTAATTTTTCCCCCTAGTTTTATGTGAGTCGGCTAGAAACTAGCACAGTACTGAAAGACTTGAAGCCTGAAACTGAGTATGTTGTTAATGTGTATTCCGTGGTGGAAGATGAATATAGTGAGCCTCTGAAGGGCACAGAAAAAACCTGTAAGTCAGATTAAAAACTTTCTCATTGTTTTGTTTTTCAATATAAAGGGTAGTGGTTCGTGGGGGATACTTGCCAACCTTTGAAATTATTCCTTTATTCAATACCCATTTAACAAACACTCAGTGCTTTCTTCATAAGCTACATGACAAATATTTAGTGGTTTTCCACTCTTACTGACTGCTCCTGCCATGGGTGGAATTGGTGGTCATGGCTGCAATAATTTAGAGGGAAAATACCTTTAATATGGTATTTCACTTTGCAGGGTCTTAGGACTTTTTGAGTTTAAGAAAATCTCTTAAAAAGTAAATGTATCTTTTAGGGGGCTAACACTTTAAACTTTAGTAGTTATGTAGTGGTTTCTTTGAGAACTAAACTCTTCAGGGTTATGATATCAGGAAAAGCATCACATGGGAAGTGAGGATTAGATTAGGAAGAGTTTCTATACAGAGATGGCCATTTTACCTCTATCAAGACCAGACCTCCCAGCTGATAACAAGTTCTGCCCATTCTCTATGGCCTCTGGCTTTTACCAGTGAAGTTCTGATGGCTTTGACTTTGAGTGGAACTTCTGAGGGAGATGTTCCTTGCTCTAATTCCTGGTAGGGTTTCCAAGGCTATATGAAAATACTCTTTTTTTGTTGTTGTTTCCCGTTTCTTGGTTGGACTTCAGTAGGAAGGAGGGAAATCTCATATAATAGGAAAGAGTAAGTGTGAGAACTGACTCTACTTGGTGCTCAGTTCCTTGGGTCTTTATCTCTTTTATCCCTTTGTATTAGGACACAGGAGGTGGGAAGTGATGTATTTTATAACTGACAGGGTTAGTATGAAAACTCCTTAAGAGCTTAAAACCAATCTTTGAACAAAAAGTAATTGGAAACCTACATGGGTATTAAGTGAAGAAGAGACTATAAATTACTTCATGAGTTTGTCTTTAAATCCCCTGTGTTCTAGTTATTAATATATGATACTCTCTTATTAAATGATATTTTCAAGGAAGATGAAAGAACATACTGCATTGGTTACTTCTGTCTGAAGTTCTGACTGAAGAATAAAAAATATTCAAGTTAAGGATGTTACAGAGAAATAGATTAGTCTCAAGAATTTAGTATTTCTTTTGGCTTCTATGTGGAGCCACTGGAATGTCATTTGCAATAAGAACTTCAAAAAACTTCCCCTGTTTAATAGTTATACCATGTAGTCTTGAGTATTAAATGCAATGGACAAATGGGATTGGATTTTTATTGGAGGTGGGGAGGAGGGATTATATTAACTCTCATAAATTTCTGAAGCAGTCATTCTCTATTTGGTATACACAAATATCAACAAAGTAGGAAACAATGGTTAAAAAAATAAACAGAATGAGAGGAATTAGACTGATGTCCACTGTTATGTTTTGATAGTGCCAGTCCCTGTAGTGAGTCTGAATATTTATGATGTTGGTCCAACTAACATGCATGTGCAGTGGCAGCCTGTGGGAGGAGCTACTGGCTACACCTTGTCACACCAACCTGTTAAGACCACAGAACCCACCAAACCCAAAGAGGTGAGAGATGTTTACTTTTTTATCATTGGGCTTTTCTAAGACTTTACAGCTTTATAGCTCACATTATACTACAATTACTTATGTACTAATATGTAATGTTACACACACAAATATAAACACAAAAATAAAATGTAGGCTTATGGTCTGTAACACATTTTAGAAAACATTAGCATAAAAATGCGATTCTTATAAATGAAAAGTAAAAGCTGTGTTGTAATCTACTGGTTGTAAGTAGGTTTCAACTGAATATACCCAGTAAGTAGAAACATTTGATTTGAATGTCTTATTTCTGTTTGGCATTTCCATATGCAGATGCGTGTGGGGCCGACAGTGACTGATGTGCAGCTGACTGACCTCCTTCCCAACACTGAGTATGAGGTCACCATCCAGGCTGTTTTGCATGACCTCACTAGCGAACCTGCCACTGCTCGGGAAGTTACCTGTAAGATGCTGCTAGCTTTCCTTCCCTTCTTATTGCTGTAATATTCATTAGAATATTTTTTCACAAAAAATTTAACAACAATTTGATACTTCATGCATAAATTTCACAGTTAGTGCTTTTGATAATCAAATTTCAGAATAAATACCTTAATTATAGACTTATGGAAGTATCTTAAATGGATTCTTGGATGCATATTTGTTTTTCACATTCAACACACCTGATTCTGGGATGTGTTTTATAACCAATGATGTCTTCTAATTGATTGGTACCTTGGCAAGGCATCAATCAAGGATGGAAAATGAATTAATGTGCATCTCATAAATGATGTTTAGACTCATGAAATGCAGCATGTAGGATTGATGAGCATAGGAATATTGGGTGGCTGTAGTTTTTGAGAAAGGTATCTGGTGTTAAGATTAAGGTGTTCTAAGTTCTTGTTGAAGCAGAAACTCTATGACACATAGGAATGCCTGTTTCAATTAAGTCAATCAATTCACTCAATTCAAAAACATACTGATCACAGTTCACATGCCAGTCACTAGGCTAGGGGTTGGGAAAACCCCACTAAATAGCACAAAGCAGTCTGGGGTGTGTGGACTCCTTCATGGTTAGCATTTTTCTTGTTTGTGTTGGCCAGCCTTGTGTTCTGATTTGTTTCACTGACTATTCAGGTTTCTTTTCTTGAGAAGTGACAATAGTTGCATTTAGGACTTTTGCTAGTTGGTGTTTTATTTCATGTTTGGAGAAGTGGACATTCTGGGGTAGATACTTGACTTACGTTTGGTGAGTCCTAGCCATATTTCTAAGGAAATTAAAAATTTGGAAGGAACTTTAAGTGGGAAAAAGAGACTGAGGAGACACAAGCTTGATAGGGCAGAGAAGAGAAAGAGCAGGTGCAGTAGAAATTAATTGAAAACAAGTAAATGTTTATCAGTCACCTTTCATATGTTAGACACTGACCAAATTTGGTGGTTTTGTGGAAATAAGCAGTGGCAGATAGAAAGAGTGGGGATTAGAAGCACATGTTGTGATAGTGCTGAGAGAGAAAACCCAATTCATAGTGGGATGAAAGACAAATGGAGTCAAGATTTGGGTATGGTACTGGACTGCAACAGTAGAAGAAAGAGGGCAAGAAAGATGCAAAGAGATATAACTATTGAAGGGATGGAGGTGTGGAAATATGGAGGTGGAAATAGTGACTCAAGAAGACAGATGTGCAGAGCTGAAATGAGAGACAAAGAGAACCAGTCAAATGGGCAGCTAGGAGGTATGCCTCATGTAACAAGATAATTATCTTCTTTTTGGGCAAAGTTTTGTTTGACTTGGTAGAATTTTATGATTTGGTTTTTCTTATAACCATTTAGGTATCTTTAGCTTTTTGTAAGTGTATTGGTTGCTTAATGTTGACCCACTTCATTCTTCACTCTTATAACCATTTGCTTTTCTGAGCTATATATATATATATATTTTTTTAAACTCAGGGCTTTGTGCTTCCTATCAGATGCTCTACCACTTGAGCCATGCCTCCAGCCCTTTTTACTCTGGTTATTTTGAAGGTAGAGTTTTGTTTTTTGCCCAGGCTGGCCTGGATGACAATCATGATAGGTGAGCACCCAGGTGTGCCCAGCCATTGGTTAAGATGGGGTCTTGTGAACTTTTTGCCTGGCTGGCCTCAAATTGTGATCATTTGGGAAGCTGGTTTCAGCTTCCTAAGTAGCTAGGATTATAGGAGTGAGCCACCGGCACCCAGCTTGTTTTTCTATCATTCTTAGGAATACATAACTCTATTGATATTTGTTTTCTATCTTAATTGATTTAAATACCTGAAGGAATATGAATTGTGCATTTATGATGAATTGCAGTTTACTAAGGCTGAGCAGCAAGTTATTTAAAAAAGTTGGAGAAGATTACCATATAAATGAGAAGTTAGCAGTGTGATGAAAATCCATATCCTGTTTTCAAAAGCCTTCTTAAGAATAATTCATCAGTTATTTTGCTGGACATCTTTAAGTTTTCTTCCAACAACTTCTTGAAAGCTCGTGTGGATGTTTTAGAGCTTTGTGGCAAAGAACCACATCTGGGTCTAATATCTCATGCTTCTGCAGTGCCTTTACCCAAACCTCAGGATGTGAAACTCAGAGATGTGACTCACAGCACTATGAATGTCATTTGGGAACCTGTGCTTGGAAAAGTGCGCAAATATATTGTTCGATACAAAACACCAGAAGAGGATTTCAAAGAGGTAAGTTGATTAGAAAGGATATGGAAATATTTGTTTTCTCACATGGCTTAACAAAATTACCTTATCAAGTATAGATGGTAGCATGTTTTCAATACTTGTCACTTTATTAATGCAAAGTTTAAAACTAGTGATATTAATATATCACTTTTTGAAAATCAATAACATATCTGGCTGTCTTGGATTTAGTTACAAATGTTTTGCTGTATGATATTAATGTAAAAACATCATCTTTAGTGGAGAAGTGGTATTTTCTTCTCATCCAGATGCCTTTTACGTTACGCTTCATTCTTTGAATGATTAAAAATTGCTATAATGTTTCCAAGAATAAAAGGTAGGGGGGGATTCAGGAGAGAAGAGAGGGGAGCTTGTCAGACAATAGGAAGATAGGACAGAGAGAAAGGAGGAATAAGGTGTCCCAAAGAGTGTCCCTTTGGGAGTGAAAAATTTTGACATTATGTTGGGTTTGCATGACAACCTGATTCAAAGTAGGAGCAAATTGAGGGGCTTCACCAGCAAACCTGTTTAAAATTTTGATGAATTGAGTGAACATTAGTGTCACAATCGCAGAGGCAGTTTTGGAAGGTAGAAATAGTACCCAGTAGTCTGGATATGCTGGCCATTTGTAGATTATACAAAAGCTAATTTATTCTTGTGTATACATTCTTTTCATTCTGGGTTTCCATTTCAAAAGGGGGTAAAATGACATGCGGGCCTCATAGTGAGAAGTTAGCAGTGTGATGAAAACCTATATCCTGTTTTCAAAAGCCTTCTTAAGAATAATTCATCTCTGGTAGATGATAGTATCATTTTTTTCAATTATTTCATACCCATCTTTAAGTTTTCTTAAAAAACTTGTGCCTAACAAATGAGAGACTGCATAGAACATTTTTTAAAGAAATAAGGTAATGATATAAAAAAAAAAAACCATGTCCAGTTTATGGATTTTATGCAAATTGAAAAATACTGCTTTTTTGGTGTCACAATTCTTAGGTTCTTATGCTGAGGTACAGTAAACAAAAGATGTCAAAAACAAACCTTTGGTAAAAGTAGTTTCACTGCTTTGTTATAGGTAGAGGCGGACAGATCACGGACCAGCACCTCCCTCAAAGACCTCTTCTCTCAAACCCAGTACACAGTCAGTGTTTCTGCAGTATATGATGAGGGGGAGTCTCCCCCAGTGACTGCTCAAGAGATGACCCGTGAGTTGTGCCCCAGTTTTATTGACACTTGGGAAACACATTTTACACTCAGGTGCTACTTAACTAATTGGGGCATTTCACTCCTTAGTGCTCTTTTTGTCAGTTTCATAATGTTTGGATTCATAGATTGTTTTGGCTCATTTTCTTCACGTGTAAAGTGCTATCAGGGTTTGGCTAAGTGTCAGATAGCTATTTATGTAGCAGAGAGCAACATTGGTGCTCGAGACCTGTATGTAAAGATACTACAAAAGGAAAGTGACCATGTGTGTGCTTGTGCACACACACACATAAGCACACACACACACACTGGTATGTACATAGCTGTTTCTTTTAGGAGGGATGAGAGGGACAACAGTTTAAATGAATAAATTTTCTCTGGAGAAACTGAAAAAAAAAAGTGCTATCAGGGTAACAACGCATAAGCACTTTGCTCTTAGCAGTTCATGATTTAGTTGTGGAGACAAACAGCAATAAAAGGTGGATGGGATCATATAAGGAAGGCCAAGTGAGTGCACCAAATTGTGCACTATCAGATCACAGAGTGGAGACCGCCACAGTGTCATGGTAGGAGAGACACAGGGTAGCCTGCTGAGGGCCTTCCTTCCTTACTCCATTCTGCTCCAGTTTCTATGAATGTCAATTGCTCTCCCTCTCTTGATATTTCCATAATATTTACCCTAGCCATTTTTGTCTGTTAGTCCTTTTAATATCTATTCTACTTTCCCCTTGCTCCCTCCTAATGAAGGCAGAGGCATTTATTTTGCTCAAATTGTATCTCCAAGGCCTGGTCCATAATTGCTTAAGCCAGTGCTCAGCACATAATTACCTAATCAAATGTTCAGTGTGTGATAATCCAATCCAAATAATGGTTAAAACTTGAGGTCTTCAGCCAGCAGTGTTCCAAATGAATGTCATGGGAGCCATATACTTAGTTTTCAATTCTCTAGTATCTACATTAAAAAAATTAAAAAGTGATAGATGAAATTCTTTCTACTTTGATTTTTTGGGTGCAGTACTGGGGATTGAATTCAGGGCTTTGTGATTGCCATTCAGGCGCGCTACCACTTGAGCCACACCCTCAGTCCTTCCGCTTTAGTTTGATTTTTAGATATAATCTTGTGCTACCTTTGCCTGGGCTGGCCTCAAATCAAGATGTCTCCCAAGTCACTACGACCACTGGCATACATCACCAGTCCTGGCTTGTTTTCCTTTTCTTTCTTTCTTTTTTTTTTTTTCTGTAAGAGGGTTGTTTTGACTCACAGTTTTGGAGGATTCAGTCCATGGTTGGTCGGCCCCACCAACCAGCATATCATGGTGAAGCTGCTCCCCCCATGGCCAGGAGGTCAGAATAAGTAGAAGTGGAGAGGCTGGAGTCTCACTACCCCCTTAAAGGGCACACCCCCAATGACCTAAGACCTTCCATTTGTTCTCACCTCTTTTTTTTTTTAACATGTTTTTATTACTGCATATAAATTGTACAATACGGAACGTTTCATTGGAATATTACCACACATGAATATAATATAATTTGATTATATTCATTCCATTACTGTTTCACATTGTTTTTGAGATAGGATCTTACTAACTTTTGCCTATGCTGGCCTCAAATTGTGGTTTTTCTGTCTCCACTCCCTTACTAGCTGGAGTTACAGTCATGCATGTACCACCATGCCTGGTCAGATGAAATTAATTTTAATAACATGTTTTATTTGACCCAATACATCAAAAATATTATCATTTCTGCACATTTCGGTATAATTGTCAATGAGATATTTCATTCTTTTCTGTAATAATTCCTTGAAATCCAGTTTGTATTTTATGTTTTCAGCACATCTCAATTCAGCCTAGCCACATTCTTAAATGCTCAATAGCCACACGTGGATAGTGGCTCCCATAGTAGACAGCCCAGTCTAGAGAATTTAGATGAATTTCTCATTTTCATCCTATAATACAGTGGTGCAATCATTGCTATAGTCCAGAACTTTTACTTTCTAACACCCTCACTAAAGACTCAATAGCTTCTTCTTTGGTGCCCTGCTATCTATACCTGATCAGGGTATCTTGTCAAATGTCATAGCCTACTCCTACTTCAGCATATCCATTTTTCTTTTTGACTCTGCTATTCGATTATCATGTGAGTTCTTTCAGCAATTTCAGTTGTTTTGTTAGCATTAGTTTTTATCTGGTAAAGATCATGGCTAGAGATGAGGCTTGAGGCATATGAGTAGACTGACAGCAATGTATAAACATAACAGGTATAATAAAGAGAGAGAAGCCAAGAAAAATGTTAACAAAGTAGGTGACTTGTTATACTAGATTAATATTTTCAATGTAGGTTTTCATTCTTTCCTCTCTCTTTTATTAATGTGTATTAATTATACAAAGGGGTTACTTTATGATAATTCTACATATAATATATATATATAAAATGTACTTTGATCAAATTTACCCCTTAATGTATGTTTTCAGTCCTTAAGATTGTCAGACAAATTTTAGATACATCCAAAGTGCATCCTTAATAGTTGGCTTGTTTTCCAGTGGTGCTTGTGGAAATGGTACCACTCTCTTTAGCTCAGTGGTCATTTTCATTGTCATTATTCAAAACAAATTTTTGATAGGTTTGTATATAGATGTATTTAATTACCAAGAGATACTGTGTCAGACATTCCAGACTGTTTGTGCTGTAGACAACCCAACCACAGTATGGAATTCAATAGATGGGCTGTGAAGTGGAATTTCAGCAGCCATCAGGGCTCTGGGCCTTCTGTTCTCTGAATAGGGTCAGTTCAGAACACCTCACATTGTGTTTAAGTTTAGTGTTCCATATAGGGAAAAGCTTAGCTTATGCATGGATTACTTAGATCATAACATATTCAAAGTTTATTTCCCGTGGTAATACTCAAATGTTGGAATTCACTGTACATTTAGGCAGGTACATAGTAATTATTTGGCAACGTTTAATAAGCATCATTTAAAGCAAGATAGAGATTCTCATTTTTAAACTGCATATTAATATGTATTTTAAAGAATACAATGAAATGATTCCCCTTTGGGTATTAGAAAAATAAGTTCTGAATAAAAAATGAATATTATTTATTTCCTTGGGCAACATCTTAAAGTATAATATCGTAGCATCCTTAGTTAATGACACTCTTTTTTTTTTGTTTTTTTTTTTATTCATTTGTGCATACAAGGCTTGGGTCATTTCTCCCCCCTGCCCTCACCCCCTCCCTTACCACCCATTGCGCCCCCTCCCTCTCCCCGCTACCCCCTCAATACCCAGCAGAAACTATTTTGCCCTTGTTTCTAATTTTGTTGTGGAGAGAGTATAAGCCATAATAGGAAGGAACAAGGGTTTTTGCTGGTTGAGATAAGGATAGCTATACAGGGAGTTGACTCACATTAATTTCCTGTGCATGTGTGTTGCCTTCTAGGTTAATTCTTTTTGATCTAACCTTTTCTCTAGGTCCTGGTCCCCTTTGCCTATTGGCCTCAGTTGCTTTAAGGTATCTGCTTTAGTTTCTCTGCGTTAAGGGCAACAAATGCTAGCTAATTCTTTAGGTGTCTTACCTATCCTCACCCCTCCCTTTTGTGCTCTTGCTTTTATCATGTGCTCAAAGTCCAATCCCATTGTCGTGTTTGCCCTTGATCTAATGTCCACATATGAGGGAGAACATATGATTTTTGGTCTTTTGGGCCAGGCAAACCTCACTCAGAATGATGTTCTCCAATTCCATCCATTTACCAGCGAATGATAACATTTCGTTCTTCTTCATGGCTGCATAAAATTCCATTGTGTATAGATACCACATTTTCTTAATCCACTTGTCAGTGGTGGGGCATCTTGGCTGTTTCCATAACTTGGCTATTGTGAATAGTGCCGCAATAAACATGGGTGTGCAGGTGCCTCTGGAGTAACCTGTGTCACAGTCTTTTGGGTATATCCCCAAGAGTGGTATTGCTGGATCAAATGGTAGATCAATGTTTAGCTTCTTAAGCAGCCTCCAAATTTTTTTCCAGAGTGGTTGTACTAGTTTACATTCCCACCAACAGTGTAAGAGGGTTCCTTTTCCCCCGCATCCTCGCCAACACCTGTTGTTGTTGGTGTTGTTAATGATGGGGTGAGGTGGAATCTTAGTGTGGTTTTAATTTGCATTTCCTTTATTGCTAGAGATGGTGAGCATTTTTTCATGTGTTTTTTGGCCATTTGAATTTCTTCTTTTGAGAAAGTTCTGTTTAGTTCACTTGCCCATTTCTTTATTGGTTCATTAGTTTTGGGAGAATTTAGTTTTTTAAGTTCCCTATATATTCTGGTTATCAGTCCTTTGTCTGATGTGTAGCTGGCAAATATTTTCTCCCACTCTGTGGGTGTTCTCTTCAGTTTAGAGACCATTTCTTTTGATGAACAGAAGCTTTTTAGCTTTATGAGGTCCCATTTATCTATGCTATCTCTTAGTTGCTGTGCTGCTGGGGTTTCGTTGAGAAAGTTCTTACCTATACCTACTAACTCCAGAGTATTTCCTACTCTTTCCTGTATCAACTTTAGAGTTTGTGGTCTGATATTTAGATCCTTGATCCATTTTGAGTTAATATTGGTATAGGGTGATATACATGGATCTAGTTTCAGTTTTTTGCAGACTGCTAACCAGTTTTCCCAGCAGTTTTTGTTGAAGAGGCTGCTATTTCTCCATCGTATATTTTTAGCTCCTTTGTCAAAGACAAGTTGGTTATAGTTTTGTGGCTTCATATCTGGGTCCTCTATTCTGTTCCACTGGTCTTCATGTCTGTTTTTGTGCCAGTACCATGCTGTTTTTATTGCTACTGCTTTGTAATATAGTTTGAAGTCAGGTATTGTGATACCTCCTGCATTGTTCTTTTGACTGAGTATTGCCTTGGCTATTCGTGGCTTCCTGTGTTTCCATATAAATTTCATGGTAGATTTTTCAATCTCTTTAATGAATGTCACTGGAATTTTGATGGGAATTGCATTAAACATGTAGATTACTTTTGGGAGTATCGACATTTTTACTATGTTGATTCTACCAATCCATGAGCATGGGAGGTCTCTCCACTTTCTATAGTCTTCCTCAATCTCTTTCTTCAGAAGTATATAGTTTTCCTTGTAGAGGTCTTTCACATCTTTTGTTAGGTTTACACCTAGGTATTTGATTTTTTTGAGGCTATTGTAAATGGAATTGTTTTCATACATTCTTTTTCAGTTTGCTCATTGTTAGTGTATAGAAATGCTAATGATTTTTCTATGTTGATTTTATATCCTGCTACCTTGCTGTAGCTATTGATGATGTCTAGAAGCTTCTGAGTAGAGTTTTTTGGGTCTTTAAGGTATAGGATCATGTCATCTGCAAATAGGGATATTTTGACAATTTCTTTACCTATTTGTATTCCTTTTATTCCTTCTTCTTGCCTAATTGCTCTGGCTAGGAATTCCAGTACTATGTTGAATAGTTAATGACACTCTTGAGGAAGAAGCAGGACCTCTTAATCCAGTGTCTGGGTATGTCTCTTGGGTCACCAATGAGCAGGACAAGGTCCATGAACTCTCTCACATTACATTCCAGGGTTTGTGCTTTGTGTAGTGCTGCTTCACTAGATTCTCAAATTTGCAGGTGTAAAGCCTTAGGTTCAAACCTTGGTTCACCAAAAAAAAAAAAAAAAAAAAGGGAGATAAAAGAAAAAGAAAACACCACCATCACCACCATAAACCCCACTAGATTGTCAAAGAATTAGAGACATAAAATGGTTAAGGACCACTGAGATAGAAGAGTATTACTAAATGGTATCTTAACAAATACCATCATTTTAGTACGTTATCAATAATAACATTATATCCACACAGTGATTGCTCTATGCTGTATTTATTTTTCACATGAACAGAGTTGGTAAAGTATTTGATTCTAAAGCACTACGTTCAATCAGTTTTTCCATCTCCATTAAAAATAAAGCAGTTTTATTATTTTAAATTAAGTTTGTAGTTCACATTAAAAAAATGTAATCTTGTCTTTTCTATGATAGGATCTGTTCCAGCCCCAACAAACCTAAGGCTGTCTGAAGTAACACCAGAGAGCTTCAGAGGAACCTGGGATCACGGGGCTTCAGATGTGTCTCTTTACAGAATAACTTGGGCACCTGTTGGAAGCTCGGATAAAATGGAGGTAGCATTAATTTTCTCTCTCTTGTTAAAGAGAAACTCGATTGAAATACGTATTACTTCTGTTGCCAGAAAGGTGTCTTTTCTGAATAGTGGGTTTTTTTTGGGGGGATTACTGGGGTTTGAACTCAGCCTTGTGCTTGCTAAGCAGGTTTTCTCCCATTTGAGCCATTCCCCCAACCCATTACTAGTGATTTTTGTGCTCATGGCAAGCATCAAAGTGGAAGAATGTCTGCCTAAATGAAGCCAATACAGTACTATTGAATATGTAGGATAGAAACTGATTCTCAGTTTAGTATAGATATGCTTTGTCCTCTTTCTCCCAGACCATCTTAAATGGAGATGAAAATACCTTGGTGTTTGAAAACCTGCATCCCAACACTCTCTACGAAGTTTCCATTACTGCCATCTATCCTGATGAATCAGAAAGCGATGATCTGACTGGCAGCGAACGCACATGTAGGTGTTCAACTTTCACATATGACATTGATGTTTTAAAGTTACATTTTAAAAATGGAGCTACAGCTATATTAGTAATACTTCCCCAATTCTATTTTTTCTAGTGCGTTTGATACCCTTAACAACACAAGGTAAGCATTTAGCTTGCTGAATTGTTTGAATGAACAAGTAATAAGTAAATGAACAATACCATAAATATGTTATGAATAGTTCCTTTGTTTTTTAATTATAAAGTGTTGATTGGGGCCTCTTTGAAACAGACTTTTCTTGAAAAACTTGGTTTTGCTATTACTTAATTAGTCAGTTTAGGCTGCCATAACAAAATATTAGGCTAGATGGTTTAAACAACAAAAATTTGTATTCTCATAATTCTGGAGAATGGAAAATGCAAGGTCAAGGTGCCAGCCATTTCTGTTCCTGGTGAGGGTTCTCTTCCTGACTTGTACACAGTTGCCTTCTCACTGTGTTGTCACATGGGAGATACAAATGGGCTTTCTTGTGTCTCCTCTTAGATAGGGCAATTCCACTATGAGGACCTACCCTTATGACCTCATCTATTCTCAAAGGCCCCATTTGCTAATATATCAATATTAGGTGTCAAGGCTTCTACATGTGGAAGAATAAGATTTTAAAGTGGGGTACTCAAACATTCAGTTCATACCACATAGTCATTTAAGACCCCATGGCCATCTTTATTATGGGTTCAAGTTTAATTCTAAACCTAGAGGTACACAACTCTCTTGATTTCCTCAGGAGCCACACATACTTTGGGAGGCGAGGCATTGTTCTGGGTACTTCATCTGTTTTCAACAATCTTCTTTCAGCTCCAAAAAGTGGCCCACGAAACCTTCAGGTGTACAATGCAACATCTAACAGCTTGACTGTTAAGTGGGATCCTGCTAGTGGTCGTGTGCAGAAATACAGACTCACTTACCAGCCTTCAACAGGAGAGGGAAATGAACAAACGGTAATTTGTTTTGTAAAAATGATAACTTGGATACATTCAACCTATTTCTCTTCAAACTCCTTTTACTCTCAGTGTGTAATCAGACTTATTTTTTGAGGGATGCAAGATTTCCTGTATTGAGTAGAATCATTTGACTCTGGTTGGCACTTTATGTGGAGTGTTGGTGTGGAAACTCAGTGCATGTTCTCATGGAAGGCGATAGTACTTGCTCTTCATGGAAACTTCAAAACATCAGGCATGCACCCCAATGCACCCACATTTACCTTAAAAATACCAGTGCCCAGTTATCCATAAGGATGTCTATGTAGTTTTTGAGTCTATCTTCAATCCATCTCGCTACATTAACCAAGAGTTAAAAGTTAGTTAAACTTACTTATAAAGTTTACTCTTATTTGTCTCAATCTTTCTGGTTTGGCATGTCATAGAATATCTTTTAGATCTTGTATTAATTATACAGTACCTTCTAGATCTCATGTTTCTAGATCTGGAAGTCCATTCACCTAATTAAAAATACTGATCATTTTTATATTATTCCATGCAGGTACCCAAGAGAAATGATAGGACTATAGACTTAACTGTGAACTTTTTATCTTCTCATTCTTCCTTTATTTAAGAGAGCCTTTGTCCTTTGCCTTACTTAACTTTAGCTGACTAACTTCGGTCTTTTACCAGCTTTGCCTTTTGTGAGGTTCCCGACCAGAACATGCATAAATTCTTCTAGGCCAGTAAGCACCATGATTTGTACACAGATCGGGTTATACTTTATGATTTATTTCAAATATCTATTTTGGTGAGGCCCAGAACTTTGTTGATTTATTTTGGGTTGGTAATGGTAATAACATTTTCTATATAGCCTTATAGAGATGTGAGTTGTTGACTTTTAATCATTAAACTTACTGAGCTCAAACAAATGGGTCACCACTCTTACCAGCTTAGAGGAGTTAGCAGTGATTGAAGCTGGCAATGGTTAAGGTCTCTGTTCCTACCTGGTAAATGGGATTAGCTGGATCAGACACCCTTCCATCACATTTTTAAGATGGTCTGTGAAATAAAGTAACAAATAATTAGTGCTGAAATTATTTGGAAGAATTGAATAGGAAAAGAAGGTTGACACCCTTCTGCTTACTCATAAGACATTCTATTAAGTAGAGCTTCTGGATTTGTTATATATCAAGGTTGTATAAAAATAGCTTGTACTGATACTGACACTTTTCTCCCATAACTTCAAATATTAAATTTTTTGAAATTAGCCACTGTAGTTCAATTTGTTCATATTGAGGATGACTCAGTGACTTACCAAGGTTTCCTCTGGAACTCAGAGACTTGAGTGGATGGGTCTAAGTTGGAAATATCTGATCTGTACGAGTGCATCCAGACATCTACAGGTGTACTCATTGTGGGCACCATGCCATGTTCATGAGATTTTAATTAGTATGATGTAAGCATCTAAATTCAGTGGACTGTTAGCAAGCTGTACAAATTTTCTTTCAACAAGATAGCTAGATGGCCTCAAGCAATGAGTCAAAATCTTCAAACTCTATAATTGGAGGAAAGTGAGAAACTTCATACCTCAAGGCTGGTACCATGCGGACTACTGGGTACCCCTGCCTGAGTGTGGCTGGTGAAGGGTCCAGTCACGTCGTTTACACGGCTCATGTGATTAGAATGGCAGTGTTTGGGGGAGACACCAAGAGCTTTAGATCTTTTGCCGAATCAATTCAATGTGTTTTTAAAGCAAACAAAAAACATCTGTAAAAAGTAAGAATAAGACTGTGTGGTGTGGAGCCTCTAAAATTATGCAGTTGTTTTGTATCTTAAAATCCCTGTGTGGCTCACTTATGATTAATAATTTTTTTGGGGGTGGGGGAAGAGGTCTGTGAAATGTGTTTTGGATGAAATTTTGCAGTGCTGGCAGTTAGCAAGTTGAAATATCTTTTTAAGGTCACCAGTCTTTTTTATGATGTGAAAGGCATATTTTACATTTAAATTAGACCGTAGATATATTTTAAACCTTCACTGTGGTACTTGATTCCAGAACTTGGCAAGGCTCTCACACAACTCCCCTGCAGAAAAGGCTTTCTCGAGCAGCTTAGTGAGAGGTCTTGAGAAGGCTAATGCTTATCAAGACCTGTTTTTCTTAAGACCACAATAGGAGGACGGCAGAACAGTGTGGTCCTGCAGAAACTGAAGCCCGACACTCCTTACACGATCACTGTGTCCTCCCTGTATCCTGATGGAGAAGGGGGTCGGATGGCTGGAAGAGGCAAGACCAGTAAGTAAAACTAGAGTCCCTGTGGCTTCTCCAGTAAGTACCATTGGGATGGAATTGCATCTTTATCCAGAAACACTGAGGCAATATAAATCTTTTATACGGTGTTGATTGTTTTTAACATTCTTCTTGGAAGTATGTGCCTCTATTTGTGAAAATAAATTTAATACTTTCTAGGATTAAAAAAAAAGTGTGCTGGTGGCATAACTATGGATAGAAAAGATGTAGGCACTAGACCAACACAGTTATTTTCTTCATTTATTCACTATTTCAACAAGTACTTATGGGGTGTCTGTTACGTTCCAGTGTGCCTGGGAGCTATCACTTAGCCTGTGTTTCAGGTGTGCTTGGCTGCTAAGACCATACAGCAGTGTGATTTCTGTGAATTTTAGAACCTCTCAATACCGTGAGGAACCTGCGAGTATATGACCCTTCTACCGGCACTCTGAGCGTTCGCTGGGACCATGCAGAGGGAAATCCTCGCCAGTACAAGCTCTTCTATGCACCAACAGCAGGAGGCCCAGAGGAACTGGTAATATTTCCTGTAGTGAAAACTGGCAGTTTATTTAAACTGCAAGCTTGGTGATTTAAAAGTGGAACTGAAGGAGTTAGCCAGTTTGCTTTAGAGTTGAAGACGTTCGTATTCACATACTAGGACTTGACAAAGGGTAAATACTTGCTATTGTAGACCCTGGGAAGTAAGAAGATTGGGGCTTGGGAAGGAAGTAGTCATCCCCAAAAGTTCTAAAAAGGAAGTGAAAGTACACAGACGAATCCTCATAAACGCTTATAACAGTTCACTTGAGGCCACATTGTTACACAAAGATACTACAGAGCTCAAATTATTGACTCGATCTTGAATTGTTATGTTATTGTTTGATGTATTATTTCCTTCACAAGGTTTTCAAATCAAATTCTTTATGTTTTATTAAAACTTCAGGTACCAATCCCTGGCAATACCAATTATGCCATTCTTAGGAATCTGCAGCCGGATACCCCATACACTGTGACAGTAGTTCCTGTTTACACTGAAGGTGACGGGGGACGCACATCAGATACTGGAAGGACATGTAAGCAAAAAAGCTGGAAGTTTAACTTTTCATCATAACTTTTCCTTTTCATTGTGAAGGCCATATAGGCCAATAAAAGAGAATTAGGAAAAATCAGGATGATAAAATTAAAAATATAAAAAGATACCCATAGTTTACCATCCAAACACCATCAACTGTTAACTTTTTGGTGGATGAAATTAACAAATTCATAATGGCATTATTTTGAAATCATAATCTCAGAAATTGCAAATGTGTACACACTTACCTATTTGCAACTTTATTTTTTTATTGTTGTGCTGGGTGGGGGTACATTGTGGCATTTACAAATGTTCTTTACAATATATCAAATATATTGTACTTGAATGCATCCCCTCCACTATTATCCTTCATACCACCCTCCCCTCATTCTTGGAGTAGTTTCAAAGATATCAATTTCCATTTACATACATGTGTACACACTATTTGCACCACATTTACCCTCCTTCACCATCTCCCCACGTCCTTCCCCTCCCACTGGTACCACCCTCACCCCCAGGCCAGGACCTGTTCCACCCTCTTGTTCTATGATTTTGTAAATGAAAAAAAATGACATTTTTGTTTGTTTAAGGTAGCTACACAGGGAGTTTCCTTGTGACATTTCCATGTATATATGTATTATAACCCGAATTGATTCATCTCCTCTATTTTTGCTTGCTACTTCAATTATTCTCTTTTTCTGATGAAAATTCATTGAGCTTTGTTTTGTGCCTTATAAATTTTTAGGATGCCCTGTTGGTAATTAGATTTCACAGTACAAATCATTGAAATTTGTTCATCATTTTAGTTGATTGCACATTTCTCTGATTTGATGATGAAGTGCTTTTGGGGGGTAAAGAGCTATGTGCTTTTATTTGCCATTAATATCTTGCAAAATCAGTTTAAATGGTTTTACTATTCCTTCAAGCGCTGCTTAAGACTTTTGTGCATACTTATAAATATTTTGTGCATATTTTATGCATACTTATGAACATATACTTGTTGATGTTTAAAAGGAAGCAAGCAAGAGTGGGTTATTTTGGTGAAAGTTTAGTGGTCTAGAGAGATGATGTTTTTGGCTAAGCCAGAGTTTGAGGTTAGTATGTGGATTTAATTTGTAGACTTCTCTAAATCCCCTTTGGGGGAAGTGTGTCTTATTTCTCCCTCCTTTTGTCTTTTCTCTTAATTGCAGAAGGCATTCCTTAGTTATTTGTTGAATAAAATAGGAATGAATGAAAGAATGAATGATTGAAACTAGCTGACTGAATTAGATTAACCCCATATCTTTTGGCAATTTTTTTTTAGAGGACAGTCTCTATAGAATTCCTCCTTTTTTTTTTTTTCCCATTAGCTGTAGAAACTGAAACTCCTTTTCCTATTTCCTCTCTCTTGTCTTATGCCCCGTTAAGGTCAGTTCAGTTCTGTTACTCATACAGGCTTGTTTTTATTGAAAACAACCTTGCTTCCATATAGACAAAGGCTATAGTTGGCTTTCTTTGACTGGATTTGGATTGGAGCATTTGAATGTTCTTTTGTGTGTAGACAGTTGGAAGTTTAAGGAGAGTAGTATTTTATCCTATTACAAGTGTAAGATGTGGAAAAGTGATGAAAATCTCGACATGTATAAACAGACTTAAAAGAAATATGCATTGGCTTTCATTTCCTCAGTGGTGAGAGGACTGGCAAGAAATGTCCAAGTGTATAATCCTACGCCCAACACCCTTGATGTTCGTTGGACCCGCTCCTGGGCCTGTGCAACAGTACCGTATCGTGTATTCTCCTGTTGCTGGCACAAGACCCTCGGAATCTGTAAGTAATTTTGTCATCCTAGAGCTCAACAAAAGAATTTTGTAGATTCTATTGTGGCTTTTGCCACAGCAGCTGGTTAGGAACAATAAGTCAATTATTGGTGTGTCATTGCCTCTCATGGAAACTGCATTTCCTGATGGATGTAGTTTCATGTTTGAGTCATGTTTGGTATCCTGTGAGAATACAAGCCACAAACATGCCAGTATATAATTCCTAAATGATTGCTTTTGATGAATGGAGGCAGATGTATTGATTATAAGTTTACTTAGAAAATAAAGAACCTTGGGAAAATGCAAATTAGCTATATGAGTTCAAAACCTCAGTAATAAATGCAAATCATTGCTAGACCTTTTCAGTATGGGATTTTGTTATAAAGTACAAATGCCTTTGTTATTAAAATATTTTAAAGTGTACCTTTATTGGCTCTTACAAATTGCAGTCTAACTTTAATTCATAATGTAATTCAGTTTTCTAAGTAGGTTAATAATTTACAAATCAGAAATTGCTAATATTCTTAGAGTAGTAATATTCTTAGAATACCTAAGGGAAAATACATTTATAGACTAATTTAACTTACACATCTTTGCAATAATAAAGATGAGCAAAGATAAATGATAAGCAATGCGTGTTTTTCTGTAAGAATATCAGTTTTCTTGACCCTGAGTATGGTAGGTTCTGTTCAGAAGACTGAACCCTTACCCATCCCATGGAATTGCTTTCTCTTTTAACATAAGATCTCTCTGTAACCAGAATCTTTTGTATTAGTTATATCGAACATTTAGGATGTGCTTTGGGTAAGTATTATGAGCCCTAGATGTTGTATTTTAGGAGCTTTATAATACATGGAAAGGGAGATAACTAAACAAGACTCAAGGATGACATAACTTCTTTGGAAGGGAATTTCTGAGGATAAATTGTATCTAACAGTGTGACCTGGGCAGATCATATGGGGAAACACACTTGGATTCTGACATGTCTAGGCTCAGCCTTTTATTATAAATATTACTATGCTGACTAACTAAACACTTGGTAAGCGTTTGGGTTGCCGTCAGGTAGAATTGAGCATTTTCTCCTTTGCAGATTGTGGTGCCAGGAAACACTCACATGGTGCATCTGGAGCGGCTGATTCCTGACACACCCTACTCTGTGAACATTGTGGCTCTCTACTCAGATGGAGAGGGGAATCCCAGCCCCGGCCAAGGCCGAACACGTGAGGCCAAATTCTTCTCCACCCTATTCCCTGTAGTTAGATTGGCAGGGCTTCTCCCAGTGAGGGAGGGCTGGTGTGTAGGTGGTGTGAGGGATCTGAGAAGTTTTTCCCTCTGTGCAGGTCAGAGTAGGCCTTGGCATGGAATTCTCTTGGGCTTCCCTACACTTTCATTCCATGCTAAAGCTGTGACTTCATAATGATTTTTCTTTTCTTTGTGCTGAATGAATTCAGCCAGTTTTTTAAATTTCTGGTGAGACCTCAGTTAAGGATGGGTTTCCTCTCTTCTTCTGTTTGATAGTGGATTGTCTCATCAAATGGGCACTGTGGTCTCTATGTTTCATTAAACAGAGGCAGTTAGAGAGGTTAAAATAATCCTTTTCTTGCCCAGTCTGTAGATTTAGATTCGAACCTAGCTCTGTGTCACTGGAAGTTCATCATATAATTGTAGTTCTGAAATATGGCACTTTGTACTGTTTGTGATATGTATTTTATCATACGGAGAAACATCATCATGAATGGCGAGACATCTGCAAGTAGCTTCCTAAATCTGAGCTTGGATAATGCTCTCTGGCAGGCAACAAACTCTCCTATATTTTATTTAGTTCCACGAAGTGGACCAAGGAATCTGAGAGTCTTTGGGGAGACAACCAATAGCCTGTCTGTAGGCTGGGATCATGCTGATGGACCAGTTCAGCAGTACAGGATCATTTATTCTCCCACCGTTGGTGATCCAATTGATGAATATGTAAGTGTAACACCCACCCATTGACACATTTTATAATCTTAGCCAGTTGGAGAGTGAAATTAAACTTCTTCTTTAGAAGTGTGCTGTGATTAGAGTTGAGTCTTTGACCCTCATGTGACAGATTTTATATAGCTTTCTCTGACTTGATATGGGGACCACACACAATGTGTGGTTTAGCTTTCCTCACCACAGAGATGCAGTGATTTGGGTGTTCATTTGTATTTTGAAGACCTATTGAAAATCTGTCTTAACTTATTATGGTCATCTGTATACTTTTAAACATCAAATTATATCACAAAGTCTAGTGAAAATGATTCCTATTAATCTGGAGTATCTGAGTTGATGTTTAGATAATGATGTGGTTATATACCATATTCTTTCTTCAAATTGAATTCCTCTACAAAAGTTCTCCCTTCAATACTTTGTGCTAATTGCTCTCTTATTTCTCTGAACTTAACATTTTGCAGAATACTTTGTTTTTGACTTTACAGTTTCCCATTAGTTCCAAACTTTTTTTTTTTCTTTGCAGTGCTAGGGATTGAACTTGGGCCTTGGGCATGCTAAGCAAATGCTGAACCACTGAGCTCCATCCACAGCCCCTCCAAAGTTTTTGAGTAGCATATTTTGTCTCTCCAGATCCAGGCTTAAATTTTCTGTAGCATCCTCATAGCCCTCACTGTGATGTACACTTGCTGTGGATAGAAAGCCACTTACATTGAAGTGCAGTGATAAATGGCTGTGCTAACAATATTTCCTAAAATGGGGTTTGTAAAGGAGATGGGTTCTGTGGTTTGCAACCTTTTTACTACACATGTCCCCTTAGACCACGATTTCTCATGTACTCCATGTGATAAAATAGTTCAAACTTGGTAGACTAAGCTGTAACTGAAGGCCCCCTCTATTACCAACAAAAACATGTAATTCCATTTAGAATTTCTGATCAAAATGAGGTAATCGGTTTTACCATACTTAGTAGAGAAGCTCAAGTTTAGTGTTTGTTTAGCCTTACCATGGACTAATAATTCAATCTTCTTTTCCTTTCTGAAAACATTAATTTCTTCTACCAATTTACTGTGTTCAGTTATGGGACTTCAGGCCAGGAATCATCAGCACGGTGTTCATAGAAATAAAGGCTGGGGTTAGAAGAGAGATTGAGAGGTGAAGGTTTATGTCCTCTTTGAGGATGCAGTTGCATGTAGTTTCCATTTTCTTGTTTCTATCTTTTCCATTCAGTTGGTATCAGACAAACTGATATTCTTTTTTTTTAATTTTATTTTATTCATATGTGCATACAATGTTTGGGTCATTTCTCGCCCCTTCCCCCACCCCCTCCTCCCTTACCCCCCCAACCCCTTGCTACCAGGCAGAAACTATTTTGCCCTCATCTCTAATTTTGTTGAGGAGAGAGTATAAGCAGTAATAGGAAGGACCAAGTGTTTTTGCTAGTTGAGATAAGGATAGCTATACAGGGAGTTGACTCGCATTGATTTCCTGTGCATGTGTGTTACCTTCTAGGTTAATTCTTCTTGATCTAACCTTTTCTCTAGTTCCTTGTTCCCTTCTCCTATTGGCCTCAGTCACTTTCAAGTATTTGCATTAGTTTCTCTGCGTTGAGGGCAACAAATGATAGCTAATTTTTTAGGTGTCTTATCTATCCTCATACCTCCCTTGTGTGCTCTCACTTTATCATGTGATCAAAGTTCAATCCCCTTGTTGTGTTTGCCCTTGATCTAATGTCCACATATGAGGGAGAACATATGATTTTTGGTCTTTTGGGCCAGCCTAACCTCACTCAGAATAATGTTCTCCAATTCCATCAATTTATCTGCAAATGATAACATTTCATTGTTCTTCATGGCTGCATAAAATTCCATCGTGTATAAATACCACATTTTCTTAATCCATTCATCAGTAGTGGGGCATCTTGGCTGTTTCCATAACTTGGCTACTGTGAATATGGCTGCAATAAACATGGGTGTGCAGGTGCCTCTGGAGTAACCTGAGTCACATTCTTTTGGGTATATCCCCAAGACAAACTGATATTCTTGAAGACAGACACTGTGTCCATTTTTGATGACCAGTGGATTCTCTGCTGGTTCACATTCATTGAAGTACTACCTAGAAACGTAATGTGTAGTGAAGAAAGATGAAGGGAACAAGGTTATTACTAAGTTCTGCAGCACTCAGTAAAGTGTTCTGAAGTCTTAGGTTTCTTATTGCTTTTATTTCTCATTTTTTTCCTTCAGAGATGCTAAGTTGCTGCTTAGTGACTGATCTGTTTTGAGCCCAGATCTGTCAGACTCTAAAACTATTCTCCCATGCCATGTATACAATTTGTCTTGCCATGAGCATTGTGAAAGAAAAAGGAAATATAAAGAAACCATTACTCATTATGGGAATATATAAAACAGTATTGGTTCTTGATGTGGAAGTCCTCTAGCCAGTAATAAATGTGTAATTTCACTTCACCTACAGACCACAGTTCCAGGCAGAAGAAATAATGTAATACTGCAGCCCCTGCAATCTGATACTCCATATAAAATTACTGTTATTGCTGTTTATGAAGATGGAGATGGTGGCCATCTAACTGGAAATGGAAGAACTGGTCAGTGTCTTATATGTCTTTTTTTTTTCTTTTGCTTTGAGGTTGTCATAATTTTAATGTTTCTTATATCTTTTAGGCACTTTAAATTTTGCCTTTACTTGTGTATCTGAAATATTATTTTGATATACTAACATTTGTATCAGATGTTTAATTTTTCCAAAATGATGATAGAGGAACACAATTTATTTTTAACTTTATTAAGGTCTATTAAGAGAAGAAAAAAGTAGACAGAAACCTGCATGTTTTTCTTTGCTTGAGATATTTTGGAAAACTACAGCATGTTCTCTGAATAATGCTATAGTTTGTGTGGTTTTAGTTAAAACTATAGTTGTTAGTCGATGTAGTATTGGCTAAAAATGCTTGGTTGTGACTGAGAAGCAAAATGATTAGCAATTATCTTCTTTCTAAAAATGTAGCTTTAAAAATTATCATCAGACCAGCAAAGTGGTCCATTGTTGTAATCCCAGCCATGCAGAACATAGAGATGAGAGGATCATGATTTAAGGCCAGTCTGTGCAAAAGGCACAACACCTTACCTGAAAAATTAACTCAAGCACAAAGTGCTGGTAGAATGGCTCAAGTAGTAGAGTGATTTTCTAGAAAGCATGAGGCCATGAGTTCAAATCCCAACAGTGTAAAAAATAAATTACTGCATCAAATAATGTACAGAAAATTACCAGTGTTCAGGTCACCTTTTCTAACTGATACTGGTAAGAGTTTCTTATGATTTAAGGATTCTCTAATGTGGTTAGAGGACCTTTGGAATCTCATTGGAATCACTTGGGAAGCTTTCAAGTGATGCCTAAGAGCCCCTCCCACAGATACTGATATTACTGGTCTGAGATGTGGCCCCGGATGTTGTAATGTGCAGCTACTGCTGGAATTGAAAGCCACTGGTGTAACAAAATGGCAGACTGTGCTCTAGGTCTGTAAATATTGACATCTCTTTCTACTTCATTCAGCAAAAATCTACTTAAATCTAAATAATTTCAGGCTTCTTTCCTCTTTAACTTGCCCAATCTCTTTTTGTGCTTAAATGTTCTTTATAACATTACAGAATTTGTGAAAGATAGCATTTGAAAGCTGCTAAGAGCAAAGCAGGCCTATCAACTCAGCTTTGTCTCTGGAGGTCAAGAATCTGTATACTCACTGATACTTTGTCTGAAGGACAGTCAGTGGAGAATTAGCCAGTGACTCAAGATGATTTTAGTTTAACAACTTACTTCCCTCTTTTCACTTTCTTAGATTTAAAATATATTTTAGTACTTTTCTGGGAAAATGTCATATTTTCAAATTTTATGCTTATTAAAATGTAAAATGAAATCCTTACTATATTTTGAATTTTTCAGAAAGAGCAAAAGCCAAGTATAGTATCTTTTATAAAAAGAAAAGTTTTTTAAGTTGTATGAATTATTTTTGTAATGCTATGACTGAGCAATAATTCAGTGACTACTTAACATGCATTAAACAGTATTGACTTTGTAAGTTGTAGATTAAGGTGTTCTAGGTTATGTTGACGAAAGATAGGGTGGTATAGGAAAAGAATCTTCTTTCAGTCACTAGCTAGCTGTGTGGTCTTGGAAAATTATATCTTATTATGTGATGAGGTGTCTAACCAGATAGTATCTAAATTACCCTCTGGCTCCAACATTCTATAATCTATAACATTCTAAAAATGATTGGAGATCTCTTTTATTTTCTGTAATTCTGACCCATATCCAATACCAACTTTTGATCTTATCTCCTATTAGAAGACTCTTGAAAATCATCAGTTCTGAATCCATTTGAATTGCTTTTTGAATTTGGAAAACTGAAGTTTGGGAACATTTCAATGGGTTTTAGTTATTTTCTGGATAAGGAGATTATGGAATATTAAAAACAAAACTGCTCTCATAGGGCTACCCTAACAATACTCATAGAGTTCCATGTTCTTCTGTGCCAATGAGAGGTCAGTAATGCAGGCCCAATGTTTGCTTTCAGTGGGACTTCTTCCGCCTCAGAACATACACATCTCTGATGAGTGGTATACAAGGTTCAGAGTGTCTTGGGATCCTTCGCCCTCTCCAGTTCTTGGATATAAAATTGTGTATAAGCCAGTAGGTAAGGAAGCATATTTGTCATACTAGAAATACATTGGAAAATTATTTGTTTATGATGATATTCTCTGTTGTATCCCCTGCTGCCGGACTCTCCTGTTACCACATCAATTCCCTTCTCACTAGAGGTAATGTTGGTGAAAACAGTGCTGTCAGTGGTCCAAAGCACCACTGTTATTGTGAGTGTACATGAGATTTGTAGCAAATTTCATGACTGAGAAGTTTGACCTGATCCATAAAATTGCACACATTGAAGCTGCTTTTGTTCAGACATCTTATATGTTACTATTGCCATGAAATAATGCATATTTAATCCATATAAACTTCTATATTTTCCCCATTATGTCCAAATGTTATTCCATTTGGGCATAGATTTTGTGCACTTTAGTTTATCCAACTCCCCACTGATCTATTCACCTAAGCCAATATCACCATCATTAAATGATTTTCCATCTTTTTATCTTTTGTCTTAATGCTTACCAAAATTGGAAGAAATATGCTCTTTGTACCAAATTTCCTAAGGCATCTTCCATGAACCCAGGAAGACTGTGAACTAGGAAAAAAGGCAAAGGAGAAAGCAAAAGAAAGACAATGTGTACCTGTGTAAGAAATAGAAAATAGAAAAAGAACTTAAAAGAGGAAAGGAGAGTTGATAACTGAGGACCCTCGATAATCAAAATATGTGGAATGAGGTCAAGATAGTGATTCTTAGATCATCACTGCAACAAATTAAAATATGTTAATTGAGTACCTACTCTGTGGAAGGCTCTATGCTGGCAAAGTAGGGCTTAGAAAAGAGGCATGAGAGTGTGTTCACTAAAGTAACATTGATTATATACTTACTGCGTTCTCAGTACTGTGCTATTCTATGAGAATAAGAAAGTGAGGAATTTGGACTTACAGCTCTGTATGCATGGTTTATGTGCTACATGAGAGGCCTATGAGAATTGATGTGTTCATTCCACCATCTGACTTAAAGTTAAGATCTTTAATTTTGAGCGAAATCTGAGGCAAATTATTACAGATTTATGTGTCATTTTGTGTATTTCATCAAAGGTTCCAATGAACCCATGGAAGCCTTTGTTGGAGAAGTGACATCATACACTTTGCACAGTCTCAATCCCAGCACTACCTATGACGTGAGTGTTTATGCTCAGTATGATTCTGGACTCAGCCTTCCTCTCACAGATCAAGGCACTACATGTGAGTAAAATATCTTTTTGTGGTTATAAGAAAGCATAGAGTGAAATTTACCAGGTCAGTCTGTTTTAATTTTACTTTTTCCTAACATGTGCAAGGTTTTCCAGCATTATGTAGATAGGCCAGTTTGTGTTCAGTGAAACAAATACCTATCTGTCTAAATCCATAAGTAATGTCTGAATGGGATTGACCAGTGGTAGGAGGAGACTGGGGTCCCAATTCTATGCCCTTCATTCTGCTCTGGTGGTGTCTGTCCTTCCCTTTCTCCAGGGCACAGAGGGCTGGTCCTCAGAGCTCACATGGAGAGAATCATGTCTAGATAGAGCATTCCCTCGGAGGTCCTGGACTAAGATTTGCTTAGTCTGTCAACTTCAGATAGCTCTCTGAGGGTTATCATATGTGTGAGTCCTCTTGAAGGAAATATGTATAGTTAATTAAATATATAAAAAAAGTATGTGGTGAAGAAGTCATGTTTATCTGCTATCAAATATTATATTTTGAATTTTAAAAGGTAAAACATACAGAATTTTGTCATTTTATCTATGAATCTGTGTAGTGTTGTGATGCTAGTTTTCTTTTTTAAATTTTTGTATTCATTTATTCACATGTGCATACATTGTTTTGGTCATTTCTCTCCCCTGCCCCCTGCATCTACCCTCTACCCCTCCTCCCCTTCCTTCCTCCCACCTTTCTTCCAGGCAGAATTTGTTCTGCCCTTGTGTCTAATTTTGTAGAAGAGAAGACTTAAGCAATAATAAGAAAGACAAAGCATTTTTGCTAGTTGAGTTAAGGATAGCTATACAGAGAGATTCCTAGCATTGCTTCCATGTACAAATGTGTCACAACCCAAGTTGATTCATCTCTAACTGATCTTTACACTGGTTTCTGATCCCCTTCTCGTGTTGACCTCTGTGGCTTTAAGGTTTCTGTATTAGTTCCTCTGGAGTGGGGACATCAAACGCTTTCATGTTTTGGGTTTTCTACCTATCCCCATATCTCCCATATGTGCTCTCCCCTTGTCATGTGACTCAAGTCTAACAACATTGTTGCATTTGCCCTAGATCTAAAACCCTCATATGAGGAAGAACAAATGATTTTTGGTCTTCTGAGCCTGGCTAACCTCGCTCAGAATGATGTTCTCCAGTTCCATCCATTTACTTGCGAATGAGAAGATTTCATTCTTCTTCATGGCTGAGTAAAATTCCATTGTGTATAAATACCACATTTTCTTGATCCATTTGTCAGCAGTGGGGATGCTAGTTTTCTTGACATTCAATGTTAAGTTATTTATTACCCTAAATCCATTGATACAATTTTATTGAATTACTGAATTTTGCCCACAGATAGATTTTGTGGTCACCAAGTGCTTTAATATATGTTTAAGGACTTAATAAGATAGCCTTTCAGAAAAATTTCTTATGATTTTCCACAAGGGACTGTGTGATTTCGTTTCCTCAAAAGTTAGTCATGGAAAGGGAGGTTTGTTTTGACTCTGCTATATTTTCATGTATATTTGATGTATGTTTCTTATAAGAAAACATTGAGATTTTAGACATTTTTTTCAGTCACAGTGGGAGTTCAAAAATTGTGTTGAGATTAAAAGTATGCGTTTTGTGCTTTCATTCAGAAAGTGAATCTCTTTATTTCTTTTGTAGTGTATTTAAATGTGACAGATCTGAAAACTTACCAAGTTGGGTGGGATACATTCTGTGTCAAATGGTCACCTCACCGGGCAGCGACCTCCTACAGGCTAAAACTGAGTCCTGCAGATGGTATGTGTGTAAAAGAAAATGAACTGGAGTATGTAGTGGAAACATTTTAAACTTCAGTAAAGAAGAATTCATTGTCCTTATAAAATGCCTTAAAAAATAATAGATGATAACACTTGCATTTTCCTTTGGTGTCATGACCAGGAACTAGAGGACAAGAAATTACAGTGCGTGGATCAGAAACTAGCCACTGCTTCACTGGCCTCTCACCAGAGGCTGAATATAGTGCTACTGTTTTTGTGCAGACACCAAATCTTGAGGGGCCAGGTGTTCCCATCAAAGAACATACCAGTAAGTTTTTGAATAATCTGGAAACTCTTCATTCTATTCTGTATAGCATAATCCTGGTATGGGAGACTTAATGATACCTTCCCCTCATGGGTAGCAGTAATGGTGGTATGATGGAAAGTTCCTGAAAGTACAGTCTATGCAGAAATTCCAGGTTGTCCTTGCTGCAAAGTTGATACTGCTTTAAGGAAAGGACTGAAAGGGTGAGAGATGGCTGTAGCCCACAGAGAGAAGGTGAACATGCATTCACTTTAATGACTTTTATTCTTTTGACCTTCTCTTCTTTGCATCTTTGCATTCTGTTGTTGATGTGAACACCTACCAACAATACCAATTATGGAAAGAATAGGATCTTTCCATAAAAAAATTTCATAAAATTTGTCAGTTTTAATGAAATGAGGCTAGAGCCTTGTTTTCTAAGACTTGGTTTGTTATTGAAGATTTAGATTGCTCTTAAAATTTGCTTTCTGGGATATGAAATGTGTGCATGTTGTATTTTTCTAATTATTATTTTAAAATTCTAGCTGTAAAGCCAACGGAAGCTCCTACAGAGCCACCTACACCCTCTCCTCCTCCCACTATTCCTCCAGCCCGTGATGGTAAGTACAGTTGGATAGGCAATAAGTACAGCTGATAGGGATTTCCAGACTTCTCATTTATGCTGCAGATACATCATTTACAATTGATAAGAAAAATATTTCAGAATTATTTTTCTTGCTGAAAAGTTTTAGATTGAAAGAAAAGATTGCCATTGTTTGTTCCTCTCCTCCAGGCACATTTTGGTATGAATAAAATCAGTCATAAACTACTCCAGGTCTTTATTTCCTCAGTTATGCAGGTTAAGATCTAGTGATAGCATCCACAGTCCGTAGTAACATGGTAGCTTTTTCTTTGCATGGTATCAATGGGATATATGAACCTTTTTTGGCTGTGTCTGCGACCTAGTTCCTGAGGCTCTTGACTGTGTAACTCCTGACTTTCTGATCTGAGTCAAGTTCTGGATTACACAAAGCTAAAAAAATCTTTCCATTTACCAAACCTTGAAATGTAATTGTCAGTAGCAGTGAACTGGTAAAAAGATATACTGAAGGACTGAGGCTGGACCCTCAGTAATTTGGGTGTGATTCTTCCTTCAGTGCTCGATCAAATTAAGCTCATGCAAAAAAACTACTGGATTATTCTTTTCCCACATTTTTTTATTTTAGAAAGCATTCCAGATTTGAAAGGATATGTCTTTCATATTAGAAGGATCTAGATTATTGCAACTTTATTAAACCTATTACATAAGTCAAATTCAAAATTAAAACTGTATAAAATAATAAAGGCTAAAGGGAAATACACTAGTGGCTTTCTTTAGAATGTTGAAGAAACTCAGCAATCTTGGCTTAAAAACATGTTAATTTTTTTTAAAATAAGCTTTATTTTCTACAGTAGTTTAGGGTTCACAACAAACTGAGCAGGAAGTATAGAGAGTTTTTTGCTCCTAGCCTCCCAACTATCAATATCCCCGGCTAGACTGGTACACTTGTGGCAATGGAAGACCTACACAGCATTACTGTTCAAAGTCCATAGTACATTCTATATGCTGTTTTCAAAAAGTAAAATTTTGTTTAATTTTTCTTTAGATATTTTTAACTTCTAAGTCTAAAAACAGTCAAATTAAAGATGTTTGTTTATTTTATTTTCTTCTTTTCTTCCCCATATATGATTCCAGTGGCCTAATTTTAAGGAAAAAAAATTTATTTGTACTAAATCTTTGATAATTCTTTTTAAAATCTCCAAACCCACTGATGGTCCTCCAGTTCTGGACATCATTGTTCTTCATTTGATTCTACCTGAATGATTGTTTGAAGCAGTTTGTAGAGTTCATTTAAATGGAAGAATTAAACAGATTTGGGGCTTCCTCTATGCCTTTTTTTTTTTTTCAGTATGCAAAGGGGCCAAGGCTGATATTGTGTTCTTGACGGATGCCTCTTGGAGTATTGGGGATGATAATTTTAACAAAGTTGTAAAATTCATTTTCAATACTGTGGGGGCCTTTGATGAAATCAGTCCTGCTGGGATTCAGGTGAGTGTTAATCTCAACACAACATTATTCATTTGTTGTGTCTTGCTGTTTCCTCTGAACTTTCCTTTTTAAGTAGAAAGTTGTTTCATTATAAACTGTGTTTTGACCTTTATAATTTGCTGTTTCCTTTATACATGTATTTTTTGGAAGGGAGGAAGTGGGTGTAAATGATAAATAAATAGAAAAATAAATATTCCTATAGGTTTCCTTTTTTTGGCTAGATGATACTCCCATTGGAGACTTTAAGGGAGTGTGACTCCAACTTCCTGCTTAAAATTTCCAACATTTTTACATTTCCATGAAAGGTCATCCAAAGTTCTGAACATTAAATCCATTATGATTGTCATGTCTTATAAAGTGAGAAGACTATAGTGACTGGAGTGGGTAGGTGCAATCTGCTGTCTGCTCTATTATTATATTGCATTTATTATCCCTGCTAAAACAATGTCCATTAATAAGCAAAAGGGTGTTAAATTTGTTTTCCTAAAATGATATTACTTCCAGTGTATTTGTTGTACTAGAGTAGGAACTTAAAGAAGTTAATATTTTTGAGAGGCTTCAAAAAGTAATTAATCATTTTGCCCTAATCTACCTATAAAGCTGTAAAGCTCCACCATTCTCAGTATACCCATGAATTTATGAACTCTCACATCCAGTGGCACTAAAGTATTTGGGGAGGCCTTCCCTGACTCCTTTGAGAATCCAAATTCAAGCTATTATTAGCTATTTCTTGTATTCGGTAGTCTTGAAGGCTCACTTCAAATTCCACCCCTTCTGGAGAGGCTCCCTGATAGCAGTAGGCATTCCATGCTCATGAAGTATTTTGTGAGAATCACCATTGTAGCAAATACCATTTTACATGGTCCTTACTTGTGTGTCTCTCTTCTATCTAAATCACTGTCTAGTCTTTAAAGCAAGAAATTCTATCTTTAAACATATTCTCTTTTTCTTTTCTTCTCAATTTATTTTGGTGGATTTTCTTTATTCTGGCAGTTTGTTTGTCATTGTGGCATCTTACAGAAAAGATTTTGAAATAAATGATAATTTCTTAAGCAAACTACATTCTCTTTATGAAGTAATACTTTATGGAAGGAATACAGTAAAAGTGAAATCCCACTGTAACCTTGTGGACATTGTTCCAACCCAAGAAGAATAAAAAGCCTGGTTTCATTCTTAATTTAGTGTGTCAACAGCTCAGCTGTGTTTTCATCCTTTTCAGAATTAGAATTTCTAATAAAAATAGCTATTGTACTTACTAACTTCAGTTACTGTGTATACATGGTTATTATTCTTTTAAACAACCTTAGAAGATAAATAGAATTATCTTCACTTTACTGACAAGGAAACTAACGCCAAGAAGTAGGAACTTAACTTAGTGTCATACAGCTATTAATTTACAGAGCTGGGATTTGAGCCCAGTGAATCCTGACTATAAAACCTGAACTCTTTCCATTAAATCACACTGTCACCAAGTTTCTCATGAGTGGTGATTACTGTCATGTATGGAACATTTTTATATTACTGTGAAGAATGAATATAGTCAATGAGAAGTACAGTTGGCTGAGAACGAACTCTTCAACCAACAACTGGGTTCTTATTTATAGTGCTGGGATCTCAGTGTTCCCCAGATTAGCCGATCTCTTCTTAAGTCCTAGGAAAGACACATGGATACAGCATATTTGCATCATTAGTATCAGTTACAACAATTTCAGTGAGGACTGGGAATTAGAGAATTTAATGAGACAACAGCAGCCATTGTTACAATAATAACTATAAAGAGGATATAATATCCTGCTAAGTCTATGACACCCTTCTCTCTACTCTGCAGCTAAGTGAATCACTGCAACATCCATTTTCTTTCAGGTTTCATTTGTGCAGTACAGTGATGAGGTCAAGTCTGAGTTCAAGCTGAACACATACAATGACAAGGCCTTGGCTCTTGGGGCCCTTCAGAACATTAGGTACAGAGGAGGAAACACAAGAACAGGTATAGTTCATCAGAGTCTGTGAAGATCTTTGGTATCCAAACATAATGGATAGTACTGAGTGTATCATCTCATTGAAGGGTCCAGACTGTAATTATGTCGGCATGGCTAATGGCATTTGGATAGTTTTCACTGAGGTGATATTAAAGTGTCCCCTGTCACACTCCATAGGCAAGGCCCTCACATTTATCAAGGAGAAGGTCTTGACCTGGGAGAGCGGCATGAGGAAGAATGTCCCCAAGGTGTTAGTTGTGGTCACCGATGGTCGGTCACAGGATGAGGTCAAGAAGGCAGCTTTCATCATACAGCAGTCAGGTAAGTGTAAGGACTGGATTTGATTGCATTCATTATCTTAAATACTCAGAAATGATTGAAAAAGACAACATTTACTGATTTTATGTTCTTCTGTTTTGCTGTGTACTCTTATAATGTTAGTTTAAACTTAATTATGGAATAGTTAGCTAATTCCTCAAAAATGATATGGTGTATTTTTTGTAGAAGATGTGATTCAGGGTTTGTCAAGGGGTAAATAGAATCTCCCCATAGCAGCTTGAAAGGTATAAGATAATGGGGGTATCCTTAAAGTGAGTGTTCTGCCATGGCAGTGATGTATCTTGATGCTGGTTCCTATGTAAGGAGAGGTCTACGATGTCTTCAGTTTTAGTTTGTCCTTGCAGATTCAGACGTAATACAGATTGCTGAAGGGTACACTGCAAGTTAAAAAGTATCAAGCTCTCGGGGTGATATCTCTAGGTTAGGTTTTTGTCAAGCAAACATCCTGAGAGCCCCTTGGTAACATTGCCCTTTGGGTTCATTGGGTTGTTAGAAATGAAATGAGGTCTTTCCATTACTTGCATTCTCATCCTTCCCCCTTCTGCCCCAAGCAGGGTCCAAGGTGGGTTTATTTTAGAAAGAGTCCTATGCTTTGGGTGATGTATTCCAAGAAATTTTAAGGTGATGTGGAATTTGTCATCTGCATATACATAATTCTTTTGCTAAAATTATGAGTGTTGATTAGTGCTATACCATGCCATCTCTTTCAGTGGAGATTGTTCTTCATGCTTATCTCTCTCTCTCTCTCTCATCTACCTAGCTATCATCTATCTTTTACACACATATTATAAATTCATTGCCATAAGGTCATATACTTTGAGCAGACTTATAGACATTTTGTCTTTAGCTGACTTGAATTTGGGGTTATGGATTTGCTTCCCTAGTTACCATATACATGTATACACTAAATTACAAATTATATGCCAAACCTTATATACTAACCTATGTTTTTTCTGAGATCAAGTTAACTTTTGGAGCAAAGGCTTTGTTTGTTTGTATTAGCCTAAATAAAGGATGTTTTATTGCCAGTGGGAATTGCGGGTTCTGTTTCAAAGGTGGTCAAAGTACTGCCATCGAGTCTGAGTTTGCTGAGAAAAATCAGTTTCAAGAATTCAAATTTAAAATAGCTCATTCTTGGTTTCTGAGTCATATAAGCTTAAGTTCTAAATGGTACCTAAGGGAGCCTCTCAACTTAGTGTATTTTAGGACTGTGGCTCTGTGGAAGGCTATCTGCACCACACAATATCTTTTTCTTATTAAAAGCTTCATCTTTTAATTATTAGAATTTTATTTTAGGAGACCCAGTGAATTGAATTGATAAGCCAGAAAATAGGATGACTTGGAAAAAAATGCATATTCCTTAAGAAGTCCATGTTCATCCATTGAGGAGAGTTCACGTCAAATGAAAGGACTTGCTGCACCATTGAGAAAATACAGCATCATTTCTGATAAAGTTTTTTTATTTCAAATAATAAAAGACAGAAATACCATATGTAATTCACTCTGCAAACACTACTTTGCAGGGTTCAGTGTCTTTGTAGTTGGTGTGGCTGATGTGGACTACAGCGAACTTGCTAACATTGCCAGCAAGCCAAGTGAACGGCATGTGTTCATTGTGGATGACTTTGAATCCTTTGAGAAGATAGAGGATAACCTCATTACATTTGTTTGTGAAACTGCCACCTCAAGTAAGTCATGGTTCACGTAGATCCATAACCTAACTTGTCTTGAAAAATAAGTATGTATAGACAATTATTCATACTATTTGGGATCAAGTATCTGCATAAATAGAACATGGGAAATCATGAATCATTGTTCCATTGAGATCATGCTAAATGTGTGCTTGTCAGAAGTCCATTTTTAGTCTTGAAGATGTAATAATCCTTGTGTGGAAATAAAGCATTTTAATATATTCTTTTCCCACCACCCCAATGGTTGTGGCATTGGGGTAAATTAAGCTTCAGCTTAGAGTTGCATATACAGAAACATTTCTGAAGAAGCTTTTCCCTCTTAGTAATCAATTGGTATTCTTTCTGTCAACATTTGTGTTTCATGAGAGCCATGAAAAACTGGCTTGTGCCTGTGTGCTCAGTAGAAATCAGTTGATTGTCATTGATTTGCTTGGTTTAGAGATTTTTTATACCAAGACCTCAAGTTCATCTTTTAAACTATAGTGTCAGATTAAAGATAAACTGAACCTATTTATCTCCTTTTTCATCCACAATCAAGGTTGTGCTTTACAAGTGTGGTGTTTCCACCTATTAACAATTATATTTTAAAAACTCAAAACTCTGCTTAGAGGTGGTAGCAATAAACAAGTTCTAAACAAACTGTGAAAATTTATGCTGAACCCCAGTATGGAACAGCAGTGGTTGAAATGGGTAGGGAACCAGAATTGTCTTCTTTCTGCATCAAATGGTCTTGGATGTAGCCCTTTGGTTCCCCTGGCACTTAAGGGGTACAGGGTCAAAATTGCTGTGTACTCATTAATGTTATGTGATGTTTGGTATCTATTGTGAGGCTTGGGGGCTTGGAAGAGAGGAGGATTGGGGATGAATGAACTTTTTCTCTCTTTGAATAAATCTGAAATTCTCTTGGAGGAAATTAATGTATTTCAAAAGCAGAAAAAAGTTTTCCCTTTGAATTCCACTAATTCTTTAGGAGATTGTAAAATTTCAGTTGAACTAGACAATGTTCAGAAAGCATTTCTTACTATGAGAAATAACTTATAAAAGGTTAAAGTGATAAATTTAATACATGAATGTGATGCACAGCACATACATTGCTATTTCTGTGCATATATATTTGTACATCATGTTGGTGAATCATAACTAAAGCACACTGTGCATTGCAGGTTGCCCTCTCATTTATTTGGATGGCTACACCTCACCAGGTAAGTATTTATATCCTTGGGCTAATTTATTTCAAGATTTAAGAAATAAAATAATTAAAATGTACTGATTTTAATATTTTCCTCTCTGATGTAAAGGTTTTAAGATGCTTGAAGCATACAACCTGACAGAAAAGAATTTTGCTTCTGTACAAGGAGTCTCTCTGGAGTCAGGGTCTTTCCCCAGCATCTCAGCTTACAGGCTTCAGAAGAATGCCTTTATCAGTCAGCCTACTGTGTAAGTGTGAAAATGGGAGGTCCTTCTCTTGTAATGGGCAAGAAGTTCTTGGAATCTTTGCTGACTTCCTAGAAACTTGGAAATTTTCAAAGGTCAGAAGACTCCTTATGCATAACCTGGTTTGGTTTCCTTAAAAATCGTTGGGTTGATTGCCTTCCATCAGATTATCTAGCAGTTTTCATGAGGGAAACTAGGATTCAAACTTTGTTATTCCCAGACCCAAGTATGATGGATTCCTGATTCTGTTGCACTGAAAGCGAGGGTTGAACTTTTGCTTCTTCTAAGGGAGGCTGTTAAAACAGGAAGGCAGCTTATTATTTTGAACATTTCCTCCTGTGATGCAGAACTGGATGGAATAAGTGAAGAATGAGAGCAGGCAATTTTTAGAAAATGAAGGACCGCCATACTTAATGCTAGTCCACAATCAGACAGGCGGTGATTAGTTTGTATTGGCTGATTCTCTGGCACTCTGTGGGGTAGCTCTAGATGTTATTTTATTTCATGAAGGTTTGCACCTGGATATGATAATGGAAGCATGTATTTCTTATTCATTAAAATGAAAACTTTTATGTTGAAAAACTTGTGTTTGGCAACGTACAGAGAGAAAAGAAGAGGAAGAAATAAAGCTTTCAGAAACTTAGGACAGTCATAAAATAAGGTCTGAAATGTGAAATGCTCGGGGACAGCTAAAACCAAAGTATTTTATCTGAAGGAGGCACAGATTATATTGTAGCTTGACCACATTGCAAGTTCCTAACTCATTTATACTTGGCCACATTGGTTCAACATGCAGGTTTTTCAGTGAATCTTAAAACCCAGCATTTAACTCTTTCAGTCACTTCAAGATATGAATTCTACATTTTATTTTACTTTTTGGCAGTACTGGGGTTTGAACTCAGGGCCGTGTGCTTGCTAGGAAAGCACTCTTATCATTTGATCCATGCTCCCAGTGACAGCCTATTGTCTTCATGAGAGTCAAAACTTTGGCTGCACGGCAAGAAGCATAAATGTAATTGAATTACTATTTTGTATGAGTTCCAGTTAACTAGGGAAGAAGGTGAAAATGGGCTAAGTAAGAGATGAGGTAATGTGGAGAGAACTTTTTTAACATGGAACATTTTAAAGCTAGTTCTTGAATATGAAAGGCATCACGCCAGCTTGCCCAGAGCACATGTTTGAAGAAGCGAGACAGTGATACAGTTACACAGAGTACTAGACGCACAGTACTAGGAGGACATGTAGCCTCAAGAAGCATTCTGTGGAAATAAGCAATAGCTTCTTTTCTGTCCAAGAGTTGACTACTTAGGCCTTTTGTTCTACTTTTAGGTAGAAGGTGTTACATGGTCTCAGATAGAAAAACATCAATTCTGTTTTAACAACAGAGTCAACAATGGTTGACTCAACTCGGAAGGACACAGGAGATTTTTTTTTTTTTTAGTCTCACAGCTTTAGAACCAAAAAACATTTCCTTTTAATTGAATCACATCCTTCATCATCACTAAATCTTTGCCCATGTTCATGGCTTAAATATTTACAGTTGGTCCTATTTTGGGGGAATACGTGAGTGTCTCTAGGTGATTTGTTTGAATTTAAGGGAGGAATTTGTACGTGTAAGTACTATTTATAGTAGCGAGAGAGAGAAATTAAAACTTTAAGTCATTTTACCTATGACCTCATTCCCTGACTTTGGAAATAATGATATACAATGGGTAAGATTCATTCTCTTCACATGGTATCTATAGTTATTATATTGATTACTCCAAAGTTATCTCATGATTTTATAATTCTGTGTGTCTCTAAAAGAAATTAATGAAAATGATAAAAGACTATTTAGTAATTTCCTAGACTTTGGTGATTTTATCAGATTATAATTAATCAATTACTACTGACAGAGTGGGTCTTTAGTGTTTGTTCCCTTGATGTGTTTCCCAAATTATTTCCCTCTGTTATGAAGCCAGATGATTATGAATAGCCTCTAATACTCATCAGAATGATATTCTGGTTTAAAGGCTTAAAACAGTCTCTGTTTCTGATGAATATTTATTTATTTATTTTGCTTTATCCAACAGAGAACTACATCCAAATGGACTCCCTCCTTCATATACAATTATATTATTGTTCAGACTTCTCCCAGAAACTCCCAATGATCCTTTTGCCATTTGGCAAATTACAGACAGAGACTATAAACCACAAGTTGGAGTAATTGCAGATCGTAAGGATTTTAATCCTATTTCAAGGCATATGCATGCATAGTTTTGATTATGTTTTTTTCCTTTTCTTCTCTTCTCTTTAGGCACCTTCCAGATATATATATTTACTTTGCACATGCTTTTGTGTTTAACTTTTTCAAATATAACATGTCAATAAATAAGTAGCAGTTAATCAAAAATGAAATTTTTGAATGTTTTAGAAATCTCTCCAACAAGAATTATTCGCTAATGCTTTCAATACATGAAATGCTTTCAATTACACCATGTATGTGATTTAATCATGATCTTATGCTATTACAGCTTCTAGCAAGACGTTATCATTCTTTAATAAGGACACAAGAGGTGAAGTACAAACAGTTATGTTTGACACAGATGAAGTAAAGACACTATTTTATGGAAGTTTTCATAAGGTAAAAATGTAAGATTCTTTGAGTCTTATTTCTATAAAAAAGAATATGGCTTAAGAACTAATACTTTCTTACAATGTCATGCCAGGTTGGCAGAATCCTAGCTATATCTTTTAAAAATAAAATCTTATTTTAGATAATTTGATTACTTTAAAGAAGAATATTTTAAAAAATAATAATTCTACTAATCAATAGATAACCACCATTAACACTTTGATATATTTCAATGTTTAGATCTTTTCAAACTTTGAATCAGGTAGCACATATTGATGCTGCCCACTTGTTTTTCTACTTATCTCTTTATTGTGAACTTTGTGTCATTTAGTTTGTAAGGCTTAATAATTTTGTGTGTTATATTGTAATTAATATTATTTTATAAAAAACAGGAACATTCTTTTACTTGCTTGTTTATTGAAAAGTTATAAACATGCCAGTGAAATGTAGAATAAACATTTTTACCAGTTGAAAATTATCTACCAAACTAATTAAGATAAATGTTTAAGATTTTTTTCATGAACACACTTATTCTGTAAAAACACAATTCTCTAAACATGTAATACTCTATAAATTCTTATTAAAACTTCTCAGTTGTCTTCTAGGGTGTTCTCTGTTCTTGGTGATCTTAAATCTTTATATGTCAACATCCCAAGTGAGAATTGAAGAACCTTTCTGTCCTTGAGTAGGTTTAGCATGATTTATTGCTGTTTCTACTTGTGGGGAAACTTGGCTTCTTTCCAGAATGTTTTGATAATCATTAATCAGATGATTAATAGGGATGATAAAGGACTCCCCTCATCCAGCTCAAAGAGGCTTCAATGTGCCTGTTGGAGGTAACCAAAAACCAAAACCCAAAGCAAAACAGAAAACCACCAAAAAAACTCCAACAATAGAGAAGAAACAAAAATCTCTAAGTACATCATATATCTACTTAAAATTTTATAAACTTTTATGTAGTATGGTAAAATAACCCAACAATAGAGAAGAAACAAAAATCTCTAAGTACATCATAAATCTACTTAAAATTTTACAGACTTTTATGTAGTACGGTAAAATAAATTCTTCCTTGAGAAAGCAAATTCTAGTTTGGAAAATGTTATTGGCTTTAACCGATCTTATCTGATAATAGATGTTGATTCTGCCAAAGTTCTCATGAGCTTTTTTGGCTCACTGGTACTCCTATTAAACTTATATTTGAGCAGCATGCTTATCTTTCCTTTAGTAACCAAAAAAGATACTGATAATCTAATCTTCTACTGACCCGCTGCTGATCACTATTTACTAACTATTTAAAATTTTCCAACTTTCATGAAATGTTTCATTTTATTTGAGCCAAAAGGCAGTATTTTCAAAAGTCTATTGTGACAGTCATTAGTTTTTGCAAATCAAGATATTTTTCTGACATTGCCTTCCTCATACTGTTTGTCTTCCTAGAGAGGTGTCTGCATTCCTTTTCCTTCTCATTAGCTCTATCTCTGTTCCTCAAATTCTCTACTGTCTTTCATAATCTGTCCTTTTTTAGTTTTTCCTTTCCTTTTTCATGGTGTTATTTCTCCTTCATTCCTTAACTTCATTTTTTTTAAAAAAAATATAGCTTTCTTGAGGTGTCATTGATATACAAAAATTATATATGTTTAAGGTATATTAGGAAGTGTTTTGATATACATATACATTGGGAAATGGTATTCACATTCAAACTAATTAGCATACTTATTACTTATTTATCATCTTTTGGGTTGAAGACATATAGTTTAAGATCTAGCCTCTTAGCAAATAGAATGTATCACCCCACCCCATTCCTTCAGCTCACTCTCATTTATTCCATCAGTTCAATCACCACCATCTATTTACATTCTTTACTGACTAAAGGACTTATGAACTCTTCTTTCACTTCTCACTTAATTCTTGAACTGAAGTTCTTCAACCTTGAGATGAGAATGTGCAGTACTCTGAGAGTAGAAAAATTAGTGATAATGGCAGGAAGAGGTTGCTTTGAGGGAGGAGAATGCTAAGAGAGTTTAATTATACCTGACAGATGATTATCACTTGTGGATTCTCTTAAGGCATTTTTTTCTGATTGTTTTTGGTGTCTCTGTTCTGTTGTTAACAGATGAGTAAAACCCTGTGAGAAATTTATACTAAGAGGAAGAACTAGATTAGGTAAAAATATACTTTTAGGAAATAGCTGAACCTGGGAAAAGATAGGAGTGATTAGGAGGTCCCTATTTCTATCTATTAGTCTGTGACCAACAGAGTTTGACAGGTGATAAATAAAGATTGATTATCCTAACTACTTGAGATTTCAATCTGTAGATGAAGATCCCAATCCAAAAAGCAACTATGAATGAGATTAAAATGCAATAAGACATACTGAGTTAATTGTAGTAAAATGTGCTATGTGTTTTAGGATATGCTTATTTTTATGAATGATGCAAAACAATGGGTTTCATAATGACATTTTCATAAGTCTTGACAGTGCACTTTGATTGTATTTCTTGCCCCCATCACCCTCTCTTGTTATAATTTCCTGAGCTATTGGAGTCCGATTCAAAAATTCATTGCTATGCCTATGTCTTCAAGTGTTTTCCTGTAGTAGTTTCAAAGTCTTTCAGGTTTACATAAAGGTCTTTGATTCATTTTGAATTGATTTTCATAGAGGGTGAGAGATAGGATTCTAGTTTCAAATCTTCTACATGTGACTATCAAGTTTTCCCAATGCCATTTGTTGAAGAAGCTGTCGTTTCCCCAAGGCATTTTTTTTTTTTTGGCACTATTGTTAAGAATCAGATGGCTGTAGCTATGTGGCTTTATTTCTGGGTCCCTTACTCTATCCCATTAGTCTATGTGTCTGGTTTTCTTCCAGTATCATACTGTTTATGTTAATATGGCTCTATGGCTTTGTAGAATAATTTGAAGTTAAGTATTGTGATGCTTCCAGATTTGCTCTTTTCTCAGAATTCTTGTGGTTATTTTGGTATCTTTGTGCTTCCATATGAATTTTTTTTGGTGGTTGTTGGGTTTGAATTCAGTGTCTTGGAATTGTTAGAAAATTGCTCTACCACTTGAGCCACACCTCCTTCATATGAATTTTAGGATTGATTTTTCTATTTCTGTGAAAAAATGTCATTGTAATTTTGATGGGGATTGCATTGAATCTGCAGATCACTTTTGGTAATATTGCCACTTCACAACAGTAATTCTGTAGCATCCAGGGGCATGACAGATCTTTCCACCTTGTAGTGTCTTCTTCTATTTCTTTCTTCAGTGTTTGATGGTTTTCATTATAGAGTTTTTTTATCTCACTGCTAATGTTTAGTCTTAGTACATAGCTTTAACGTAACATAAAAGATGTCATTTTAGCTTCCTTTTTCCTATTTGTATCCCTTTTATTTCCTTCTCTTGCTTTATTGATAGGATTTAAGTCATGTATTGAAGAAGAGTGAAGGGAGTGGACACCCTTGTTTTGTTCCTAATTTTAAAGGAAATGCTTTCAGTTTTTTTCCATTTGGTACAATGCTGCTTATAGGTGTTTTGGATATAGCCTTTATTATGTCAAGGATGGTCCTTCTGTTCCTAGGCTTTTATCGTGAAGAAATGTTTAATTTTGAAGAGCCTTTTTCTGCATTTGTTGAAATGATCATGTGATTTTTGTCCCTGATTCTTTTTATATGTGGTATTACTTTTATTGAGTTGCATATGTTGAAACTTTCTTGCATCTTTTAGAATGAAACCTTTTTGGTCATGTTGTCTGGTCCTCTTAATGTGTTGCTGAATCTGGTTTGTAAGTATTTTATCAGGGATTTTTGAAATGTATTTCCCAATGCAACTGATCTATCGTTTTCTTTTATCATTGTATTCTTATCTGGTTTTTCTTTCAGGGTAATATTGCAGAATAAATTTGGTAGTGTTCCTTCCATTTCTAATTTATGGAATTGTTTTAGGACCATTTATCTGTGAATCTGTCTGGTCTTTGGCTTTTCTTTGTTGTGAGATTAGCCCTCAATCTCATTGCTCTTTATAGATCTGTGTATATAATCTTTGTTCAATTTTGGTGGATCATAAATATCTAGACATTTATTCAATTTTTTCTGGATTTTCTAATTTATTGGAATATAAATTTCAAAATATTCCCTAATGTTTCTCTTGACTTCATTGGTATCTGTTGTAATATCCTTATTTTGCCTCTAATTTTACTGATTTGGGTTTTCTCTTCTTTTGGTTATTTTGGCTGTTTGTCAATCTTGCTTATAGTTTCAAGAAGCAATTAGTTGTTGTGGTTTCATTGATTCTTTGTATTGTTCTTTTAGTCTTCATTTCTGTTCCAATCTTTTTTTCTTTTTTCTTTTTTGATGGGACTGGGGTTTGAACTCAGGGCTTTGTGCTTGCAAAGCAGGTGTGCTACTGCTTCAGCAATCTTTATTAATTCTGTTTACTAGTTATGGGTTGGCTTGTTCTTGTTTTTCAGAGCTTGAGGTATTTCATTATTATACTGAGACATCTCTGACTTTTTAATGTAGGTACTTAAAGCTATGTACTTCCCACTTAGATCTGCTTTTGCTACATCTGAAAGGTTCTGATAAGTTGTGTTTTCATTTTCATTTGATTCTATGAAATTTTAAGTTTTGTCTCTTCAGTGACTCACTGATCACTCAAAAGTGTATCGTTCAATCTCCATGTGTTTACATAGTTTCTGTAGCTTATCTTGCTATTGATTTCTAATTTTATTCCATTATGACCTGATAATATACAAGAAATCATTTCAAAATTATTTTTTTGTATTTATTAAGACTTGCCTTATGACCTAAAATGTGCTCTACTTTGGAGAAAGTTCCATGGGCTGCTGAGAAGAATGTATGTTCTGCAGCTGTAGAATGGAATACTCTGTCGATGTCTGTTGAGTTCATTGGACCTGTGGTACAGTTTAACTCTCAAGATTCTTAGTTAATTTTTTTGTGTAGATGATCTATCTACTGGTCAAAGTGAGGTATGGAATTCACCCACCATTATTATATCTGGACCTCTCTGTCCAGTAGTATTTGTTTCATGAAATTGGGTGTACCAATTTTAACTGCATATATATTTAGAATCATTATATCTTCTTGATGGATTGTTCTATCTCTTCTAATTTTGAATTGATGTCTTCTTTGTCAGATATGAGTGTAGCTACTCTGTCTTGCTTTCAGTTTCTACTTGCTTGGTATATCATTTTCCTCCTTTCACTTTCAGTCTGTGTGTCTGTGCCAGTGAGGTTGTTTCATGCAGACAACAAACAGTTGAATCTTTGTTTTTTAATTCATCAGCCAATTTATGTCTCCTAATTGGAGAGTTGAGATTAATTGGAAAGTTAAGACCATTTACATTTATGAATATTATTGAGAGGTAGCTTCTTTTTTTCTCATTTATTCATATGTGCATACAAGAGGTAGTTTCTGATTCTTATAATTTTGTTGGTTTTTTCCTCCTGATTGACTTGAGTAATGTTTTTTATTTTCTTTCACCTTATTAGCCTCAGGCGTTTGCTGGTTTGCTGAGTCAAACATGTTTGATTCTTTCCTATTTCTTATTTGCTCTTGTGTTCTACTGGTGACATTTATTGTCTCCTGAGCTCTCATATTTGTTGACTTTCTTTCTCATCTGTGTATAGAATTCTTTTCAGTATCTTTTACAATGCTGGCTTAATGGTCACAAATTGTTTTAGTTTGTGCTTACCTTGGAAGGTCTTTATTTCCTCATCAATTTTAAAGGATAACTTTGCAGGATATTGTTATTTTAGTTGGTTCTTGAATTTTAGGGTTTCTGTTGAGAGGGCTGATCTTTCCCCAGATATGGGAAATTTTCTGTTACAATTTCATTGAATAGGTTATCTGTGACTTTAGTGTGTACCTTTGCTCCTTCCTCTACCTCATGGATTATTAGGTTTGGCTTCTTGATCATGTCTCAGACTTCTTAAAAGTTGTGGTCATTCTTGTACTTTTTTCTTTATTGCTGTGTAAATGTACTATTTCTTTGACCTTGTCCTCAACCTTTCTTCAATCCATCAAGAAGATATAATAAATGTAGATGTATATGCACTGAACATTGGCATACCCAATTTCACTTGATCTAGTCTGTTGGTGATATTTCCATTTTTTAAAATTTTACCTATTTTTTCATTTTCAACACTTTTGGTAGTTCCCCTCCTACACTTGGAATCTCTATTTCCTGACTGAATTTCTCATCCATATTACTGGCTTTCTCATCCAGGTCTTGAACTGACTATCTTACTCATTCACTTGTTTGTTTGAATCCTCTTTGAGGTAATTGATCATTTTTATAACTAGACTTTTTAATTCCTTGACATTTCAACCATTTTAATTTCTTTGGATTTGGATCTTGAGGAGTTATGATCTTTTGAAAGAGTCATAGTTCCTTGCTTTTTCATATTTTTGTATTTCAACATTTCAATTTGTACATCTATTAGGATGGATATCTCTTCTGGTTTTCTAAATTTTATGCAGGTCTTCTTAGTAGGCAGTCTTTTCTTGGGGTTGTGATCCCCACAACCACTCAGAGGAGAGAAAGAAGGCACCAGTAATTAAAAAAAAATTTTTAAAAACCCACATATTTAAATGTAGTAAAAACAACTGGAGACCTCAGCTACACCATGATAAAGTTAGAAATAAGAAAGTTAGGAATCAGAATACTTCTAAGGATAACTTAGGAGTTCAAATATTATTAAAGCTGAAGCTTATAGCTAAGTAGTAAAAAGGAGGGGGGTTAAGGAAAGGAAAAAAAGACAGAAGAAGGCAGAAAAGAGAAAAGTATATGGATGTAGGAATAAGAAATAGAAGTGGAGAAAAGTACAATAAAATAAGTATACAGAAGAAGATAGTTAAAAAATAATCCCACAAAACAAAAGAAAAAGATCCCCCATGGGTGAGTATTTCCTCCTTGCTGAGAAAAGAATGGATTCCCCCTACCTAGGCTTATCTTTTGCTGTTTCCTTGGGGGGCAGGACAGCTATTTATTCTCTCTGAATTCTAAAAAAGCTGAGCCAGAAAGGACTGTTTGCAGGCTGTGGCCCTTAGAACTCTTTGGGAGGGTACCAAGCAGTCAAACCAAAGCATCTGTGTTGGCTGAGCAATGCACAGAGCTTTGATTGATCTTGTGTGCCCTAGCCTCCAAGCTCTCTGTCCTCAAACTCCTGCTCATATTCACACATAGCTTTTCTCTCTCCTCTTACAGAATTTGGGTCACAGCTCCACCAATGTGTTCACTTTTGTCTTCCCTGTCCAGCATGGCATGCACTCCCTTCCCACATATTTCTGTGTCTGTGAATCTGAGTACAGGTCAAAATCATTTTCCTGGATCCACACTGATTGTGCCCTAGACAAGGAAGGTGGAGTTGGGGTTTGGAGGTATAAAAATGCAGGGTCTTCTGGTCTCCCCAGGTGAGAGGTTTGACTTTATGAGCTCTTCTAAGATGATTCTCCTCCATGTCACCAGTGAAGAAGCTAGAAAGTGCAGGGGGCCCTCTTTCTGCCATCTGCTTGCTGCATGGTACATCTCCCATATTAAACATTATTTTTGCAGTGTTCCAGCTTGTGCACCTGTGGGACTTCCCAGGGCTTTACTTTTCTCCTATGCTTTGCAGCCCCATTGTGGGAGATTTTCCCCTCTTCCTTATTACTTTGATTGATGCTCTATGTTCTGTTTGTTTCTTTTATAAGTCTAAAATTCAGTATTTCTAGATTTTACCTGGTTTCTCATTGTCTACTGTTTATTGCCCTCAGCCATGCCTTTCCACACTATACACCTCTCCTCGCAGCTACATATATAATGCTTTGTTTCAGATTCCTGGAGACACAGGAAAGTGCTGCATGTCTCTAATCCACTATTTTCTCTTTTCTTGTGATGTACTTCTTTATCATAGTTAGCACTGAATGACTAGTGCAGTTGGAATGATTTTTTTTTCATGGTGTATGATCTTTTAATTTTATTTATTTTTTATTGTTTATTCATTTATTCATATGTGCATACATTGTTTGGGCCATCTCTCCCCCCAGACCCCCACACCTCCTTCTCCCCCCGCTTGCTTCCAGGCAGATCTGTTCTGCCCTTTTCTCCAATTTTGTTGGAGAAGACATAAGTGATAGTAAGAAAGACAGTGTTTTTGCTAGTTTAAGATAAAGATAGCTACACAGAGAGATTCCTAGCATTGCTTCCATGCACATGTATATTATAAACTGAATTAATTTTGATGCAAATTGAAATGGTTTTGATTTTGAAATAATTTTATGGATACTGTGCTTTCCATATACTTTGCAAATATTTGTTTCTGTGGCTGTTTATATGAGATAGCAAGGAAGCTCTAATTTTAATAATAAATATCCTACAAGTGCTTATATGACATTCTTCTTGAATTCCATATTAGTTGATTACCCTGAGGGCACTTAAACTTTAGTTTTAGTAAGCTATGTATCCCTTGTATATAAAAAACAACATATAATTCATATTTTATCATAAGTGTGATAAACTTAATATTTTGGTGGTAACCCCATGTGGGAAAAATATTTAGTTTAAAAAAATTTTGGAAATTTTTCTTATGCTTCTTGACTTAGAACATTTAAGAGCATTTCTGTTCTTTTTAACTTTCTGCCAAACTTTTCAACATAATCATCAAGTACTTAACTGGAGTTTTTGTGCTGTGATAAGTAAAAAGTCTGAGGGTAACTATAAACTCAGCAATTACCCCCAACTGCTCTTTACACTGTTGAAATAAAAAATGCTTTATTAATTATCTGTACTAATGGATTTCTTGACATTCTGTGTGTCTCCTGTAGAAGACACAAAATAAACCAACAAAAGCTTCTTTCCCTAAAGGAATATGAATCCTAAAATCTATGGATTTCTAGAGTTGAATCTCTATAGCAGATGTGATAGTTCTTGACTATGTTGGATATCTATGGGTTATTTTTGGCTGAAACTGGGGAATAATAAATTACAATTTGAATTTAGCAGTCAGTGGAAGACATCTGAAACTTGTACAATACATTAACTTCTACTTGGAAAGCTCTTTATAGTTTACAAGGTCATTTCACCTACTACACCTCTCTAGTCATCTCAGTGAGAGTACATAGTGGGAAAATAAGAAATATGCACGAATATGCGAATAAGATATGGAGAGTCAGAGAGTTAAGTGGCTTATTTAGTTTCATATTGTTAACAAATGACAGCATTGAGTTTGTGACCGTACCACCCTGAACACACCTGATTGACTGATCTCAGAAGCAAAACGGGAATCAGCTTAGTCAGTACTTGGATAGGAGACAGCATTGACATTGCAACCTGGCTCTTGGTTTTTAGTTTAAGATTTTTGGTTTGGGATGAGAAAAATTTAAGAAAAACAAACAAACAAACAAAACCTGTGATCTGAAATATGCAGAAGCCAGCAAATTTTTCTTGTTAGAATTTTATAATGGAAACAAATTTTCTTTTTAGGTTCATATTGTAGTCACTCCAAAAAGTGTTAAGATTTACATTGACTGCTATGAAATTATAGAAAAAGATATCAAGGAAGCTGGAAACATCACAACTGATGGTTATGAAATTCTTGGAAAACTACTTAAAGGGGAAAGGAAATCAGCCACAGTACGTAATGTATTTTTGTTTCTTGGTACCTTGTGTTAAGCTTATTACAGTGTTTACCAAATAGTGTAGTGAGTTTTACTTATTTTTTTCTTCAGTGAGTTTTTTATTAGTGTATATTTATTGTACAGGGCTGTTTCATTGTAATGTTTCTATACATACATATAATGTACTTTGATCAAATTCACCCCCTTATTACTCTTTCTTTTCTTCCTTCCCTCCTTTTTAAGGCAACTTTTAACATATTCCCTTATTCTATTTTCATACTTCCTTCAAAGATGTAAAGTACTTCCTTCAAATTCATCTCTCCCCACCTTCTTTCACCCTCCCAACTCCCACTGGTTCTCAGTGGGTTTTAAATTGTCAAAATTATAGGTCAGATTGAAACTGTTGAAAAGTTACATTCAGAAAATATGCAGGAGACTGGACATGATAATGCACTTTTACTATTAGAAGAAAATAAGATCTCTAGACACCAAGAAACAGCAGGTAGTCATCCTAAACCAGGATCAAATCAAAGAGGAGCAACGCCAGTAGTGCCAGAAATCTCAGTGAAATCTACAATAGCTTCTTTTTCATTTTCAAAGATAATAGTTGTTACTGGAAATTCATGCAATCAGGACATTAAGCATCTGTAGACATTAGCTCTGACTCACTAGAGCCTGTTTTCACTTGCTCATAGAGGAGTCATGCCTCTGTCTCAGAAGGGTCAGCACAGCAAGGCAGCCCGCTGGTACTTGACTCACAAGTTTCATGCCAGCTCTATTCAGTGTGATCTAGCAATGAAGGTTTACTTGTAAAGCTCTCAGTAGACCAGGGCAAGTAAGTTCATATTAAATGTCAATTAGTAACTGTCCTAAAAGTGAAGCTAATTTCTTTGGCTTGTATTATTATTTTAATGTCATTATTTATTTATCTTTCTTCTGTGGGAAAACTTTTTCTTCTAGATTCAAAAGGGAAATGTTTTTAGCTTACAATAAACAACTAGTTTGAGTTTAATATAATGGATTAAGGCCCAATTTTTGGTTGAATTTGTGATTTGATACTGGAAAGAAAAGTTATGAGGTTTTTAAATGAATGACTATGACTAGACAACCTTTTGTTTTTGTCAGAAGAACTCTATTTTAAACTGAAGAAAGAAAGAACGTATATGCTATATTGAAATTGTTAAGTCAAAGGCCATGAGAAAAGTCACTAGTCAACCCTACATAACAGTTTCTAAAATGAAGATCATCAGTTGTAGATGATTAAAGGAACAAATAGTTCCTTTAATGTTACTTTTCCACAGAAATGGATTCTTCAAAATGGATTTGAGTGTGTGTAGTCTTCAAATTCATTTAAGTACAGAAATTCATGTTCTCTTAAAAAAAAGTCTAATCAAACATTTCATTTTAGCCAGGGAAGTGAATTAAGAGGTCTAATATACATTTTACTTTTCTATTTCTCTTAGGCATGTATTTCTATATTCTTTCTTTATGAAGTAAGGATCATATTGTTCTCAAGGGCTTGCACTCCTGAGATAATTTCTAAGAAGTTGTCAAAGGTTAAAATGTGGAAATGTTAATATAAAATGTTTCTCATGCATCTTTAGCTGATGTTGCTGTTGGTTGTTTGCAGTTTCAAATCCAGAGTTTTGACATTGTCTGCAGCCCAGTATGGACCAGTAGAGACAGATGCTGTGATATTCCCTCTAGGGTAAGTAAAATGGAATGAATCCTGTCCTGGCTTTACTAATCCCTCAAGAACAAACCCTGTGATGCAGATGGTCTGGGAGAGGAAGTAGCACTCAGCAGCTGCATTTCCAGACTGGAGCCAAGGGACACGCGATATGTGCGTGCACATCATCCACCGCAGCTCAGGCCAGTGCTTGTGTGACCCTTCCCTCACAAGCTAGGAATGCACAAGACCATATCTGGAAATTCTCCTAACAGAAAAGTCATGCTGAGTCAATGTGTTTGATAAATCTACTTACTGCAAAGCCTTCCTGTTGGTTATAAAATATCAGCATTTTACAGAATTATTCATCACATTTCTGGAGATGTAAGATTTTTTTACATGGAAATAGCTGTATTTCTTATTGAGATGATGGCTTTCCCTCCTACTATCTGTGTAGGTGATAATAGTTAAGAAGTTCAACATTGGAGTTTGAAGCAAAAATTGAATACATCCACAAGATAAATGTGCATTCAAGTCAACAAGTATTTATTGAGCCTTCATTACAAGCCACACACTATTTTGTGTTCTAGGGACGTAGTGTTAAAAAGTGAGTGCTCTAGTGAAAAATAGAAAGGGAAAGATAATTAGCAAATAGATACACACAGTTGGCTTTTGCTGTCTGTGGGTTCCTTAACTGTAGATTCAACCACTGCAGATTGAAAATATTTTAAAAAATTGCATCTGTACGTCATTATTTCCTAAACAGTACACTATACCAGCTATCCATAGCATTTACATTGTTTTAGGCATTATTAATAATCTAGATAGGCATTTTTAATAATCTGGAGATGATTTAAAGTGTACATGAGGATGTGCTTAGGTTATATGCAAATACTTCAGCATTTTATATGACGGACTTGAGCATCCTTAGATTTGGGTATTTGCAAGGGGTCCTGGAACCAATTCCCCCAGATACTGAGTGATGACCATATTGTGCTATAGAATTTGAGCCCTAGGATGAGAAACAAATTAGGGGAAAAGGATAGGGAGTAATGATAGGTACCATCAGCCTTGGGTGATGATGTCAGATGTAAGCAGAGACCTGAATGAAATGAGGGAGCAAACTGTGTGAATAATGGAGGAAGAACATTCCACCTGGAGAGAATTATAAATGACCCAAGGCTAGAGTGCTGTAAACATCTGAGAACAATGACATAGGTCAGTGGGATTGGAACAGAGTAAAAGCAAAATGGGAAAGTGGTAGATGATGAGACAGGCATGGTGGTGAGGGACTGGTTCTCACAACACAATGGATCTTGCAGGTCATGAAAAGAATTTTGGATTTTTTTCCTGAAAAAAATTGGAATTGATGTCTAATATATTGAGTCAGGTATGGTAGTTCATGCTTCTAATTTCAGCACTGGGGAGTCTGAGGCAGGTGGATGTTGAGTTCAGTGCTGGCCTGAGTCTTAGACCAACCTGAGCTATGTAGTGAAACCCTAAAAACAAACAAACCAAAAAGATACATGATATTTCTCTAACATTGGATTAGAGAAAATTGGATTAAACTCCCAGTGGTCCTGGTAATTTTGTAAACATTTCTTTGTTGTGTGTGATTTCCTAAAGTAAAGTATACAATAAAGACATAAAGAGCAAAGCAAGTTTCAATGTAAGGTTGTTTATAAGTAATAATAACTAGAAATTATTTCTTCAAGTTGGGAAACAGACTTCCATGTGTACTGAAGTGGGGTGGTGGATGGGCAATCTCCCCCCATCCCAAATTCATAGGTAAATAATCTTCTCAAAATTTCAGAGAGATGAAGCAAAATGCCCTGCTCTTCCAAATGCTTGTACATGTACACAGGACAGCGTTGGACCTCCAGGTCCTCCAGGCCCTGCGGTAAGGAAAGAGAAATAGAATTTTTTTCTTTTTAAATCTTTGGAGTGATCATCTGTTTGCCAGCATGTAGTTGATAAAATGCTTCTATATATCTGTGTTTTCTAGGATAGAGCAAATTAAATTGCAGCCCATCTATGTAGTATATTTAGAGATTTGGAATAGAGTAAATCAAGAAGAAAATTTGATTCTGGCATTTGACACATTTCTGTAGCCACATGGGAATAATGATATTGGCTAGTCTTCAAGAGCTTTTCCCTTAAAGATGTGAACTTGGGCTTCCATCTGTACTTACATGACTGAAAATTCTTTGCATCTCCCAAAAACTTCTTGTATGAATGGTTGAGAGGCTTACCTAAGAACAATTTGCTTAGAGCCTAGAATATGTACATTTTGTATAACAGTTATATCACGAGCATCACACATAAAGAAGTTAATTCACATATGTGTGAATATCATAAGCTCTGGGTGAAAGTCCTAGAGTTTGGAATAACATGAGTGAGAAGACTATGACCAGGTCTATAGGTGGGAGGGGTAAGAGAAGGAAGACCACGAAAGTGCAAGGCAAAGCAGTGAAGATGGTAGTGGTGGATCTCATTGATCAGTCAGTAATTTTCTGATGTAGTCCATCCAACATCTGATCTGGGTCACTTTTGAGAAATAGAAGTGGTAGCTCTAAGCCCCATTACCTTCTTCAAAGAAAATAGGTAACTGACAGAAGGACAGCTCGAGGATTCTCAGAACACCAAATTTAACTCTATTTGGGTCATACCAAAGAATATAAATTCATTTTAGGTTAATTACAAAGTAGGTTCTAATGTATAGAATCAAAATGTCATTGGAGTGCCATCTTTTTTGTTAGTTGCAGTTATTTACCTTGATTTGTATTTGTAATCATAAAGTTATATCCTGGTTGTGACAGAGTTTTTAAAGAAGTTTTTTCCCTTCCAGTTGTGAGGTAACATCATTGGATGTCGTTATCATTTATGTTGTCTTTGTTCCGTGGTCTCTTAATTCCTGTTTCTTGCTATTTTCTTTCTTTTTTTTTTTCAGTGGTGCTGGGCTTTGAACTCAGGGCCTCACGCTTGCTATGCAAACACTGCTATCACTTGAGCCACTCTGCAAGCCCCCTAATTCCTATTTCTTAAGTACATGTTCTGAGAAATTTGAGATACTCCTCTTTTTTGGGTATTATTTTCCCTGAAGGATGTAATTCACATAATTCCAGAACACATTTTTCTCTTTACTGTATTCAAGTAGTGTTTGCTCTACTGAATAAGTCTCAAATTTACAAGTGTACTTCAGGTTTTGCTCGATAAGACCAGCTCAGAATGTAAAAATAAGACACCTAAAATTCACAAAATTTTGAAATTCTCTTTTTCTACATAAAATGTAACATGATTTTTTTCCATGCTGGGAATTGAATCCAGGGTCTCAGGGATGCTAGGCAAACCCTCAACCACTGAGCTACATCCCCAGCCATGACATGAAAGTTTTATGCTAATATTTTGCAAGTAGCTGTGAAAGTACTGATTTTGTCTGAAGAATGCACTCCTTCTTGAACAATTTTAATATATCTATTTCCATTTTCTTTTATGTTCCCACTAAATTGTGCTGTTACGTTATATTTTAGGGAGGACCTGGTGCTAAAGGCCCCAGAGGTGAAAGAGGTATCAATGGAGCAATTGTGAGTGTATTTTGGAGCTCGTTTAAATGTTTGTCTGTATGTTGAAGTCTGGTTGTTCAAATTTCCACTAAGTGGATATGTGATTTTGAGCAAATTATTTCAGGTTTAGTCTGCCTTAGATAAAGTCTTTAGTTTTAGGCCTTTACTATCTTAAACATGGTCTTGGAACATAGCTCCTGAGGATAATGGGGGGCTACTATAAATAAAATCTAATGAAATTTGAGCTTTGAGCTTATAGTAACCTATGATTATAAATATATAATGTATTATATTCAGTGTATCATACTTTTTAAAAAATCTGTTTCTAATAAGACTTTTAGAATCTAAATGTGGTATGACTTTATTGAACTTTCTATTTCTTTAAATGAATAAAGAAAAAATAGCATTAATAAATACTTTTTGTAGATGTATGGATTCTAGAATATTTGCAAAATCTAAATGCTTGATGTCTTAGAGTTATGAAGACATGTTTCTGTTAGCTCTTGACTGTATGACATTACTTGTGGTTCTCTCTCTTAACTCATTTTAGGGACCTCCTGGTCCTCGTGGAGATACTGGTCCTCCAGGCCCCCAGGGTCCTCCAGGTCCCCAGGGACCCAATGGACTCTCTATTCCAGGAGAACAAGTAAGTACAAAGGATTTCTGTAGTAAACGAGAATGGTGGATTAACATTGAGTTTAACTGGAACATTTTCTGTATTTTGCCAGACTCAATTGTTTTCTCAAGAATTCAACAAAGTTAGCCACTTAGATGATGTCTAGGATGAATATTATTTTAGACATGTAAATGGTAAATGCAATAGTATATTCCTATGCAGAAAAAATTGCCACTACTTGTTTGACCTTTTAAAACATTTCTTCCAATGCATATTTCATTTATGTTAAACTATATTCTTCCAAAGTAAGTATATTAGCTGATAATTATGTAAAATTACCTAACACTACAAGTGGAAATTATAGTATTTGCAGCTTAAAAATGACTATCAATCCAAAATATACCTTATTCTTATCCCTTAAAAAAACTCTTATGTGCTAATCTTTGAACTCTTACATTGGATTTATGAAGTGAAGATTTCATAAGTGACTCATATGTTTGCTTGTTACTTAATGTCTGTAAAATGCCTGACAGCCATCTTTCCATTGCTTACTCCAGGGTCGCCAGGGTATGAAAGGTGATGCTGGAGAACCAGGACTTCCAGGTCGAACAGTGAGTTGTTTTTGAAGTTGCTTTTTATTACCTGTCATGCATTATTTGAAGAGTTGCCTTCATAGTGTTCAAGGGTAAACTATGATCAAGTAGTGAAGCATAAACCTGGATATGTTCTTCACATTATTTCCAGTTCTTACCCTGGACTTAGTCTTCATGCTTGTGCTGTTCAAGTCAGTCTCTGCTTGTTGATTAACATCTGTATGTGTGTAGAATACTGTGTTTGACTGTGGTTTCCTGTTTCTTTCACAGTCCCTAGAACTTTGTTTTTAAAAACATTTTGGAGAATATCAAAAGTCTTGGAAAATACACAAGGAGTATATTGCAGTGTTTCACTTGTCTGTTTCTTTCTGTGTAGGGAACGCCAGGATTACCTGGCCCACCAGGACCAATGGGACCTCCTGGAGATAGAGTAAGTTTTCTTGGATGGGTGATAATGATATTGGAAATGATATCACACTGTTGCCTATTTGTGGAGAGTGGATTATGAGAAGCCTATGAGAACTTGACATAAGCACAGTTGTGCTCAATGATCTACAGGCTGAGTTTGGCATGGCCCCAGCTGCAGAAGAGAGCGAGAAGGCAAAATGCAGCACAACTGCTTTTCCTAAGTTTGTGTTCTGAGAAGTAGGAACAGCAGTTTTCTCTTTTTACACTGTCACACCCCTCCTGGAGAGCTGTTGCTCCACCTCCTTGTTTACCATTGGATATAAAAGACTTGCTGAAGGAGGACATGGTGTTTTTTCATGGGGGATTTTGATTAGCTTCTGCTGCCATTGGCTGTTGTGTGTGGGGGGTTTCTGCACCGAGAACTTTATACATAGGCTTTTAGAAAAGCTAAGCTAAAGAAAAGCTAAAGAGAACATAGGACAGTGCAAGTCTAAGGACTGAGATTTAAGAGTTATGTTAATGCAGTTTTTAGACTTGGCTGCTGTTGTTTGTCTGCAAGTCTGAACACCAAGACTTTAAGAAAGCTAAAGAGAGAACATGGGACAGTGAAAGTCTGAGGACTGAGACTTTTAAAGGGAATATGGGACAGTGCAAGTCTGAGCACCAAGACTTTAAGAGAAATTAGAGAAAACATGGGACAATCTGAGTCTAAGGAAAGAGATTTTAAAGAGTAGAAAAGAAGCAAGGTTTTAAAGAATTGTAAAGGAGTCAGGCCTTAAAGAGAGGAGAAGTAAAAAAGCTGAGGCTGTTGTGCATCTCCATCTGAGCACCCAACACACCTGACCCCAACTTTATGCATGTCTGTCTTCTATCATTTGTCCTTTCTGCATCTCCAGTCACCCCCAGTTAGGTCAGGAAGAATGGAGCATGTGAAAGCTCATGCCACCTATTTATTAAAAACCTTCTACAATCCAGTTTGCATGAGGAGAAATATGGAGTTTTCATACCTCATTGAAAGTTGCAAAGCTAATGTCAGTGGACCATCCAGCATCAGATTAGTCTCAAGCTCTATGAAAGCAATTTGTGGGACTTTAAGGAAGTCTTCAAAATTTAAATTTGGGGAATTTATTTTATTAGAATCAGAAAAAGAAGTCATAAAATGAGTTTTAGTTGACTAGAAAGATATTCAAGAATCTTAGCAAGTTGTTTTAAGTCCTAAAATTAACATCTTTAATATGAGGCAAATTTTATGCAACTTGGGAAGTAACCTTGACTTTTACAGAATTTTCTGTGAGGTCAGGACAACCCCTTTTCACCTTTAGAATTCAAATAGCACGCTGAGACCTTGATGACTGGGAGATAGCTCATATTTAGTAGGACTTTTTCCATTTGTGGCAGCATTCAGATTTGCCCTTGACCAAGAATGACAACAGTATAGGAAATCCATCTTTTCTAGGGCCAGTAAATGAGAGGTTAGGAAACATGACCTTTATACTTTGTTAGTCAATGTTAAGGAACCATTTGTTTGCATTCCAAGAATACTTTAATAAAAAGAACCTAGAGATGTCAGAAGTGTTCAAAACCAAAAAATCTTATGACTTTTCAGCATTTTATGGTTTCGACAACAGCTTAAGAGTAGTCTGTATTCTGACCAATCAAGTTAAAACATGAGTAACAGCAGTATTGAGGGGCCAGTGCTGTAACAACCATCACTAAACACAATGATTTGTTAACCTTGATGCCTCCAAGACTCTGTTGGGTTTGTGTGTATGTGTGTGGGAGGGGCATTCAGATGGAGCAAGGATTTGCCCAGATAATATAAAATAGGTGGATGGTATGCCAATGAACTCTGTTTGTGCTCATGCCTCCCTGTGAGTTTGGAAGAGAGAGAGGAAAGGGATGAGACAGGGAGAGAGAATCTGAGAGGGAGAGGGAGAAGAGAGGAGAGGAGAGGAGAGGAAAGGAGAGGACAAAGAGAAGAGAAGAGAAGAGGAGAAGAAAAATTGTCTCTGAGGTATGAAAACTTGGTACTGATATACATAATTCTTCTGAATCTGGCACTTCAGGTATTTAAAAAATTTTTTTATTGTAAAATAAAGGGCAACAGAGAGAAAACAAGGATGACAAGTCAATTTCTTCAGTAAGAAAACAAAACCAAGAATATTGCAACTGAGAAGTGATAATGGGTTCACTTGCTTGCTGCTGCTACTTACCGAAAGCCTGTTGTCTGTGTCACACTCACCCCAGTGTGGGGTTCATGCAGACATGGTGGGGTCCTGAGGCTGATTTCCCATCTACACAGTCTTTCTGAACTGGCAGTCAGGTAGCCAGCACCACCATCACTGCATCCTGGAGTGAGGGATTGAGAGGGACTCTCAAACTCTAATCTGCATCCAACTTTGTGTTGAGACCACCCAGGACTCTTGGGATGAGGCAAGAAAACTTTTCAAGAAACTATTCTTCTTCCTCCATAGCATTTTGTACCTTCCAACAGCTTGTTACACTCCTCTCACTAAAGTGAGAAGAGGGTAGACAGCTGGTGGGACATAAACAATCTGGAAGTTTGAGAGACTTTGGATATAGGGATCTTGGCTGAAAAAGCCAAGAAAGAAACTTAATCTAAGAAGTAGAAGTGAGAAAAAAGCATCAACGCGAAAGGCCAGGGCCCATGGTGAGGAAGGGAGATTTGTTATTCAGATAGCACAGGTAGGAGTGGAATGCATGGAAAATCTTCAGATGATTTTCAAAATGAGGAGCAGCAAAAGCAGCACATGTGCAGATATCTAATAGATGTGCAGAGATGAAAATGATCATTGATCTGGGCAGCCACCCTCCTCTGGCTCGGCAAAGCAATGATTGATGCAGATTTGTGACAAAAAATGAATTATGAAATAAAATTGCAGCACAAAGTTCTGCCGATGGCTTAGTGGGTAGCTCTTCTGAGGACTTCAGAATAAAATCCTCTCAACTCAGATCTACATTTCTTCTAAAAAGAAAATAGTCAATCAGGAAGTTCTCAGAGTGACTGAAGGGAGGATTATTAAAAAATGCGATACTTATCCAAAAATGAAAAAGAATGTCTTATGTAGCTGTTGGAGGAATTTAGATGGAAGAAATGTCATTCAAACTGTGCAAGCAAAACTACTGGAAACATTTTTGCTTAAGTGGCTTTCAGAAGTAATGTTGCTGTTATATCAGATGGACTTGGGCCTGCTTTTTGTTAAACAGGTCTTGCTCTTTCAGAAAACAATCTGGAATTTTATCCCTATAAATTTCTGAAAATATTTTTTGGGGAGGTGAAATATTTCTAACAATTAAAAAATAAGCTTCCATTATAAAATTAATGGACTAATAAGTGTGGGTACTTAATGTAGGCAGGGATCCAAATAATCCTGATTTTTGCCAGAATTCAAAATGAGGGATGAAATGATCATTCTTATTATCTGTAGAAAATGGGACAAAAATCTCTTCTGACAGAGGAATGCAGCAACCATAAACAACATTTTGACTCAGAAATCCTCGGCTGGATTTCAGAGATCTGCTGTTGGGAAGAATGCTAACTAGGTAGCAGTGTAACTCATTCCAGGCAGAGGTCATCTGGCAATGTAGAGAGAAAAGAAACAGTCCATAAATGTGGGTGCATGAGCCAAAGAGTGAGCTTGCAAGGAGATGCACTGTAGTCCTTCTGCCTGGTCAGCCAACACCAATGCTGTTCTGGCCTTATGTGAGATGGGGAGAGACAGGCCATGGGCAATTTAACTGCTTGAGATGAGGATCAAGCCTTCCTCTCTTCTGAGCATAGCACTGTTAAGATAGCTTTGCACCTTTTTTGTGGGGAAGAGACACATTTACCAGGAATGGAAACAAAGTGTCCTACTCCAGTAATCTGGCAGTTGCTCAGGACATGGGGTCTCCTAATGGGGCAGTGCGCCTCTCTTTCATTCTTTACAACCCCGCTTGCTTTTCTCAGCAACATTCCTTCCATCCTATTTTGATTCTTCTTGGAACAGTTTGTGATACTGAATTTTTGGTAGAAAGGGTCAGTCTTCCGCATGGGAAGTAGAGATTGGAGAATTGCCGTTGGAGGACAGTTGGAGCAAAAAAGTTATTGAGACCTATATCTCAACAAGTATACTGGGTGTGGTGCATGCACATCTGTAATCCCAGCTACATGGAAAGTGGAGGGAGGAAGATTTCAGGCTAAGCTGGCCCTGAGTGAAAGTACAAGATCATATTTGAAAAATAAGCAAAAGCAAAAAGAGCTGGGGGTGTGGCTCAAGTGGTAGAGTGCCTGCTAGCTCTGAGTTCAAAGCCTAGTAACACATGCGCGCACACACACACACACACACACACACAATGGTTAGTCTTCCTTTAGCTTTCCTTACACTCTTACAAAAGCTAAAATAGGTGTCTTTATGAAAGGAATCTGCCTTCTTGGGAAAAGCTTAATTTGGATTTTAAAATGATTTTAATTGTAACTATACAAATGAATGAGCATAGACATTAACTATACAGTAAAAGCATAAGATAAATTGAAATGATTTTTTGGTACATTTGTCTGCCAAACAGTAAATTGGGCAAAATCCTCATCATTCTTTACCTTGAGCAATCTGTTTAGTATCTTTCTTTTCACTTGTTCACCTCCTTCCTAATCTATATTTGATTTCATTTCACAACAGGGCTTCACTGGAAAAGATGGTGCAATGGGACCCAGGGGCCCACCTGGACCACCGGTAAGAACTGAATGGTTTATTTTATTTCCTCGCTCCCCCAACCCACTTACCCTCTACTCCCATTTTGCCAGAGAAGGCCAGGTAACTTGACTTTGAGGCAGAGGCATATTCTAACCTTGCTGTGGGTTGTGTTGTTGAGGGAGCTGCTTACATTTCCTAAATGAAAATGTACTAAAGAAAATAGATGTGTCAAAATGCAGTCTTTATGTTTAATCAAGTTATATTTGAAAACAGGAAAAGCATTGAACTAATTTTGCCACTAGCTGGTTAGTGCCTTAGTTTGTCCTCCTTCGCATTGAATGGCTGGGTTTTAGGACATCAGTGGTGATCCCTCTGTTCTAGAATTTTAAGAATCTGAAGCCTGTGACATTCGAATGTTAAGGATGTTATTACCGAGCAACCATCCATCATTTTGAGGAAGTAAATTTTATCCACAACTAAAACAAATGGTCTTTTACTTAAGATTTTTTGGGAAAAAATACTGTAGCTGTGTTTTTGAAACTGGCCTTGGTATAACTGCATGAAGGTGCATTCTTAATTAAATTGTTTGAGGCAATAGATACTCTCCAAGAGATGATGGATGGGTGTGAAGAATGGAGAGCCTGTTAAAATTATTTCATTACTTAGGTTTAATACATGTTTTCAGGAAAGGGAGTTTAAATACATAGTAAACTCTTATTTTAAGTATTTATTACAGAGTTTAAAACTTGCATAATTGATAGAGTAAAAGATTGTTTTAAAAACAATATAAATGTTATATATTGCATACTGTAACTATTGCATATTATATGATATAGTCTATAAATATGTGGTAAAAGTTATGTTTAAAATGATAGGGACAAATTCTTATGGTTTTGAAGGGGTAAAGAGACTAATGTGATAGAAAGCAATCAAAAGCATGAGGAACGTACCAAAGGAAAACAATTAATTCCTATGCTGAAAGTCCAGTTCTTAGCCTAAGACAGAAGCCTGAACCTTGTGTGCCCAACTTGGCACAAAACAAGCCACTTTAATTCTTCTCCAGCCAAAGTTTTCAGTCTCTGACATTTAGAGGATATTCTGGTTTTGTAGTAGAAATAAACTAAAAAATAAAAATTGCTTTCCACAAATAGATTTTGTGACAAATTTACTGGGATCATAGTTTATAATTGTGAAACTGTTTAAATGTATGTATGAAAAATACATACCTCATGATATATTTTAGAGCTATCTAGTTCATAAGAATTGATCTGGAATTTTCAAGATTTTTCCTCCTTCATGTTACTAAAGTAAAATTTAGTTTTACTTTTCCCTAATATGTAACTATATGCTGTTTCTTATAAAAGCTTTTAAACCTGGCTATAGCTTGTTAGTTTACTGTGGCTGGAATTTTCTTTTTGTCATGACATTCCCGTTCATGTTCTTTGTGTTGTAGGGAAGCCCAGGCTCTCCGGGAGTCACAGGGCCAAGTGGGAAACCAGGAAAACCTGGAGACCATGGCAGACCAGTAAGTGGACAGCTTACTTGTCTATCTACCTTTATTTCCCCATGAACATAAATAATGAGAACCTCAAAGCTTTGGCATGCTTAGGTTATCTCTGCTGTAAATGTGTTCAAATAATCTGCTGAAACTTTGCTGACCCTATGGATTTGATTTTGTCCCAGTTTAAGGTTTGGTTTTTTTTTTTTCCTATGAGTTGTTATAATATTCTGTGATGAAAATTGTGGTCATTGGGTTTCTTTAAAAGGAGAAAGGGATTATGAGCCAAGACACATATTTCTGTACTGTATAAACACTCAGAGCTTCAGTGCTGGGTCAGCAAAATGATTCTTTTTATTTAGAAATGGTATGTGCTTAAGATAGAAAAATACAGGATTATGGTGCATGGCGCTTTCATCCTTAGTGAAAGTTAACCCTTCAGCAGCATTAACCAGCTGTTCCGTGTTTTCAAATTAGTATCTCCAAAATGGAATTTGAAGTTTCTAAAATATCCACAAGTATTTGTAGTGACTGTTGAACTTCATACTCTTTATATGCTTTTCCTTGTTTGTGTTTGTCTCACATAAGGTATGACTGATGTCATCGAGGCAACTAGAGGCCTAAAGCCTGGAAGAAATGTCTACTGCTGTTCCTGGCCATAAAAATGGCTTCTCAAAAGCATGCACACTGGCATGATTTCAGAGTAGCAATAAATTAAAAAACCCAGTTGAATAATCTCAAAATAGTAGCAAATGTAAAGAAATACTCCCTGCAATTTGCAAAAGGCTCAAAATTCAATATAATATTCGTGTTTACACAAAACTGAATACTTTTGGCAGAGTGACAGCTGGAAGGGGGTGGGGAGGAAGAGAAAGAGAGAATTCGATTCTCTCTTTACAGAAAAGCAAAATGTGAGTAATGTGGATACAGATGTGATGTGTCATCTTGCCAATTCGTTAGAAAACTGTCCTTGTTCTCTTATATCGTAATGAGCATTTGAGCATCATTTTAGGCCAGGCTTGTCAGGTTTCTAATGTATGACATTCCTATTTCAGGGTCAGTCTGGGTTAAAAGGAGAAAAAGGTGATAGGGTATGTATTTTTTTTGGCTTGCATATACTTTGTGTGTTGAACATTGAAGTCTGCAGCTGTAGGAACGGCATGTTAACAATTCTCCTTGATTTGATTAACAAGGGAGACACTGCTTCTCAGAACATGATGCGAGCAGTTGCGAGACAAGTCTGTGAACAGCTGATAAGTGGTAAAATTTATTTTCTTTTTACTGTATAGATCACTTAGATTAACTGCAGGGAAATTCACTTTGAGCCATAGGGTTTCTAAGAGATATGTTTCAATTTCATTTTTCATCACCTTTTGTTTTTATCCACTGTTGGTTTTGTATATGATCAGATAAAGCTAATAGTTTAAAGATCAACACTAAGTGAAAATAAGAACCCAGGGCAACATAACAGCTTATTACTTCTATATTCAGTCTGACACAAAAATCGTATTTCAAAAGGGCTTTTCTATTTCTCTATTAAGGATTAATTTTTTATTGTTAGCATATTATAGTTGTATGAGGGATATGTTGTAACATTTACATAAGTGCTTGCAATCTGTCTTAATTAAATTCCCATCCTCCTTCTTTCCCTCTTTTTTCCTTTCCTGCTTCCTAGAGCAATACAGGTTTCATTATTCTGTTTTCATACATGAATATGAAATACTTCTACCTTACTAGCCCTCCTTCACCCTTTACTTATGTCCTTCCCCTCTCTCACTGGTACCCACCTATGGACAGGATCTGTTTTATCTTCCTGTCCTTCATTTAGTCAAAAAGAACAGTTTTGTTAGACTATGATAGTTATATAGGGGGTTTCATTGTGGCATTTCCATATATACACATATTTTATTTCAAATTGGTTTGTCCCCTCCATTACTCTCCCTCCTACCTCATTCCCCTTCTTATGGTGACTTCAGCAGGTTTCATGTTCCATATTCCTGCTTGGATAGAAAGTACATCAAGCATATTCACTCTCTTTACTTTCTGCATTTGCCCTCCTTCTCTCTCTAGTGCTGTCTTCTTAACATGGCCTTTCTTTACATTCCTGTCTTTCATTGTCGAGGTGTCTCTTCGCTCTTAAGTTATGGCCTGTAAGTTATCTTATGACCTTAAGGAAGGAGGCCAGCCATGATTAATTTGGCCCATAGAAAGTCAATTTTGGTAGGGAATTTTTTCTTGCCCCCATATTTTTCATGATCTCTTCTTTTCCCATGAAGTTTGTTAACTAATAAAGCCAATTGCCTTCACAATGAGAGCCACCAAGCCTTAAAATTCAGGGCTTTCCCTGTGAGAAGTTTTAAAATTAGTGTTTTTCAAGTTATGGTCCCAAGGAACACTTGCCTTCAAATGACTTGTGCTGTTCTCAGGCCATGCCCCAAAGTGAGTTTACTGTCCCTGGAAATGTGGGCCAGAGATGTGTGTTTTTCAATGTATGCCCCAGGTAATTCCAATATGCACTAAAACCTGATTATTGTTGTTGTAAGTACATACAAAAATGTTACCATTTCTCAATTTAAAAAAGGTTCTCTTTTAAGTGACATCATCTGGCACTTCTCAAGACTTTATTTCAGAGCCACATTAAACTTTAGCAACTCTCTTATATCCACAATAGTGCTGGTGGCTTATTGGTCAGCATTTTGTGAAAATGACTTTTTATCAGAGATCATTTTGTACTGATTGACTGGAAAGTCTTATTATTAGTTTTAGGTTCTTAATTAGAATGTTTTCTGGAGGGAAGAGGAAAGGAGATGCGTTTGCCTAGCTGCTAAGAGAAAGCAGCTCCACTCTCTCACCCCTCCCTTATTGGCTTTCTTACTAACAGGCCCTGTTTCTATTTGCAGGTCAGATGAGCAGATTCAATCAGATGCTGAATCAGATTCCAAATGATTACCACTCTAGTCGCAACCAGCCTGGCCCACCTGGTCCTCCAGGGCCCCCTGGCAGTGCTGGAGCCAGAGGGGAACCGGGACCTGGGGGGCGACCAGGCTTCCCTGGCACACCTGGGATGCAGGGACCTCCTGGCGAACGAGGTGGGCATTTCTAGATGCTCCATGGACATCAAGGAAGGACTTTTTAGTAGTAGGAACTGGATCAGGTTAGAAGCATCTGGAAGACTGGACTTGGCAAACTACTTTAGTCTTATCTGGACAGTTCCAGAAGAGCTGCCTGTCTCCTCCCTCTTTAGGCAACTTGCAGGCCACAGAAATATGTATCTTAAAAAACAGGATACTTTGGTCATAAGATCTCAGTAGAGATAATGCTATTTTCTGAATTTTGTTGTTGTTAGTGGGAAATACTGTATCTTGGCAAACTAAATCAGGCACCAAAATTTTGTTAATTGCTGTGACTGGCAAGAGTTGAGCAGCAACTGAATGTACTTAAGCAGCTTGATAGTTTTAGATTCAAGTGTTTTCTGTTCTTTCATCCAGGGTCTGGCAGTGGTCTTATATGTTTGTTTGGCTTTAATTTCATGGTAGATAAGTGCAATTGAAGGAAAAAAATGGATATTCTGATTCTAGATGTTTCAAGATAATAAATACAACTTTCGTCAAAGGAGTAGTTAATATTCAATAGAAAACTTAGGTATTATAGTTCTGCTGGTTACATGCCCTACTAATAGAGCTATCAAAATACCTTTAAGACTTTTTAATAAGTCATAACTATTTATTCAAGGTTTCTGTTCTTAATTACTACTTAAAAATATATTAGACATGTTTCCTTCAAATAATTTCCCCCTGAACTTTTAGCCAGATTTGTTTCTTGGCCATGAATCTGGAACCACACAAATGTCTAGAAATAATTTGGCTTAAGGAGGAACTTCTATGAAAAACTAGGTTCTGCTTTCACTAAGGAAGTGAGTTACTTGAATCAAGCATTATCATTTAAGATGAAAACTGTGTGTTTCCAGAGAAATTTTACCCTGTGCTTTCCTTTTCATGTCCTTCCATAGGTTTGCCTGGAGAGAAGGGTGAAAGAGGTATTGGATCTCCAGGACCCCGAGGACTGCCTGGCCCCCCAGGTAGGTTTGCTAGTACATTAGATAGGTAATGGTATAAATTCTGAGGGAACCCACAGTCTCCAGGAGCCTCACAGCTCCATCTTGTGAGCTTTAGGCATTCAAACCATCGTGTATATCTTTTAGCAAAATGCTCAATTTGTATAACCTCCTTGTTTTATATTCCATAGGTTAAAAAAGAGTGTGTTCTACTAGACATTTACCATAACTTTAATAAATGAGGTGTGAATTTTAGTAATGTAGAGGGTTGGCGTTTTCTTTTTTAAGAGAACTTCTATTTGTTTTCTTTGAGTTCATACTAAGGATCATTAAATTTTTTCCCCAGTAGTCTTTAATATGGTGCTATTAGACTGAGAAAAATATATTCTAACAAAAAGACTTGACATGTTGCAAATTTTCATTTACAGTTTTTTCCTAGTATTTTGAAAAGAAATAACAGTCATTGAGTTGTTTTATGTATTTTGTTTGCTGAAAATGAATTTTTTTCTTCCTATAAGGCGTATAAGATCCTTGTAACAAAACTCAATCCTATGGTTAAATCTTTACATTTATGTAAACCATAGCTATCACTTGGTCCAGAAATAACATTGGTTGCTTCACATGGTCCGAAAGTATGGAGCAGACACTCATGTGTTTTCACATTATCCAAAGTGGATGCCTCATGGAGTTATTTCCTTCAGGAGCTCTTAGCTCCATGAGAATGGGAGCAACCCAGAGAACTCATTGATATCTTTAGCTTGGCTGAATTCCTGCTATATCATTTTTCCTTTAATACAACTGTTAAAGTAGTAGACTTCAGCATTAACTCTTGATGAGTCACCAGCAAGAGTGTTCCACCACACATTAGTTCACATCAGGGATTTCTTAAGGAAATATTTTTGTGCCATTGACCAGGGAATAGTCTCAAGGCAGTGGGGTACCACTTAAAGTATTTTTGCTGACTGCCTCAGGAGATGTGTTTAAATACAGGGGGAATATTTGTTTTAACTTCACACTAGGTCCACAAGGAGAATCCAGAACAGGTCCACCAGGGTCCACAGGTTCAAGAGGTCCTCCTGGTCCCCCTGGCCGTCCTGGAAATTCGGGTATCCGAGGACCTCCAGGTCCTCCTGGATACTGTGATTCATCCCAGTGTGCCAGCATCCCATACAACGGGCAAGGCTATCCAGGTATGTTGCAGTCACTGTAGGAACACAAATTCAGCCCAAGTAAAGAACCTCTATGGAAATGAAATATGCTAGGAGTGAAGGAAGGTCGATTTGAAGATTTCTTGAAGATATTTTGATTATGTGATAATAGCACAGTTTCCTAAAGCATTGTTTTTCTGTTAGGCTTTAAATAACAATAATAATAATAATAATAATTTTCTCTCCTTACATTTCTTCTTACCAAATCACATCATAAACTCTTTCTTATCTCCTCTGGGAGTTCAAAGAATAAATTCTTTGAACATGTAAGCAACAGGGTTTTGTTGAACACAGTTGTAGAATGCCAAGAATATATATAAAAATTGTTGTGAGATATCCTAATTTTTAGGCAAACTATTTGATAACAGTACAGAGAACTGAAACTAATTTACTGTTCCACACTGCCTATGATATTACTACTTATTAAATCTGACTTAATATTTTTGAAGGGTTAATGAAATTTTAGTGTTTGACATAGGGGGCAGAAGTCTCTTATGCCTGATTTTGAGGGTTATGAAGTTTGGGTAGCAAATGTTGATCTGGATATAAGATTACCATGCTGTGGTCAGCGGTGACTTTTTCATTAATGCACCCTCAAGCATCTTGCAAGTTTTAAAATGATACTGCTATTTGATATGATTTGCTACTAGCAAATAGTGCATGAGTAGTTGAATATCTAAATATTTATATATCTATATATTTGTGTGCATAATTACATATGACCAAAAGTAATAATGAATCTTAATGTAAATTTCTCATTTACAAATTTACAATTTTATTCCTTATAAAATAAATTTAAAAGACCACTGCCTTAAATAGTATATGGGAATAGCTAAAAATATATGGATATATATATATATATTTTAACCTTTACATACTTAGATGGATGTTTATTTATATTTTTTGCATAGTAATTCAACTTTTAAAAACTATCATCTTTGACCTGTTTCAGGTTCCGGCTAACAAATTTTCTAAGTCGCCAGTGCTGCTTACAGTTTGAATACATGAAAATCCTGTTTCTGAGATGTATGCGCACGTGCTTTTTAGAAAATGAGTCTGTATGGAAATCTCACCACAGATATGGTTAACGAACTGGGTCGACATCATAAAGGAGGGTGGAGACTCTTTATTACTAACTTGAATGATACAAAAGCAGTGGTGTCAGCCTGATGCATTTCAGTAATAACATAGAAGAATCTTTTTTAAAAAAAGTTCAAACGGCCATGAGGAGCTGCAGTTGTGAAAGAGATGCATTATAAACCTACTAACCAGCAGAAATCATGCCATTCTAAGAAAAAAAATTAACCTGGTTAAAGAGAAATGTCTTATGTAAATAATAAACTAATTGTGGCTTGTAAGTGTTTTGTATGTGATCCTGTCCACTAAAATTTTCTTAACAATTCTACAGTTAGCTTCGCATCAGAGCCTGCTGGCTGCTTGCTCTCTGCTGTAATAACACCGAACGGACTCTCTTGCTTGTGAGCAGTGTGTCTGATTCAGGGCATGTGACGTCTTATTTCTTCTGAACATGTGTCTCATTTGGGTTTTGTAACTGCAATTTTCAAACCAAAGTTTAAAATCACTTTTTTTTTCCTGTTTTGCTGTAGTGTTTGATGTTCCTCACCCACTAGCTGTAACTCAGTCTGTGGGGGGGGGGGACAGTTGGTCACAGGAAATGTCATGTACTGTATACTACCTGGTGATAGTGGCTTTTCACCTCCAGAATTCAGTTTCTAGGAGCCAATAAAATTTCTCCTCACCTCCTCACCTTTCCAAGTTGTTCTTTGAGTTGAGGAGTTTGAAGTCATGAACAGTGATTTGAGGATTTGCGAAAATCCCAGCTTGGTATTGTGTTTACAATTCCTTTGCCCAGTTTTTGATCCTTCCCAGGTATTAGTGCAATGATTGTATTTACTGCTGGACCTTTGGAGGTTTTCATTTCTTTTTAAAGTGCCATTTCATTATTTGATCACCAAATTCTCTCTGCAAATGGAAATAATCAGGACACTAATTTAACTATTTATGGTTATGAGATTAAGACTGGAGTGCTGTCACCTCTTGGTGATGATTTAGCTTTTGCTGTGCGTGTGCCTTCCAAATCATGCCATAACTGTAATGTTGAATCGGACAGAGCCCTTCGTGCCCGAGGGCGGGGCCTTCCTGCCTGAGCGCGAGCCCTTCATCGTGCCTGTGGAGCCCGAGAGGACCCCCGAATACGAGGACTACGGCGCCGACGACCCCGCGGACCCCGCCGAGGAGCAGCCACATCCCCACCGTTGGCGGCGCGCGCTGCGCCTGCACCGCGGCCCCGCGCAGCGAACCTGAACCTGAGACCTGAGACCACGCGCCCTGCTGCCAGGCTGGGGGGAGGTGCTGGGATTTTCTTTTACAGGTCAGATCGAGCGGGGTACGACTTTGCTGTGATGTTTTCTCCAGCGTTGCTTCATCCAGGAGTACCCTTTCTGACTGTAGAGAACCTTGTTTCTGCAGGAAGCCTAGCTCGCCACACGCAGTCTGTAAAAGTCTATACCTTTGTCTTGCAAATGCTCGCAGAATACTTTGTTCACAAAAGCTGCAAGGAGAGAACGCACCCTGTGCGGGCAGCCTAGGTGAAACTCTTAGGTTAAGCAGCAAATCCTGGAACCCAGGGCTACTGCGTATTTCGAGGGGGCAGTTTATCTTTTCTAGTACTTTTCTGCAATCCATTACACCACGATTCAAGTTATTCCTTTCTTTATCAAAAAGGAGGGAAACCTCAACTCCACTGCAATCTCTGATCTCCCTTTTCTATCCTCCGTTGCACGTTAGGGCTTAGATGCTCTTACACATCTCCTTTAACAACCACAGACCTTAAGCCATGTAGCTGAAGTTATGTATCAGCCGGATACAGTTCCATATTGCCTGAAACCTCCTTGTTTGTAGACACACTAACATTTATGCCAAATTGCAGATTATTCTGCAGAGATGGAATTGCATGTTTGTGTTGTATATTTAGTATGAACTTTTTTTTTTGCCAGAACATGTTTCTTAGTTATCAAAAGCAGTTGGAAAATGTTTGCAAGACTATGAACATAGAATTGCTGCTTTTATATTTTAACTGCAAATTGTGAATTTCACTGCCTTATATTATTTATTTCTGAAACAAAAGAGGCATTTTTCAATAAAACTACTGAAAATTTGACATGGTCTTTTTTTTTCTTCTTCTCTGAAGGGCCTTTTGGACTGCTCAGGCAGTTGTTACAACAAACAAATTCATATCCTTGGAAACGGTTACAAATCTTGCTAATACTATTAAATTATGCTAAATAACTTTAGATTTTTAATGATATAGTGAAGTAATAGAGAGCGGTGAGAGCCTTAAAAAGCACAGCAGATTCCAAAGGCTTTATTAGGAAAGTAGAGGACGTGTGGGTGGATGGAAAAACAACTAGGTATCCTAGGAGACCCCAAACAACCAAATAATCTAACAAACCCGCAAGATTTTGTATGCATTTAATTACTTTCCTATACTGTACTTTGCCCAACAGCAAGTTTAACTGCAAAAAGGAAAATTCCTTAATGGAAATTTTTACATTCAGGTATACTTTTCCACTTACAAATGCAATAAAACCATTCAAAATATCAAAGAAACAATGTAAATGTTAGTTTGAAGGAACCAACATCAATTGAAGAGAAGGGGGTAGTAATAGAAAGTTTTCCACAGAGCAATAGATATAAATTAAATACTTCCTGGAGACCAAGATCAAAAGGCATAGATGATTAGGTAGCCTGCTAAACTCAGAGCATTCACCTGGAATTCTCAACACGTGCGCTTTAAAGCTAGAGACCACTGAGGCTATGTAGGAAGAAACAAACTGCTAATTAGCATCAGAACCAGACAGAAGCTCCACCTCCTGGGTTTCTTAGCCTAGTTTATCCTGGGATGCACTGCCTACCTGATCCTGAAAACTTCCGGGGATGGGAGTGGGGGTGGGTCTCGAACTTCACATGTCTACTATTTTTATTAGTTTCTGAGTCTTTTGGGTTTCTGAAGCTCTTTGTTGAAGAAGTTCGGTATCAGGAGAATGAAGATGAGTCCTCATGTCACTGACTCAGTTGAGGTCCCAGAACCACAAGGACTTGCACAAAGGAATTACTGGCTAGATAAGGGCGTGATTCTTAAGGTTAGCAGCTTCCTGATTCACGATCTTCTAGTTTGTTCTGGGAGAAGGAAGAAGGGGCCTGTTAGGAAAAACGCCGCTCTCAAAGAAAGCTCACAAGAAAAGTCTCACGTCCGTAGAGCAAGGTTCAATGGCAGGCCCAAACTGCCAGGCTGGCCAGGGAAAGGATGGTGCAGCCCCAGGCCTGGGCGAGCAGTGGCTTTTATAGAAGGGGAGGGTAAGGAGGTTAGTGCATGCGCAGTAGTCTCTGGTAGGGGTGGGGCTGTCTTAGAGTGCAGAAATTTGTTTAAGGGCGGGGCTGCCATTTTGGCTGATTCACAAAATGGTGACATGATTGTTCTACCATTCCGCCATTTTTTCTTTAATAATGATGAGGGTAGGGGCTGAGGATCAGGAATTGGGGCAAAGCATCGATCTCTTTAACTGCTTACTGCTGGTAGCGGTCGTTGTATGGGGCAGGATCTTCAGGCTCCTGTGTCCTGATGGGGGCCCTTATAGTAGTCCTCTGGACGGTTTTGGAGAGGTTGGTATCCCTGGAGGTACAACTGGTTAAATTTTTGATTAGCAATAACAGACATATGGTCTAAAAGAAATCCTTGTATTGTTCTTATGATACAAGGGAGGAAGCTTAAGAATATGAGAGCAAGAAATATAGGCATTAGGATGGGCATTAACCAGGAGAACCACTGTGAAATGTTGTTCCCTAGAGAATTCCAAGAGTCCTCCAACTCCCTTCTCCATTTTACTAATTGTTTCTTGAGAGGTGCCGCCATTGGGGGAACCCATTGAGCTTGACAGCAGTGGGTGTCATGAGAATGACCAGATGAGGGCTGGTCCATCGAAGTCCCAATGGAGAGGGTAGAAGATTCTTTTTGGAGAGCAAGATACCCTGGTTTAACAGAAATTGTTATAGGGTGGGGCAGGATCTGGTTTGCATGCTCTCTGAGAAGTTCCCTGAGAAGGCAGGTAGTCAGCCAGAGGAGCAGAGTCTGTTGGAGGCAAGTTTTCTAAGAGAAATGGGTGGCCATACATTGTCTAAGACCGAAATAGGAATATTAGGAGGAGCATAAAAGGTGTCTGTTCAGGGACTGCATACCTAGTGATCTAAATTCTGCAAAATCCTATAACTGCCAGGAAAGCTGTAAGCTGTCTTATGGTATGGGGGTTGGGAAACGGAAGATTGGGTTGCATTTATAACTCAGGGAGTGAGTCTGTCCCTTTAAGGCCACACCTAGGTAGGTGACCTGTGAGAGGCAGGGGCTGTCAGAATTTAAATGTGACACTTTTGGATAAAAGAGAGCTTTAGCTCATTATTTTATATAAATTGACACTTTTAACTTTTTAAATGTTTGTACCATATTTAAATACAGTATAACATAGCACTGTTACAAGGTAGTCATTTAAGACACATAAGAAAATATGTAAATAAACTCTGATTTAGTAGTACTTAAAGCTTGACAAGATCAGCAGAAAACACAAATAATTTCTTTGATAAAATCTTTCTCTGTAATGGTTTTTTGTAGATGTTACTCAGAGCAGAACAATATTAAGATAACCTTGTTATTTTATAGACATAGAGGATTTGATTTTAGTTTGACATGACCCTAAAAATCTTTTAGGCAACTCTTAGATTATACTCAACTTTAACTTTATCACACACTGAAGTTTTTTATTGTGCACTTTTAAAACTTACTTAGACCTTTATATAACATATTAAGCCCTTTGATGGCTTGTTTTTATCCCTCCTATTTGAAAAAATCTTTAGGATAAACCCTTTTTTACAAAATCCTTTCTCATCCAAAAACATTTATTTTTCCTTTAACTTTTCAAAAAATACATTTATTACCTATCTATATCCTTTCCAATTGTTTACTTTGTAACTTGTGTTTTAAAATTAACTTTTATAAGAATTTTAAATTTATTATAGGGGCTGGAACAACTAATTAGTAGCCCTTGTTGTTTTAAGGAATAGGCATAAGGCCTTATCATTCCTCAGGCTTGAGGGGATATTGTTTTAGGTGTGGAAACTGTGAGGGATTTTTGAGTTTTATTTGAATAGGGAGGGCTGTCCTGGCTCACCCTACACCCTATATGCATCTCATCAGTCCACACTGTGCAATCTCTTTGTTCCTGAAGGAGGGGGCAACAGAGGTAGCTGCCTGGGGGGAGGAGAATTTGAGCTTTTAATTGAGATAGTAAATCCTGTCCCAGCAGGGACACTGGAGTTTTAGGTACTATGAGGAAAGAGTGACAGAAGAGGAAGTCTCCCCAGGAGCAGGCCAGAGGCCAGGTAAACTAGCACTCTAGGAGATGGCCAGATTTGCCCCAAATGATAGCTTTTGTCATTGGACCAGGGACCAGGAGAGAAAGGTAAAACAGAGAAATGGGCTGCACTGTCTAGGAGGAAAATGACCTTTTGTTTTTCTGCCATTATGGCTTCTCAACATTGATGCCAAGAAGTGGAATGTGGACAGGAGGCTTGGACCCATCAATCCATAGGAGGAGGTACCTTGCCTTTCATCTGGTGATGGGGGCACTTAGACCTCCAGTGGTTACCTTGCAGAGGGCAGGGTCCCGGTTGGGGGCAGGGCTGTCTCCCAGGCTGTCCCCCCTTAAGCATTCTCTGCAGAAGTGCCCCTCCTGTCCACCATGGTAGCAAGTTCAGGATACAGGCCCCAGTCGGGTGGGGCCCTCTCTGAGAGCAGCAATGAGGCCATGGTGTCTCTTATCTTTTTCTCTCCTGTTAGTAAGGTCCCGGACATACAGACATAGCTATAAATACAGACATTGCTAGCTGTATTACTTGGTTCAATGACTTTTTCTCTTCAGCCACAGTCTGAGTTTTTTACGAATATCTGGGGCTGACTGTTAGAAATTTATCTTTGAGGAGAACCTCTCTCACCTGTGACTCTGAGTCCACCGTGGTATGCTTTCTGATAACATCCTTAAGATGCTGTAGAAAGGTAAGAGAATTTTTTTTCTTTTTTTTTTTTAGGTTGTTGCTTTAAAGTAAAGTTGTTATTTTACATCGACACCTGACACTCTGGAGAGCAAGTCTCTGAACTGTTCTGGGCCTGTTTCCTCACTTGAAGAATGAGGGATCTGGTCTAGGTTAAACTATGTTTTTTTACTATGAGATGGCTGAAGTGACGTTAATGCCACTTATCTTCTTTACCATTTTTTTTTCTTTACTTTGGCTGTACTGGGTTTGAACTCAGGACTTTATGCTTGTAAAGTGGCACTCTAATGCTTGAGCCATATCATCATTTCCAACCTGAGTGGCCTGGGCCAGAACCCTTTGCTTTTCTAGTGAGATAAGAGTCTGGTCTAGTAGAAGCATAATATCCTTTCATGTCAGTTGAAAGGTTTGGATCGCAGAGATAAAGGCTTGAATGTATTTGTCTGGGCATCAGTACAGCTGTTTAGATGTTTTTAAATTTCCCTTAGATCTGATAACTGGAAGGGGACATATGACTTGCCCTCCTCCTACCATTGCCTGTTGAAGAGTGAAGCACTCTTAAGAGGTTCTGAGTATTGGAGTGGCTTAGAAGGTAGAAATTTGTATAGGGGACCTCAGTTTTCTTTTTTACTTTTATAGAAAAGGTCTAATTGGAGTATGGTATTGTAATTTAAGGAACCCTGTGAAGGCCACTTCTCTTGGTCACCCAAGGCTTACTGAGGCCGGGCCTCAGTACAAAGCTTCCAACATCTACCAGCCAGAAGACTGGAAGGTGCAGGTCCCATCTAGGAAGAACAAAATGTTAGGATCCTGTCTTTTAGCTAACAGCAGGCAGCCTCTTTAATAAAGGCTATCTTTTTAACAAAGAAATAAATCCTTTGTAAAGTTCTAGAAGGGTATTCAGAAAGCATTTCAGGCCAATAACAGTACCATATGGGACAACTAGTGTTAATATTTGGAGGGAAGAATTTATGTTAAGGCCAAAGGTATAGAAAATTCTAAATGAGAAGTTTAGAGACCACAGTAATGTCTATTTTGTTATTTCTGGAACTATAACCTTGA